TTTCAATTGTGGTTTCTAAAATTGAGTATTTTGGTATCTAAACTGATACTGTGGATACAATATTCTAAATTGATACTTATGATACAATACTTTAAACTGATACTGCAGATCAAATTTTCTAAACTGATACTGCTAATAAAATATTCTAAACTGATACTGCGGATACAATATTCTAAACTGATAATGATGATATAATACTCTAAACTGATACAACTGATACCTTAAAAGTAAACTGGGTCTGCTTATCTGGCCTAGGAGCTGTAAGCCCTGCAGCAAAGCATTTTATGAGGAAAACTGGGCTTTTATATTATATCTCAGGATGAAGAACTTTCTCTGAAACCCAGCCCCGCTGTTTTATTACAATATTAAAATACTTCGTACTTTTAAACTTTCATGATTGTACTCCTTGTGTTTTCTATACCTTATAACTCCTTGTACCTTATCCTATTTTCCGGGTTGATATTAAAAAGTTCCTGTGCTGTGACAACGGATCTAAACATCCTCCGGGAAAATGATAATTACATAGAAATAAAAAGTTTAATGAATAAAGTCCGTTGGGAAAAGACAATTGGGATGAATACAGTGAGCTTTAAAGAAAAAATTATAAGGCTGAGTCGTCTAAACGTACCTTAAAAAAAAATCTCAACTTATTGAACATACCTCGTAACCTCGTACCTTTTTTTATATTTTGTACTTTTCAATGTTTGTACTTTGTACCATACTTAGTTGGTGCCAGAGAGTAGAAATTTATAGAGGTTTTAGTGTACTGAGTACAGCAGCTGGGCAAAACTTAACAATTTTAGAAAAACTGCGGTTGTTTGTGTACTTATTCTAAAATAAAAGTTATTTTCTCAGTGATTCCGCTGTTTACTTTCTTAATTTTTCTTCACATTTTAAGGGAAATATCTATATATCTCTCAGAGCAAAATGCCTATTTAATATATGATCTCAAAAATTGGCAAAATGTCTATTCAATATATGATATGAATAAATGGCTAAAAGTCTATTCAATATATGATATGAATAAATGGCAAAAAGTCTATTCAATATATGATCTGAATAAATGGCAAAATGTCTATTCAATATATGATCTCAATAATTGGCAAAATGTCTATTCAATATATGATCTGAATAAATGGCAAAATGTCTATTCAATATATGATATGAATAAATGGCAAAATGTCTATTCAATATATGATATGAATAAATGGCAAAATGTCTATTCAATATATGATATGAATAAATGGCAAAATGTCTATTCAATATATGATATGAATAAATGGCAAAATGTCTATTCAATATATGATATGAATAAATGGCAAAATGTCTATTCAATATATGATATGAATAAATGGCAAAATGTCTATTCAATATATGATATGAATAAATGGCAAAATTTCTATTCAATATATTAAAAAAAAACTCCTATTTCTATTTTCCCCAAGGTTCATTAAAGCTGTTGTTCCAATCATGGGGCCGGGATTTCTTCAACCAATTTTTAAAAAGTTTCTCTTCGGAGAGCTCTGGGTATAGGACTACGTATACACCTTGGATTTCAGAAAGCCTAGAAGAAAAATCTCGGGGTTGAGAAAGATTTAAATGGATTTTTTTTTGTTTCTTGAGCAATATTGGTTATCTAAAGTTAACATAGAGATTTTCAAATATTCGACGTAGGTTTACACCAAATGGAAGGAACGGACGACAAAAACTTGTACGACTCCTTCTAAAATTTAAAACTATAAACTAGGGCACAAAGTTGAGTAATTTCAAAGGATTAAAGGGGCTAATTATCCTGATCCCATTTTTTTGGGTCACCCTGTACGAGCGAAGAGCTTTTTATATATATAAATTATTTTAAAGATTACCAAAAACAATAATGTTATTAATGTTGTTTAAATATTGCTATAATTATCATTCTAAAGCATCTGAGAAATGACGAGAAATGTTTATTGTTGTTAAAATTATTAACCAAAAGAACATTTTTTAGGAAAATGTCGGCAGGACGGGGGCGGACTCCACGTAAGCCCCACCAACCAAAGTTTCCAGAACTGCCGCCTAAGTACAGGTAATAGTTGTGAGACATTTTCTCCACCCATTTTACAGAAGCAACAAAGTATTCCACTGGGAATTCTAAAACGTGATTAATAAATACAATATTTCACCAATTCAAAATAGGGGCCTCCCAAAAGGAATTTAATGAAAAAACGGAGGAAAAAGTCATGAAAGTCAGTAAAAAAGAAAATTTTGAGACTCTTATTGATATAAGTATCCATGGAACCGGCTTGAAAAACAATTTACAGAATTGAAAAATGTTGAATTTGGGCAAGTGATGGTCATAAATAAATTTCATTAAATACTCAAAAAAGTTATTTTTTTACCTAACTTAACACCCCTGAACCATATCGTCAAGGATTTTAATATATTTTTTGCAAACTTAATAGAATTATACGAATATTTTTTTTCTCCAAAATAAAAAAATGTTGGTTTTAGAAAGTGCTTAGGATCTATTTTATTTTGATCCTGGATAAAAAATGTAAAAACTTGATGAACAATTCAAAGATAACATTTTTTTTAAAATTAACTTTTTTTTTCTCAAGAGTTCATTTTTTTACAATTATTGGTTGATATTTTGCCTCTTGCTGATCCGGATCCAGGAAGCCAAAATGTTGGAGATCCAACGAATCTAGATTCAAATCACTAGCCATAGAGTAATAAAACGAAGAGGTAAAGCGTAGCTCAGATGTACACAACCGACCTCCCTATTAATTAATTAATAGAGTGGTCGGTTGTAAACATCACGATATGTTTACTTATCTAACGCTGTACACTTGTTATCGTATTATTAAGGGGTGGTTTATGTAGATATTTGAGTTTTAGTATTGATAGACACTTAATATGGATTGTAAGCAAAGGATTGTATACTGCAGTACATTCAAGTTCAGTTGTTTGTTTAATAAAAGCATGACTAAATATTGTATCGTGAAAAAGTGCAAAAACAATTCTTCTTGTAAAAATGCGAGTTTTTCAAATACCAAAAATTTTTGCATGGCTAGACCTTTTAAGGTTGGGAGACTCCAGAGAATATCCTTCAAAAGTTGCATTTGCTCAAACCAGTTTAAAGAAGGAGATATAAGTCAGCGAAAAAAACCAGGTTTGAAGAAAAATGTGTTTATCTTTAACCCTATAAAGGCTGAGGGGTCTGAATATATGTATAGACTGGGGGGCGTCCCACGCCCCCCCCCTTAGAAAAAGGCTTTAGCGAATAGGTATAGGGTTTAAATGCATGTTCATAGCCAAATTTTTCAAGGCCAGGTCATTGAAATAAAATTAGATCGATACATCTTAAACTGCTAGGGAGGGTCGAAAAAAATGCAACAAAAAGGTCGAAAAAATGTAAAAAATATTTTTTTTTGAACAAATATCAAAGTTTGACGCATGTTTCTACACCCATTTTTTAAGGGCTTTTCAAAAATATAGCTTTCAGAACTGTAGCTTTAGTCATAAAAAATGTATGGGCTATAGATTTTTTTATATTCTCCGGTTTTTTATCGCCCTGAAGCCTACCTGATGCATAAAAAAAATTTACTAAAAAGTCCTTTAAATTTCTATTTATGAAAAGTCAAACAATTAGTCAAAAAACTAGAGGGGGAGCCAAAAACGCCCCCCCCTCCCCAGTCTGTTAAGGGTTAAGAGCTCCAGGTCGTCATCGTTGTTTCATCCTTGTGGGTAATCCTGCATACACTGTCATGTTTATGATAAAGAGTTGAAGAGAAGAAACAATAAAAATGTTTGAAATAAGAATGTTTCAAGTTAAATTCATGCCCTAGAAACTTTATATTTTTGACATAACTTTTAGCTAATAAATTGAAAACCTACAAATTTGAAAATTGTCAAATGTTTGCAATCGACATCATCGAATTCTCTTTAAAAAAAGAAAGAAAATTTAAAAATTGGTCAATTCCATAAATCCCCCTTTAGAAATACGATCACTCTATATATAAGTGTACAGCGTTAGATACGTAAACATATCGTGATGTACACAACCGACCACTCTATTAATCAATTAATAGGGAGGTCGGTTGGGTACTTCTGAGCTAAGCTTTACCTCTTCGTTTTATTACTCTATGTCACTAGCACTGGTTATGAAGAATAAAAATGCAAATATTTCTTCATGTTCAATTATATCAGATTTATCATTTCTAAAAGATGTTTTACAACAATTTGGACCTCTTTGATTATTGTTATTTAAAATGTTCGGTGTGAAAAACGTATAAAGCCCTAATTGAAAAACAAACATTTGTTCCATGCATGAATCTTTAAGACCATAACGAACTTTTGGCAAAGTTTTTTTGTGCATTACACTTTATAGGAAAATCATTCTTTGGAGGAGAGATGATACATTTGCCATGGAAACGGGTTCCTATATCCTAAATGCATAAATTTTTATTTTGTTTTATGTGCCAAAATGTAAAAAAGCCCAAAAAGAAATAAACATATGTTCCATGAATTTTTAACACCGGAATAAACGACATCCATTTTTTTGGGGAGGAGTGAGGAGATATTTACCATGGAGCGGCTTCTTAAAATCCCTTAATACGGTTTTTCATTAGTTGTTGCTTTTGATCTAATGTATTCGGAGTACACAATGTTCCGAGGCTAGACTTATAAAACTGTGTTGTAGAGTAGGCCTACTAGCTTGGTCTAGGCAGTGTGACTACTTAGTAAATTATTGAGAAAGGGGTGGGGGAGGGGGCCATAAAAACTGCATTTTAAAATTAAAATTTTTTTACGAAAAATTTTGATTTTAGAAAGTTCACTAACCTATTTCTTTTATTAAGATTTTTTTAATTTTTAGAAATTTTAATTTAATAATGACGCATGTATCCTTTAAACCTTTATCTGATCAAGAAACAAATATAACCTTAATATCTTCATCCATTTTAGAATATAACACTTTTTAAGCTAGAAAATTGACGATATCTTCTACATTATTGATCAGATTAAATGTTAAAGGGTACCAGTGTGAATCTGTAGGGTCACTTGAAAGGACAGTCACTACTTCTGCCACATATATAAAATTTACGTTTATCAACTAAAATCCAATTTGTTTTGGTTAAAAAGGAGTTCAGAGTTGAGAGTTCTCTTCTAATATATACAAAACAGTTTATTATCAATATTATGATTTTGATAATTAAATTTTATTTAAAATTTTCCAATCTTCAGCATTTTGGAACGTTCTTGTGATATATTATCTAGTCTTTATAATTGTTATTAACCTTTTTTAAATGAAATAAAATAACACTATTAGATTATTCTTGTAAATCTCATATTTTTTCTTCCAGTGAAACCGAGAGAAATCAGTTAATTGAAGAAAAGAAAATTTTAATTAAAAATGGAAAATTAAAAAAAACTTAAATGAAAACCTAAAAAAGATGATTCGGATGGAAAACGATGAAACAAAAAATTCGAAAATCATTATAACAAAACATAAAAATCACACAGGGAGTTTTGAGAAGTATGGCAGCTAAAAGACTAATTAAAGATCGTCTATGATTTTTATAGCAATTTGCGGCACCGGTTTTAAAGCTCGTAAAAATCAGACTAAAATTTTGAAATGAAAATGTCCAAGAGAATTTTGTAATAATTGTTTAAAGAACCTTACGACGAATAAATTCAACAAATTATTCAAAATTCAGAGATTAGCTTTAAGCCGTTTATTAACTGTCAGAGTCATGTATATTTAGTAGACCAGAAAAGAATCGAATATTTCAATTTCAGTTCCTCTCGTGAGCTGAGAAATAAAGCGGAGAAGCTGCGACGGGATCGGCTCAACACTCTTCTAGGAGAAATCAAAACCCTCGTCCCGGTCATCGCAGACAAGTAAGCTATAACTCTAGGCAATCAGGGCGCTTCGTGGCATTTTCAGCATTTTCACTTCGAAAAACAATAACAATTTTTTTTTGCAAATTTACAATTTTTTTCATGGATTTTTAAAATTTTATGAAAATCAATTTTTTTTGGAGACAGCTTTATGTAATTCTGAGCATCCAGAAACATTCTCTTGGGTCATGGTGAGTCCAACACAAAATTTGAGCCCGATCGGTTCATCCATTTTGACGTTTATTGGACACACACAAACAGACAAGATATATATATATATTGATTTTAGGACTTTAGTGGGGGGGTTTGAATATAGTCATACAAAGTGTTATGCTAAAGTTGTGTTAAACGATTTTAACATTTTAACAAAGGAAGCTAAGCCGTTGCTACAAACTAAAATTTTCTAATCCTTACCTTTGCAACCTGATGATGTAAATCATTGATATTTCAAACATAAATTATTTGATCCATCAGAATTCATAGTTTGAAATATCTAAGGTCTGCGACATTGGGTCGCAAAGATAAAGGGATTAGAAATTCAGATTTTGTGGCAAAGACTCAATTCCTTTACACGAAAGAAGGCATACAAATTATTTAACATTTGGTTTTTTTTATCTTTTCAAAACTGATTTTTGAAAAGTTCTAATGAAATAATTTAAAAACATTGTTAGAACAATATATCCTCCTAGGAAGAAGAAATCTGATACTACAAGAACAAATATTCTCAGAGTTTCTGCAAATTATATCCGTCTCCAGAATTGTAAGTTCATTATTCAAATTATTAGAAACCTTTTCTTTTCAAGTGACCCATCTGTAGATTAGCAAGTCCGATTNTGTTAAACTTCTTTCTTGACCATAGTATGATGATACTTTGCTGCAGAGACTGTAGATTTAATTTAATTTTGTATAATTCTCGAACTTTTCTTTAGTATAACTGCAGAGCAAGTAAAAGGCTTTTTAACTTGAATTCATTAAATAATTCCTTTAATTCCTTTAGTAGTAATAGTGCATTTCGGAGAACCAACTGCAAAGATCGAATTAAAAAAATCTTAAATGGAATCTTTTTTCTTTCTCTGGTAGAAATCCGCGCATTGCTTTGTATAAAATCACCATGACGAAATTTTCGCCTACTCTCGTGAGAGAAAATCAAAAATATATAACCCTTGGATTTTGATTGGAAGGATAATGTTGTGAATCGTTTACGACACCGTCTTTAGCATTTTTGTGTTTAGTGTTTCCTACTGAAAAGTTCAGTTCCCCAGGTACTCCAATCATCAATAGTTTACAACATGCTCAGGTTAGAAAACCCTCGATGGTATTAGTTTTGGGAGTTTTCTCTTCAATAGATAAAATTAACTTGGCTTAATTCGGCAGTTTAAATAATTTAGGGCTCCTTGGGAGTTCTCGCTGAATCTTTCTGTTTATAGGGCGTCTTGGAATATTTCTCACGAATATTGTTAAAATTTGATGAACAAATATTGTCGCTGTTAATCCTATTTTCTAAATTTGCAAAATTAACGAGAAATGAATTGAGAGCCATTTTCCTTAATTTTGATTATGTCGGGGTAAGGTGGTTCTGGTTATGTGGTGAGGGGGGGAGGTTTTTCTGGTGGTCTTTTGAAATATTTTTTCCCCAAATGAAAAGAGGAAAATTAATCTGTTCTGAGACTTTTAAAAAGAAATTTATCTTAACAAATTGTATTATTGATTTTATTTAAAAAAAAGATAACGTTGAAAAATGTATTTAAGATGATAAATTGAATGTTCAATGAATATTTTAAAGAATTTAATTTTAGAAATGAAAAATTTGACATCAAAAGGCAAGTGTCGATCACCCTTCTTTATTTTTTTACCTAAAAGTTTATCTATTTTCTTTTAAAACCCCCTCGTTTTTCATTAAAATATACACCCCTGTATTTTGTTAATAAGCAAGCTTGTACAGCGCACAGTACAGTTAAAATGATATTTGTTTGAGTCTCTAAATATTAATGTTTATTAAGGTTCTGAATGGCGTAGTTTTCCTGCTCTCTGAAACAGGGCGAATTCTCTTCATATCTGATAGTATAGAGAAGCATATTGGATACACACAGGTAGTGATGTGCCTTCAGGTACACAAAGGTAGTGATGTGCCTTCAGGTACACCCAGGTAGTGATGTGCCTTCAGGTACACACAGGTAGTGATGTGCCTTCAGGTATACACAGGTAGTGATGTACCTTCAGGTACACACAGGTAGTGATGTGCCTTCAGGTACACACAGGTAATGATGTAACTTCAGGTACACACAGGTAGTGATGTACCTTCAGGTACACACAGGTAGTGATGTGCCTTCAGGTACACTCAGGTAGTGATGTGTCTTCAGGTACACACAGGTAGAAATTTATTATTTAGTTGGATATGCTCGGGATAAATATGCTGGAATTCCTTCACCCTGGAGACAAATCAAAATTATCCTCGAATCTATCCAGACAGTCAAGTCATCCAGCCTTAACAACTCATCCAACCTCATCGACTCATTCAACAAGTCAGTCTGCTTCTTCAAGTCATCCGGTGTCATCCTTTTCTAGTTCTTCCCCCTTGAACAATTCAAGGCAAACCGGTTTTCAATTTACTGACCATGTAGATAATGCGTTTCCCAACCAATCCGGTGGTGGCCCTTTTTCCAACCAATCGATAGACCACTTTGCTGACCAATCAGTTGGCCCTTTTTCCAACCAATCCGAAGATCTTTTTGCCGACCAATCCAGTGGACCTTTTTCCAACCAATCTGTAGATGAGTTTTCGAACCAATTGGGTGGACCGTTTTCTAACCAATCAGCTTATCACTATTCTGACCAATTATCAGATCAGTTTACCAACCCATCAGGGAATACAAATCCTCCAGAGCCTACTGAGCAACCAAGTCAAATAAATTTAGGATCGTCTTCTTCTAAACCTGAATCTGCCAAGGTTAGTTGTAAAAATGTAGTAAAATATTATCTAAAAATAAGAAACGCAAATTTTTTATTTAAGACAGGATAATCAATTTTAATGTCGATAATATGAGGGTACAATAATGAACTGCAACTTTTTTAATATGAATTAATATTAGAAATAGGATCAGTCCAGAAACAAACATCGATAAACCTTAATGTATAAAACCTAGGAGACTGGAGTTAGAAAATCCTTCTTTATACGAATCAAGGAAAAGAACACAAGTAAATCTGACAAACAGAAATACGAACACATGCACGTTATGGGGCATTACAGGTACATTTTCCATACTTCTGGGTTATTATAAATAATTTATTTTACAAGGCATATCTTAGATTATATATTTTAATTGTAGCATTTTATCTCTAAAATTATCAAACAATACCAAAGAAGAAAATTCGCAGATTTATCCATTTTTTTCGCGGATTTAACATTTAATTTTAACATTTAAAATTTTCCATTGGGCCATTTGGGGTCACACACATTTTTTGGCCCGATCGGTTCAGCCGTTTTGACGTTTATTTGATACAAACGGACAGACAGACAAGCAATGTATAGTATAAAATAACAAATTTTTGAATTTATTTTGCAAATATTGTAAATTTTTGTTTGTGAATTTTAAGCAAATACATATTTACATATTATAAGTATGTAAATATTATATTCCTAGGGCCAGCAAAGAGGCTGAAAGAAAGCTCTCAAAAGATCTTGAATATGTATTTGTTGGAATCATGAAACCAGTCAAAGATAGGTATAAATTTATAAAATAGGTTCTTTAAAGGGATTTTAATTCTTTCAATTTATAAAATAGGTTCTTTAAAGGGATTTTAATTCTTTCAATTTATAAAATAGGTTCTTTAAAGGGATTTTAATTCTTTCAATTTATAAAATAGGTTCTTTAAAGGGATTTTAATTCTTTCAATTTATAAAATAGGTTCTTTAAAGGGATTTTAATTCTTTCAATTTATAAAATAGGTTCTTTAAAGGGATTTTAATTCTTTCAATTTATAAAATAGGTTCTTTAAAGGGATTTTAATTCTTTCAATTTATAAAATAGGTTCTTTAAAGGGATTTTAATTCTTTCAATTTATAAAATAGGTTCTTTAAAGGGATTTTAATTCTTTCAATTTATAAAATAGGTTCTTTAAAGGGATTTTAATTCTTTCAATTTATAAAATAGGTTCTTTAAAGGGATTTTAATTCTTTCAATTTATAAAATAGGTTCTTTAAAGGGATTTTAATTCTTTCAATTTATAAAATAGGTTCTTTAAAGGGATTTTAATTCTTTCAATTTATAAAATAGGTTCTTTAAAGGGATTTTAATTCTTTCAATTTATAAAATAGGTTCTTTAAAGGGATTTTAATTCTTTCAATTTATAAAATAGGTTCTTTAAAGGGATTTTAATTCTTTCAATTTATAAAATAGGTTCTTTAAAGGGATTTTAATTCTTTCAATTTATAAAATAGGTTCTTTAAAGGGATTTTAATTCTTTCAATTTATAAAATAGGTTCTTTAAAGGGATTTTAATTCTTTCAATTTATAAAATAGGTTCTTTAAAGGGATTTTAATTCTTTCAATTTATAAAATAGGTTCTTTAAAGGGATTTTAATTCTTTCAATTTATAAAATAGGTTCTTTAAAGGGATTTTAATTCTTTCAATTTATAAAATAGGTTCTTTAAAGGGATTTTAATTCTTTCAATTTATAAAATAGGTTCTTTAAAGGGATTTTAATTCTTTCAATTTATAAAATAGGTTCTTTAAAGGGATTTTAATTCTTTCAATTTATAAAATAGGTTCTTTAAAGGGATTTTAATTCTTTCAATTTATAAAATAGGTTCTTTAAAGGGATTTTAATTCTTTCAATTTATAAAATAGGTTCTTTAAAGGGATTTTAATTCTTTCAATTTATAAAATAGGTTCTTTAAAGGGATTTTAATTCTTTCAATTTATAAAATAGGTTCTTTAAAGGGATTTTAATTCTTTCAATTTATAAAATAGGTTCTTTAAAGGGATTTTAATTCTTTCAATTTATAAAATAGGTTCTTTAAAGGGATTTTAATTCTTTCAATTTATAAAATAGGTTCTTTAAAGGGATTTTAATTCTTTCAATTTATAAAATAGGTTCTTTAAAGGGATTTTAATTCTTTCAATTTATAAAATAGGTTCTTTAAAGGGATTTTAATTCTTTCAATTTATAAAATAGGTTCTTTAAAGGGATTTTAATTCTTTCAATTTATAAAATAGGTTCTTTAAAGGGATTTTAATTCTTTCAATTTATAAAATAGGTTCTTTAAAGGGATTTTAATTCTTTCAATTTATAAAATAGGTTCTTTAAAGGGATTTTAATTCTTTCAATTTATAAAATAGGTTCTTTAAAGGGATTTTAATTCTTTCAATTTATAAAATAGGTTCTTTAAAGGGATTTTAATTCTTTCAATTTATAAAATAGGTTCTTTAAAGGGATTTTAATTCTTTCAATTTATAAAATAGGTTCTTTANAGGTTTGTTTGTATTGTGTCACAGGTTTGTTTGTATTTTGTCACAGGTTTTTTTATATTGTGTCACAGGTTTGTTTGCATTTTGTCACAGGTTTCTGTGTATTATTTGCCACCGGTTTGTGTGTATTATTTGTCACAGGTTTCTGTGTATTATTTGCCACAGGTTTGTGAATATTATTTGTCACAGGTTTGTGTGTATTATTTGTCACAGGTTTGTGTGTATCATTTGTCACAGGTTTGTGTGTATTATTTGTTGCTTGGGAAATTGCACATTTGGGAAGTTGCCACTTGGGAATATACCACTGGGAAGTTACTTTGGAAAATGCCTTTGGGAAAGTCCCTAACATCAATGATATTGTTTGATCAGGATATCTACAGTGGCTGGTTACCTTCCTTCAGATGTTCATGGTTGTTCTGCTTTTAATTTTATGCTCGGAGAGGACCTACCCTGGACCACTCTAGCATTAAGATCAAGTAAGGATTATGATAAAGATGATTTTTGGAATAAGCTATTTGTCAAAAATCTTTTGGAAAGGAGTTTAAGTGGAAATAAATTATTACGTAAAGGAAATATAAATTCTAAGTGACCATCATAAAGACAGCAATGTACGATCTACAACGGTAACCTTGAAAACTTAATCAGGTCAAAAATGTGGAAGATAACGTCGTTTTTCTGACTCGAGAGGTGTTTATTTAATTCTGTGAATTTCATCACTGTTTCTTAAAAGCAAAAAATGCGGAAGTCACTTTGGCAGAGAACCCACCACTGTTATTTAAAGGTCTCAAGCTTTCAAGCTAAAATCGATGAGAATTTTTCCAATTACTTTTAAGAATCCCAAGCTAACAATATGTGCTTTATAGTGCTAAAATGTATATGTAAAGGGCTACAGTAAAGCATAAATGAGTTAGAGCGGTAAAATCAAAGCCTAAGGCGTTGCGACTCTTCAAAGTTGACCCTGTCATATAAATTTATGAGAATTTTTATAAAATGCTGAATCTATGTGCCACACATTGAAATAAACAATTTTTGGAGATTGTAAGCGTAATTTCAAGTGACTTTAATTTAAAAAGGGACATCCCATATTCACCACGGTACCCTTGCATACATGCCTTTTAAATAAACTAAACATGGAGGATATATAATTCATACTTAATCAGACAAAGCTTGTAATAGCACTGTTGAAAATCGGGCATTGTCATCTTTGCTTGGAGGGTCACTTGAAATTAAGCTTACAGCCCCGTCTAAACTTAAATAAATACCCTAATCTTGTATTCTTGTTCTTAAATAAACGTTAAAGCATAAAGTTAATAATTTCCCCTGTTCTAGTGTTCGCTAGTGGTAATGGTGAAGGTTTAACTACATACAGGTAGGAAATTTCTATATCAGGGAAACATATTGTTATGAAAACCTCCTCCCCCTTCCCTTTCCTTAAAAATCGCGGAAATAGGACTTTTTAGAAAATTGATAAAACTTATTTTTATAAAATAAACTTTTTCTCTAATCAAATGTGTTATCAACCGTACCAAAAAAAAACTCCTGATTGTACGAAAAATTTGTCTTGATTAAAAATTGCATAAAAATGTTCAGATTACGCACAAAGGCTGGAGCCTGGATCAATCTTCAGTCACGTGGTTTTCTCGAGATCAACAAGGAAACTGGAAATATTGATCACTTCTTGTGTATCAATACATTACTGAGGTAAACAGAGAACACACAGACCAACTCTAGACTCTGCACTAACAGAGAACACACAGACCATCTCTAGACTCTGTACTACCAGAGAACACACAGACCATCTCTAAACTCTGTACTACCAGAGAACACACAGACCAACTCTAGACTCTGTACTACCAGAGAACACACAGCCCATTTCTAGACTCTGTACTAACAGAGAACATACAGACCATCTCTAGACTCTGTACTAACAGAGAACATACAGACCAATTCTAGACTCTGTACTACCAGAGAACATACAGACCAACTCTGTACTACCAGAGAACACACAGACCAACTCTAGACTCTGTACTAACAGAGAACATACAGACCAACTCTAGACTCTATACTCCCAGAGAACACACAGACCATCTCTAAACTCTGTACTACCAGAGAACATACAGACCAATTCTAGACTGTGTAATACCAGAGAACATACAGACCAACTCTAGACTCTGTACTACCCGAGAACACACAGACCAACTCTAGACTCTATACTACCAGAGAACATGCAGACCAACTCTAGACTCTGCACTAACAGAAAACACACAGACCAACTCTAGAATCACACTGTTTATTCTTTATTATTGTTCTGACTTAAAGACAAAACAAAACTACTTTATACAACGAAAATACGCAAAAACCGCAGAAAAACATAACATTAAAAAAAGAATTAAACGGATATATTTTTTCATTTTTTCATCAATTTTATTTTGATAGAAATACGTATTGTGCATTGTTTTTGTGATTTTAGTCTTTTTTGGTGTTTTTTTTTTGTGCAGAAAAGTGTTGCAGGGACAAATAGAACTGTCCAATAAGATTAATTCTAATAAAATGTACTCTTTTTTATTTTTTTTGGTCAGCGTTAAAAACAAAGGGTAAACTCAAGTGGATTCTAGTATTCTTAAACGTACTCTTCACAATTGTTTTCATAATAATTGTTATTTTGTAGTGACGAGGAGGCTGAGAGAAATCTAGAGGAGCAAAGAGAGAGATATACTCCATTCATTACAGAGCTTCAATACACGGGAATACAGGTAAAGACGACATTGGATACATTTAAATTGTATTATTTAGTAGCTGAAGTAAATACCCTAATCTTGTATTCTTGTTCTTAAATAAACGTTAAAGCATAAAGTTAATAATTTCCCCTGTTCTAGTGTTCGCTAGTGGTAATGGTGAAGGTTTAACTACATACAGGTAGGAAATTTCTATATCAGGGAAACATATTGTTATGAAAACCTCCTCCCCCTTCCCTTTCCTTAAAAATCGCGGAAATAGGACTTTTTAGAAAATTGATAAAACTTATTTTTATAAAATAAACTTTTTCTCTAATCAAATGTGTTATCAACCGTACCAAAAAAAAACTCCTGATTGTACGAAAAATTTGTCTTGATTAAAAATTGCATAAAAATGTTCAGATTACGCACAAAGGCTGGAGCCTGGATCAATCTTCAGTCACGTGGTTTTCTCGAGATCAACAAGGAAACTGGAAATATTGATCACTTCTTGTGTATCAATACATTACTGAGGTAAACAGAGAACACACAGACCAACTCTAGACTCTGCACTAACAGAGAACACACAGACCATCTCTAGACTCTGTACTACCAGAGAACACACAGACCATCTCTAAACTCTGTACTACCAGAGAACACACAGACCAACTCTAGACTCTGTACTACCAGAGAACACACAGCCCATTTCTAGACTCTGTACTAACAGAGAACATACAGACCATCTCTAGACTCTGTACTAACAGAGAACATACAGACCAATTCTAGACTCTGTACTACCAGAGAACATACAGACCAACTCTGTACTACCAGAGAACACACAGACCAACTCTAGACTCTGTACTAACAGAGAACATACAGACCAACTCTAGACTCTATACTCCCAGAGAACACACAGACCATCTCTAAACTCTGTACTACCAGAGAACATACAGACCAATTCTAGACTGTGTAATACCAGAGAACATACAGACCAACTCTAGACTCTGTACTACCCGAGAACACACAGACCAACTCTAGACTCTATACTACCAGAGAACATGCAGACCAACTCTAGACTCTGCACTAACAGAAAACACACAGACCAACTCTAGAATCACACTGTTTATTCTTTATTATTGTTCTGACTTAAAGACAAAACAAAACTACTTTATACAACGAAAATACGCAAAAACCGCAGAAAAACATAACATTAAAAAAAGAATTAAACGGATATATTTTTTCATTTTTTCATCAATTTTATTTTGATAGAAATACGTATTGTGCATTGTTTTTGTGATTTTAGTCTTTTTTGGTGTTTTTTTATTGTACAGAAAAGTGTTGCAGGGACAAATAGAACTGTCCAATAAGATTAATTCTAATAAAATGTACTCTTTTTTATTTTTTTTGGTCAGCGTTAAAAACAAAGGGTAAACTCAAGTGGATTCTAGTATTCTTAAACGTACTCTTCACAATTGTTTTCATAATAATTGTTATTTTGTAGTGACGAGGAGGCTGAGAGAAATCTAGAGGAGCAAAGAGAGAGATATACTCCATTCATTACAGAGCTTCAATACACGGGAATACAGGTAAAGACGACATTGGATACATTTAAATTGTATTATTTAGTAGCTGAAGTGCCCGGCGTTGCCCGTGTAATTATTACAAAATCGAATTTTTATTTTTTAATTTTGATTCTTGACCTGCAGGCTCTACAATACAATGAAAACAGAATTGAGCCACTTGCCCACGTCCACATGGGATCTAGTGGTTCAGATCTGATTCTGGCCTGAATCTTTTTAGGATTCAGTTTATATGCCAGAAATGCGTGGATGCTAAAAAAAATAAAAATATAACTGCTGCAAGAGCTTACTTAAGGGCGGATGATACACACATACATACATACAAATATATATGTATATGAGCGAAGATAAAGTCAAGGATTCAGCACGCCCCCAACCCCATTCCACACCAAAAAAATCTTCAAATGTTAAAAATGTTTGCTCGGAGCGCTAGAATTTTAATTTCTTTTGTAAAATAAATTACTTTTTTATATGAGATACACTTTATTTTTCATTTTCTATTATCTAATAACAAAAATGTATGGATAATAGAGCTTCAGACATGTTTGTCAATAATTGCTAAAAGCCACAAAACAAAGATTTTTAAAAATGTCTAGTGTTTATAGATACAAAGCTGCGCGGATGAAAAACAATTCGAAGCTCATCAATTTAAATTTTTTTAGGGACTAGAGAAACTGGGGAACGGAGGAGCATTATCCTTATCCATCCCTGATATAGGGTAATTACTAATTATATACAGGGTGGCCAAAATGTACGGATTGTACGGATTTTTTATTTTTTAACCCTAAAAATGTACGGATTGTACGGATTTTTTTTCAAATTGTACGGATTGTACGGATTTTTATCCTGGAAATAATCCGGTTTTTTTAAATTTTCACTCATTTCAGCAAGTTTTTCATGAAAATTAAAAAAAAAAATCTCGTCAAAATGAAGTTAGTTTAACTTATTTTTTGCATTCTAAATAATATTAGATTGATTAATGTTTCAATTGACAATCAAAATTCATTTATAATTTTCGAGATCCCAGAAGTGTTCATTTGAGAATATGTTCCAGAAGTGTTCATTTGAGAATATGTTTATCTATCTGTCTATCTGTATAGCTATCTGTCTAGCTAACTGTCTAGCTATCTGTCTATCTATCTGTCTATCTATCTGTCTTTCTATCTGTCTAGCTATATGTCTAGCTATCTGTCTAGCTATCTGTCTATCCATCTGTATATCTATCTGCATGTCAGTTTATCTATCTTTTTATCTATCTGTTTATATATCCTATCTGTCTNGTGCTGATTGTACAGATTTTTTAAAAAAATGTACGGATCTTTAAAAAAATGTACGGATTGGTTTAAAAAAATGTACGGATTGTACGGTTTTTTTTTTAAAAAATTGTACGGATTGTACGGATTGTTTTTCGAAAATTGTACGGATTGTACGGATTTCTTCTGAAAATGTACGGATTTTTGTACGGATGGGTTCAAAAAAGTTTTGGCCACCCTGTATATATTAAATTTTAAATTACAATTTAAAAAGAATTTAACATTGATAAGTTAATTAATTGTGAATGAACAAAGCATTTTTTTTCTTTCACTGCTGAAATAATGATTAATTGGTACAGATTTTATCAAGTTATTAACTTATGAGTAAAAAGTATAAAATTTTTAGAAAAGAGTTGAATCGAATGATTAAAGCGGATCCAGGTGTGGTTCAACCTAGAAATTCTAAACTTACTTTTAAGGTTAGTTTTAAGAACATTTTCTGAAACCAAAAATTCAGAGCCCCTCACCCCACTTTTAAAGTTATTTAGTTACTTTGATTTTCTTCTGGCCATAAACAGTACTAAATCCTACAACATGAAATTTAGCTAAATCGGTTCAACCGTTTCAAAGATTTGCTTTAGACACAAACAAACATACTCCCATCCCAGTGAAGCATTCAGAGGCATAATTGACATGAATGAATTGTCAATGTTGAAATTGGATATTTTAGATTGTTTTAAATTCTTTTCTAGGATGTGTCAGGATTTTCTTCTAGATCTGAATCTATGTCGCACTCTAGCACGCTAATATCTAGAATAGAAAAGACTGAATTAGGGAAGAGTTTAACCCGACGAAGTGTCCTGGACCTTCAGGAGAGTGGAGATGAGAAATACGACAGAGAGAGAAAGGAAAGATCGATCAAACCTGAGCCTGAACCTGTAGAATCAAAACTATCCCGACAAGAACTTGTGGCTCGAGCAATAGGAATAAAAAGAGGGGGCTCAGCGCCCAGACCAGGAACTGGGAAAGGAGGAGGTGTTAGTAAAGGAAAGAGTTCTTATTGTAGTAGCGCTAATCCAGCGGCATTGGCGCACAGTCCTGGCGGTATAAAACGGAAACACGAGTCGGATAATTGGAGAATTACCAAACCTACTCCTACTGCGGAGTTTCTCGGTCTTCAAGACAATGATGCAATTCTGAATCAAATTCTGCTCTTGTCACAAGACGGTGTGGAGGCCGGGAGTTTCCTCAAACATGAAAACGAATTGGAAACGGGAAAATCTGATGATTTTGGAGATGTCAAGATCGAGGATTTTCTTGACTTCGGATCAACAAAACCACAAAGGTAAAAAGACATATTTTTATCTTTTGAAAAAATTTTCTTCATTTTATAATCTTTTCTAAAATTTTATTTATGTTTCAGAACTCCGCAGGGGTCAGACGCTCTTAAACCTGAAACCAATCATGACTTAGATCTCTATGGTAGGATTTTTGTTCAGAAAATTTGTTTTAAATTTTCTCATGTTTTCCCCTCCCCTCCTTTTTGTGAAATATAAATGCAAATTTTGTTCATTCAGAAGAGATTATTTTTCCTCTAACAAAAAAAAAAACATTTTTATTTTAATCTCGAGAGGTACGTTTATTATTTAGAAAAGTCTAAACTAAGCGTACACAAAATTTAGTTTCAATTTTGTTTTAGGAAGTAGACAAGCTGCTGCAAACATGGATAATATAAGTTCTGGCCCGGCAGATCCAAGTTTTACCATTTACCCATCTCAACCTTTTAATTGTACAATCTTTAAACCAAAAGATGAAAGCGAAGTGCCCTCTGCATTTGTAAAAATGGATTTTCCAAATACAAGTTTACTCAGAGACAATATGGAGACTTTAGAGAACAGTTTGTTTCCTATATCGGGCAGCATGGAGACGGGGTTTAGCAGAACCTCATATCTTGCAACTCCTTTAAATACCAGCAGCCTGTCCTACGAGGGACGGGAGAGATCACCAGAAACTAGTTTAAGAGAAACATCAGTTATTAAGAGACTTAAGGGGGCATCCAATGAAGAGGTAAGGTGTCAATCATTATTGTCTTATAAATAAATAAAAATGTATTTGTTGCTGTTAAAAGACGACATTTAGCTTAGTGGCAGACTGGCAATGAACACTTTTGTGTTTTTGTTTAGGAGAAACGTGAAATTCCATTAAGACGAGATATTGATGGATTAAATTCAACATTCACCTTTCATCCAGAGAGCTGATGAATGGTTAGATGTACATTGTACAGTATAGTTCTTCACTTGAAACAGTACCGTATACTGTACTATTCATGTACTCAACTACAATGGTAAACAAATTGGTTTTATATTTATCAATGTTAGATTATCGTTACATGCATGTACTTGTACACTGTACAATGCACTATCCTGTTATTGTACAATTTGCATGTACTGGGTAGTGGGTAGTTATACTAGCATTACACCATGTACAGTGTGTTTGTGTATATTGTAAACAATTCCACAAGTACATGTAAACTTGTGTTAGTAGAAAAAATTGCTCTATGTAACATGAGTTTACAATTCATTATGTACAGTGTAATGTAAAATGCCAAGTACCTGTATAATATTGAAGTCATGACTGAACTATTAAATTAAATTGTAACTTATGAACTGCAATTTATTCATTACAGATTTAAACAAATATAAAAATATGTTATTTTGTTATAATTGTTAATTGTTAAATGTTTCTAAAACTGGTGAACTATTTGTTAAAAAAATTGAGTCGATCCTATGGTCAACATTTTTAATTTTTAACTTTAATTTATCAATTAAATTTTTCAATTCCATGATAAGCCCACTTTCGAATGCATTGACAGATGCCGGTTTGGTAATTCCAAATGATGCTAAGCCCGAATTAAAAAATTTTTTATTTTATTTGTCATTAAGGTCGAGCCACGAGTGCTCGCAATAGAAAGATATTTCTTTGTAAAATTTTGGGAACCGATTTATTTTTTTATTTTTCGAAAGCATGAAAACGGCTTGCATGAATAATTAATGGGAATTTAAAACTAATAACTATTAAAGATTGTGAAAACTTTTACATAAGTTTTGGTGCTCCAGAATAAATTCCTCAAATCATCTAATTGTAAACAATTCTTTTTGTCCTGAATCTTAATATAACTATATTAAGTGTAAATGGATACATCTTTATAAAAAAAAATTGTTAAATTTCCTTTTTTTATTGTCCTGTTGCTATTGACGTGAGGCTTTGTACTTATTACCTATTGTGACCTATCATGAAAAATAATGCTCTTTGCAGAGATAAACTTTTTATTTTATGTTCTTATGAAAGTAAATTGCAGGAAAAATGTCAAATATATATATTTGGGACATTATGTATAAATTATGTCTTCTTTGTTAAAATTATCTAAATAAAAAGCTGTTTAAATGTTTTAAATGACTAAACTAGGAATTCTAAATGGGGTTAATAATAGTTAACACGTATTCATTTGTTATCATACAACTTCAAACTATGCTTTTAATTATTTTTGGACTATGTGACATGTGTACAGATAAATTTTGGGTCATTTGAGTACAAATTAGAGCAAATACTAATATCTCGTTGTTAGGCTTTTCCTATCTTCCATCTGTTTTTTTCAGGTCAGATTACACTTTGCTATACAAACTCATTTTTACCTGAGTACATTACAGTACAGTACAGTACAGTACAGTACAGTACAGTACAGTGCTATTGCGAACTAAATACAAATGTAAAGCTTTGAATATAATTCATTAACGGCTAATTAGAAATGTACTGCAGTAAATGTAATTCACTGTACGGGTATGAATTTGATTCAATAAATAATTAAAATTTAAATGATTTTGATTTAGTAAGGTAAAGCTGCAACCCATAGGTTTTATTTTCTGTTGAGATCAAAAGTATTTGCAGGTACATGCTTCATTTAACAGTACTTAAGTTTTCAAGTTCTTGATAATGATGCCGCTTGTTGACATTTTGAATTTATTTACTCTATAACACTTCAAGAATGTGTACTGCAACCACAGCAATGCCGATGGATTAAATGATGAAAATATTTATGAAGTAATCTGAGTTTTATTCACTGAAAAGTACAGACGTTATTGCAATTACTATTCTAAGCCCGAACCTTTAGTCAGTATTGGAAATCCGGTTTCGTGGATTGGGTCAGACAGTTTTGCAGAATCCTAATATTTTTGTTAAACAATATTATTTTCTGTATTTTTTATATTTAATTTTGATTTCTGATTTATTAAATTTAAATCTACGCGTGTTAACAGAAATACCAACAGAGAATGAGACTTCAAGGTAAATACGAGACAGTTTGAAGTTGAATTTGAGTATAATAAATACAGGGTGTCCCAATAAACATGGGAATTCTGTGACGAATTCGATATCGTCTTTTTAAATAATTCTTTGATTTAGTATAGTGATCTGTGATACCTACTGAGAAAGCTGTAATCTGTTAGAGTTTCGTCTGCTATGTTCACATTTTGACTCCATACGGTCTAACTTAGTAAAACAAGAAAATTACAGTCTACAAACAGAGTAAACTTGTCCGTCGTCACTGTTCATCTGGTGGAGACATTAAAACCACATCTTTACAGTCTTTTACCCTTTTCATAAAATAAACTCTAGCAGACATAATAATATTATGGCTTTTGAAATTAGGTATTACAATGCTAATTCATAACAAAGACGATATCGAATTCGTCTCTGAATTCCCATATTTTTTGGGACACCCTGTAGATAAAACCGCTACATGGAAACAAAAGTAAATAATAGATTCCGTTCAGTCGTCTTTTAAGTATACTTCTTTGTGGGTAACCCTGTATGTACTTGAATCAAGATGGTATTCAGTATTTACGATATTGTGCAAGTAAGGAATGATAAGATTGTATTTAAGTGCAATAGAGCGGTTAGGAATTACAAGAATGTATATATAAGAATAAGCTTATCCGAATTTTCTCGTGCATTTTACAACTGAAATTGTATGCATTTTCATTTAATTGTGGTAACCATTGAACACAGTTTAATTACAGTGGTCATACTTTTTTTAAGTTAAGAAATATTGTTTAGAATTTTGTAAGTTATAATCATCTGACTCATAACTGTCTAAATTATTAGATTTGAATCAGTTCTCAGTAGCAAATAAAAATATGTTGTCTGTCTATGATAAATGGTAAAAGAAGACCACAATTATTCAACAGTTGTTTACAACTGAACAATCAATGATAACATAAACGTGACATTTTTTCCTGCTCTAATAATTAAACCCCTGAACATACGCATCATCTGATATCCGCAGTCCGCACAACCTGTCCAAACTTTGCGAAGTCTATATTATTAATTACTTTAAGTTTAAACGTCTTTTTTAATAAAGTAACCCTGTTATGAAGACTCAATGTCTTGGCGACTAGTATCCACAATTTCTGATTTGGAGTACTCCAATAGGTAGCGGCTAAACTCTGCTACTCGCTAATGCCGCAATGAATTATAAGAGAGAGATTAGTATATACCATTTCATATTAGATCGTCAGTCAGTCCAAATCATGTTTTTTGGAACTAATTAGTAATTTTAAGAAGAATAAGATATCATTTCGTAAAATTGAATAAGGCTTAAATAAATTTTTTCTTGCAGAAAATGTTAGGTTTTTCGAGTATTATAGGTTTATTGTGGCGTTAAAGCTTGGAGATAGTCTAGTATATGGGACGCTCTGTATTTTCGGGATAGGTTAGGTTTAGACACTTTGTGGGCCGCGCGCTGCGGCTAGGACGGACTAGGGGGCCGAGCTCCACGGCTAGAATTGGCTCTCTCTCTGTCTTATAATTAATTAAGGTACTATTCGCGAGTAACACAGAGTGGTCGCTGCCAGTCCAATAAACATGAAAATAAGGACAATTTGCCTCACACTCAATTTTCGAATCCCTATATCAACCTGATAGTGTAAACCTTTAATATTTCAGACTATTTGATCTAACAGGTTTTATAGTTTTAAATATCAAAGGTTTACGACATCGGGTTGCAAAGACATAGGGATTAGTAAAATTTAGGTTTGTGGCAAAGACTCCTTTCATTCAAAAATCTAACTTTAATTCAAGCAACCGGTAATATTATTTGCTGCGCTACAACAGTATCAAATAGTTTTAAGTTATTTGCTCAAATATCATCTTCCTGTTTGACAGTTGTATGGGTCTCACTGTACACTGTACACTTACAGTGTACATATTATATACTCAAGAATTAACCATAAAAAATTTGTTATCCATTTCTAATTTTATTTGACCAAAATGTAAAAATTTGACATGATAATACATTTATAATTTATATTTATGATCGGGTTGGTGAAAAAGTTCAAGTAAAAAAATAAATCCCTGTATTCTGAAATTAATCACTCTGATGCTGTAGAAGTAAAGTATGAAGACTGGGACGGATTGTAAGAGGAGATAATTGCGTCCCACTCTCTAAAAAAATACATTTAATTTATCAATTAACAATAAATCAAGATTAATATAACTTAATCAAAAAAGTTACAATTTACTCGACGCAATAATACTAAACTTTAAAAATAAGAAAAAAAAAACAGAGACAACTTCAACTTTTGAAGATTAAATTTTCAAATTCAACAAGGTTTAAAAAATTGCAAAACTTTTTACACAAGATTTATAAAATTATATATTGGAGTCTAGAAGGTAAAAAAATAATGCATTTTTTCCTGTAAAGTTGCTCTTCTGGAATATTCCAGAATTCCTGAAGAATGGTCCAACCAGTTCTAAAATTAACATTGAATTATATTAAACCGGTTCTAGAATTAACATTCAATTAGATCTGACCGGTTCTAAGGTTTACATTTAATTATATTAAACCGGTTCTAAGGTTTACATTAAATTAGATTAAACCGGTTCTAAGGTTTACATTTAATTAGATTAAACTGGTTCTAAAGTTTACATTTAATTAGATTAAACCGGTTCTAAAGTTTCCGTTTAATTAAATTAAACCGGTTCTATGGTTTACGTTTAATTAGATTAAACCGGTTCTAAGATTTACATTCAATAAGATTAAACTGGTTCTAAGGTTTATGCTTAATTAGATTAAACCGGTTCTAAGGTTTACATTTAATTAGATTAAACCGGTTCTAAGGTTCACATTTAATTAGATTAAACCGGTTCTTAAATTAACATTCAATTAGATTAAACCGGTTCTAAGGTTTACATTTAATTAGATTAAATCAGTTCTAAGGTTTACGTTTAATTAGATTAAACCGGTTCTAAGATTTACATTTAATTAGATTAAACTGGTTCTTAAATTAACATTCAATTAGATAAACCGGTTCTAAGATTTACATTTAATTAGATTAAACCAGTTCTAAGGTTTATGTTTAATTAGATTAAACCGGTTCTAAGATTAAAATTTAATTAGTTTAAACCAGTTCTAAGATTTACATTCAATAAGATTAAACCGGTTCTAAGGTTTACATTTAATTAGATTAAACCGGTTCTAAGGTTTACATTTAATTAGATTAAACTGGTTCTTAAATTAACATTCAATTAGATTAAACCGGTTCTAAGATTTACATTTAATGAGATTAAACCAGTTCTAAGGTTTATGTTTAATTAGATTAAACCGGTTCTAAAGTTAACATTTAATTAGTTTAAACCGGTTCTAAGATTTACATTCAATAAGATTAAACCGGTTCTAACGTTTACATTTAATTAGATTAAACCGGTTCTAAGGTTTACATTTAATTAGATTAAACCTGTTCTGAACACTGCTTTCTCAATTCAAGGCTTACACACAACTTTAAAGTACATTCATAGAATTCTGGAAGATTCTAGATATAATCTGGCTTTCGCCAATCTTGTGGCATGACCTCAACACAGTTCTTGGCAGAAATTTATTTTGTATTGCAAATGATTGTTCTGTAAATCCTTCCGATCTTAGTAAAATGTTAGTTAAGAAACAAATGAAATATTTTGATGTCCCATTGGAAGATGAATGGAAAGTTCCGGTTTTACAAGAACTTTTAAGTACAAGAATAAATAATTTATATGTTGAAGGATTCGATGATTACGTAATAACTGAAATGATAAATATGTTATGTAGTGAGTAAAAATCAATGTTTTCTATTTGTGCATAATTTTGCATATTTTTTCTCTTTTCTTTTGGAAACCTGAATTTCAAAAAAATTTATTTAAACAAATTTTAACTACACCATTTATATGTGTATTTATATCTTTGTGTGTGAATAAATCTTTATAATAAAAAAAAATTAACATACAATTACATTAAACCGGTTCTAAAATTTACGTTTAATTAGATTAAACCGGTTCTAAGCTTTACATTTAATTGGATTAAACCGGTTCTAAAGTTTACATTTAATTAGATTAAACCGGTTCTAAAATTAACATACAGTGAGAACCAGAAACCTGTGAAATAAAACAATACTAAAGTCTATCAAATGTTGTTTCAAAAAGAATCGTTTTACTGCGGTCCTTATTAAACCACTTATTAGGTAAAATGGTTCTGTGTACACTGCACAATGTTGTGTCTCATTTTCATTATATTATTTAAAGCCACAACTTGAGTCAAAAGTCGTCTTTATTTTCCAGAGTTTTCTGATTTTCACTGAACAATTTGCTTAAACTGGGGTTAGAACTTTCAAGGGACTGTCATTGCAGTTTCAAGAAATCTCTTATTTAATTCTCATAATTTCCTCCTTTGTTTCTGCTGCAAGAAATCCACAAGCATTAGAGAAACCATAATAGATAATAACCAATAACATGGATTTATAATTCATTCTTAACCAAACAAAACCTTTTCAGGGTACCGTTGTGAATCAGAAATGCTTCTCTACAAATTCCGGTGTAGAAACCTAGATTCTTGAAATATTTTTTTAAAGAAAATTTAATTGAGGTTTGCATCATCTTGAGTCTTGACTTAACTTGAAAACGGTCAAGATTTTTAATAATATTTTTATATATTTTAGAAAATTATTTAATAGAGGCAACTGCCGTCCTCTTTCTAAAATAGTTGTTATAGTTTGTATCATTGACTTTTGCTCTCGAAAAGGGCCTGAATGCCATAGCCCTATCTTTCAATATGTGTTAATTTCTAACATTCAGGGTTAGAATGGACCGTAACCCGGGTTGGAACTTATGTCTCCTGTAATGAGGATCATTTGAAAATACGTCTACAGGCTTCTAGGTTTTTATTTAAAGGGAGTGACCGGCAATGTATGGTGGTTGAACTGAAAATGTAGTATTGCAGACATTTTTTATTGAGACATAAAACGTTTCCGCGATGTATAATCACTGAGTTTGAGAACAAGATCGACAAAAAAATTATTAATTTGGGTGGGTACGTTATGAGAATAGGGTTTTTTTTAAATTTTTGAATAATGCCGACAAAAAACGTAACACGGCAGATTGAGAAAATAAAAATTAACTTTTATCATCGAATTTAAGAAGTCATATTCAGTTATTATTAGTTTCTGTAATCTCTCATTCTTCACAAACATTTTCTGGAATTTTTATTGAAAAGACGACATTTGGAGGATTTGGAGAATAGGTAGAAATCTGCAAACAAATTCGTAAAGAGTAAGAAATTCAATAAAATGATAAAAAAGAAATATTGATTTACCATTGATTTATTGATCAATTTAAAATGAGAAATGTACCTAACATCTAATTAGTTTACTGTAAAATATTTTATACATTTTTCGTCGTCGTTACATAATAATTTTCAAAAACGTCGACTTTGCGTTCAAACTTAGTGGACACATTTTATACGTCTAAAAGAATTCCTAAAAAATGTTTCCACAATCCTACATTTTTAGTTCAACTACCATAAATTGCCGGTCACTGGCCCTTTATCAATGTTTTCGTCTGCGCTTCGCGCTTCTTTTCTTTACAAATACATTTTCACTCGATCAAATAAAAAGTATTCCACTACCCTTCTCTGGACCAAAAATGGAAACTCTTTCAATATAGTACACGCTCTGATGTTTGTTTAATACGTGGGTAGATCTTCATAAAACTTTTATAACAGTTTTGTGGGTGGATCTTCAGAAAACTTTCTTAACAGTTTTAATTTTTAATCCCCCTTACGTAACATCATAACTGAACCTACGCTCTAGAATGTATAATCTATATAATAAAACGAGACATTTCTTTATATATGTTCCTTTGTTCCTTATAGCCAAACGGCTGGACCGAATGGGCTGATATTTTTTGTGGACACTCATGGGTAGCCTGGGGGTGACAAAGGCTAAACAAAATTAAAATTTTTTAAAATTTTTAATTTTTTTCACGCGCAATAATTTAATAATTTTGTCCGCCTTATCCTTTTGATTTAAAAATTAGTTAGTTATATAATCATCTTGTACAAATCTTTTTCCAGATCTATCGAAAAAATTTTACTGTCAGATTTTTAAGCCATGATACAGGATACCCTAATAAACATGGGCATTTAGTGACGAATTGTATATCGTCTTCGATTTACGCGGCATTTTTTCATTGGCACAATTTTTTTAGTATGCCGGGTTATAGAACTGCTATCGAAAAGACCTGGTCTCGAGATCTGTTCCAAAATGTGGTCTGCCATTTTTGTATCTTCAAAGACATAAAAATCGTCTTCGTTGTATTGATATAATCGCCTTCCACTGTACTTTAAACTTTGGCAATTTGATCTTCAAGAATTCTTAGTTTCAAATATCTAAGTTCAACCACATCAGGACATCTGGTTACAAAGGCATAGAGATGAGATACAATGTTCCTATCCTTTCCAAATGTTCATCCTTTTTTTGTGGGAATTGAACCATAAAGACCCCTGATGTACTGAGTATGAAACCTCAACCTCTAGACGTCTGGGATTAAGGATCAGAGGCTATGAACTATGAATGCTAGAGTGACCTCTCTCTTGAATGAAGGAGATAGTTGTATAATGTTATTAGGCTTTAAGAACCCTTCGCGCCCAAATTCCTAAAAATAACTTTAGCTTTTACGTCTATTGCTCTGAAAGTCGACCATTTAAAATCGCTTTTAAATTTTAAATTTTTCTTTTGGAATTGGCGCATTTTCAAAATAAAAAAAAAGTTATTTTGTTTCCAATTTTGATGTTCTATAAACCTTCCTTGGGGTCATGTGAGGTTCCATACACAATTTGGGCCTGATCGGTTCTGCCGTTGATTGCATACATACGAACAGACAAGCAGAGTATATATGATAATAAATAGATTGTGGTTGGGAACGCACATAGGTCTGCCCCTTAAGTAATTGTAAATTTGCGATACAGTCCAAACTAGGACCGCAAAGGTTGGCCCAGCTCGTATATTATAATGTACACCGGTTGTGCGTGACTCTTGGTGATTTTTTCAACACGATTGTAATGTCATCAAATATCCAGAATTGTTTTGTTCTTGTATCTAATTTTGTTCCTCCTCCACCCCTAAACTTCTTACAAAAAAACTTTTACTTTGATGTGATGAGTAGATATTCATTCCACGGCTGTTGTTGGTAGGAGAAGGCACCCATCACTAAACTCTGAGCATACCTAATAAGAACACAAAAAAAGCGCAAATTCCGTCTCATTCTTTAATATAAATTTAAATAATTTCTGAACCTTCATTAACTTCATTTTCTTAAAATTTTGTTGTTGTATTTTAGAAATTTTTTTATTTTCTATTGAGGAAGAATTTGAATTCTTATTCTCTATTCAGTGGAGAGATTTATTGAAAACTGATCAAAATTACGTCAAGAACAAAAGCGCGATAATAATGTTCGAATACTAATTTACTAATTTCAACATTCACCACACTGTATTCTGGAATTTATTCAACCATTTAATACTTTAATTAAAAGCAATAGGAATCAATTACTGAACGTAGAAAAAATTAATTATGTAACAAAAATATATTTACACTTAAAAAAACATGAATAACCTTAATTTCTGTTAATGTTAAAAATACTTTAATTAATTTGTTTTTATTTGAAGGGAATGCCAACAAAAATTATGTGATTTAAACTTTTTACAACAAGGAATCAAAATTTGCCAAGGGAACGGGAGAAAAAGAAATCTTATCGATTTTTAAAATGAAATTCTCAATTTTGTTAAACAGCAAGTTGGGATGAGCGGATATTATTTTACTTGATAATTATCCCTAGGGACAGCTAAGTAATTTCACCTTGCAGCTACACACAATCTTAAAATTTTCCTCTCCACGTCACATAATTTTCTAAAATAATTAAATTCGAAAAATTAGAAATGTTAAAATTTTATAGAATTCTTTATTTCCCAAAATAGAATGAGTTCTTTAAGGAATTGAAAAGGGGAAATAATAGTTCACTTTTAATTAAAAATAAAAGTAATTGATGTCGCATTATTTTTTTCCGAGTGTTATAAAAAATACTTTAAAAAAGAGATTTAGAGTAATTCTTTTAAAAATATTTTTTATTGGGTTTCTTTGAAACTTAATTGTTTAGATAAAGGTCTGAAAATTATTTTTTATTTGTAACAAAAATATATTTTCTTTGTATGGATGGATGGATGGATGGATGGAAGGATGGATGGATGGATGGATGGATGGAAGAAACGAAACGCTACCGTAAAAGCAAAGAATTAAAAAATAAGTATAACATGGAGAAAATTATCAAATAATCAAATATATGTAAATGCAAAAAAATAATCTAGTAAAAATTTGGTTATATCTTGTTATGAAAAAAAGTGACATGAACATAAAAACTTAAAAATCATCTTTAAAAGAAATTGTTGTTCATGTTGCGCTTAATACTGCAATAAAGTAGTGGTCCGACTTTTAAGCAGATATTTGTTTGCTTTTACACAAAGCAAATTAATGAAAGAAATCTTTCATGCATGGGGAAACAAATTCAATGCATTGACGATTTTATTCCTTGTCATAGATCCATTTTTATATGCGATGCAAGTGATTTAATAAAACTCTGTATTTGCTTCATCTTGTGTAAGAGTAGTATCGAAGAGCTAGATATATTATATCACAGGAACCAAAGGTTTATAGAATAGTCCACTATAATACAACAGTCAAATTTGTGTCTACGCTCTTTCTTTGATTAGAAATACCGCTCGGGATTTTGGAATTTGTAATGGTTAAAACGTTCAAATATGCCATGAAGATTTGTTCAAGATGAATATGTATGGTAGAACCTTTGAATGACTAAAAGCAAGGCCAAAAATGAAAATCTACAGTTTTTAGTGGTCAGCGTTTATATCAATACAGTGAAGACGGCTTTCTATTAAAGTTTTGCTTTCTAGCAAGCTTATTCAAATAACAAGTTTACGAGTAAACCAAGAGAAGCTGTTAATTGATCGCTTTTCTTTGTTTCCACATTTATGTGTCTCCATGCTGTTTGGAAGCTTGGTAGAAATCCAAATTGAAATCCAAAGTCTTCTTCATGGTATTGATATATACGACGACTACAGTGAAGCCTACCTGTTTGTTATGTATCCTGCAATAACATGGCCGCCTGCTTTATACGCTCTTATACACCTAAACAAAATAATGAAATAACTTTAGATCGATCCTAATATAAAGAAATTTCATTGATATGCTAACAATACAAATCAAATAAGACAAGAACAAAATAGAATGCCAAACATGTATTCGTCTAGACTGACCCCATTGTACCTGCATTGTGTCATCATATACATAATGGTAATGGCCAATTCATAAATCAGAGGGTTATAATGTGAGTCTCCAAAATCAAGAACTCCATAAACCTCGTACTCCCCTCCCTCAACCTAGAACAAGAATATATAGACCTTGTGCTCCCTCCCTCAACCTAGAACAAGAATATACAAACCTTGCGCTCCCCTCCCTCAACCTAGAACAAGAATATATAAACCTTGTGCTCCCTCCCTCAACCTAGAACAAGAATATATAAACCTTGTGCTCCCCTCCCTCAACCTAGAACAAGAATATATAAACCTTGTTCTACTTTAACCTAGAAAAAGAATATATTAACCTTGTGTTATACAACAGCAACCAGCAACTGTACAACAGTAACCAGCTACTATACAACAGTAACCAGCTCCTTTACAACAGCAACCAGCAACCAGTAACTATACAACGGCAACCTGCAAACAGCAATTATGCAACAACAACCTGCAATTATACAACAGCAACTAGCAACTTTACAACAGTAACCTGAACCAGCTATCACAGCAACCTGCAACTTTACAACATCAACTAGCTACTTTACAACAGCAACCAGCAACCAGCAACCAGTACTTTACAACAACAAACCTACAAACAGCAACTTTACAACAGCAACCTGCAACTAACAACTTTACATTGTACTTAACATGAAAAAGTAAAAAAAAAATTCATTTTACCTCCTTCATGATAATATTCTGTTCATTGAAGTCTCCATGAATGATCCCACTTTCTTTAGATAAGCATTATAATTTAACAAAAGTAAACTCGTCAAATATTTTGAAGTTAGTAAGATCCTGGAGGCTAAATTTAATTATTTTCAAAAAAAATTCTATTTTTGGGAGGTTCAGTATTTAAAGTGCGGACAAAAGTCTTTTAACAATTTTTAATCCTCTATAGGTGGAATATTGAATTATGATTTCGGATTAAAACTATCATAATATGATTACCTAATAACCTTTAGAACAGTTAGAGTGATACCCAGATAACAATGGAATGGCAATACTTAGGTGTAAAGGGGTCTCTTTACACTGCACAATTGCTGGGCCTCATGTTTGTCTCATTCGGATTTTTAAAAATTAGAACTTGATTTTAAACTTCGTCTTCGTATCTCAGAATTTACTGCAATAGAAAACTTATTTTATAAAAAAAATATGAATAAATAAATAGAAAAAAAGAATTACTATTATAGAAGTTTGGATGACGTATATTTAGCCTTTACATCATTAATTTTCCTAACCTTTCATGTTAAATATATTTATAACGAAGGATTTGTAAAGAAAACTAATTGAAAAAAGATACTTCTCTTTGAAAACCATTTTATGCCTTACATCTTTAAATTTAACCCTATCATGGTGGGAGGAAGTCCACCTCCCCATCCCCTACGTTTTTTTTTTGCTAAAAACTTAAAAACGGTTTACATTAGAACGCTTAATCTTCTTCACCTTTTCAACACCAACTAGTTGTCAACAAATTTTGAAAACATTTTTTTATGCATATTCAAAGGGCGGGTCGGTATTTCCAAATATTCAGAAATGCTTACTTACTTTTTTATTAATTAAGCTACTAGGCTAAAATATTATATATTTGAAAAGCCCTTGAAAAATGTTTACATTTGTCAAAATTATAAATAATTATTTTTCATCATTTTTCCGACCTAAAAGACAAAAATCTCCCAACAAGGATAGGATTCGTGCATAGTTTAGCTGTTACTAATGTGAGGAACCAACATTGTTAAAGAAAGATCATACTGTCGAAACTCAATTTTTTTCAAAAAGAAGTATTGTTTACAAACATTAAAGCGAAAACATTTTACAGGAAAAGATGTCAACCTAATTTTAAGTAACATTCTATAAATATTACAACTGTACCCCTTCAGTGAACAGAGAAACCAATGTACTGTTGAGAATCGGACATGTACCTCTTTAAAAGATGTGTCAAATAATATTACGCCGACAGTCCCTTTAACTACAGCGTGTCCCACAAAACATGACAATAGCAAGACGACTTGAAATTTTAAATTTATTTGCGACTTTCATTGGTCAACTTTCTTTCAAATGTATGATACTTAAAGCATAACCACAACATTTTCCTACTTCTGGCATTTTCAAAATGTGGTCTGCCTTTTTTGTGCTGTCAATATTTCCGGACTCCGGAGATATTAATAATTTCGCTTAGATTTCAAATTTAATAGATAAACCCAAATTTTGGAAATCAGAACAAAATTCTTCATATCTTTGGTAATATTCAAAGCACAAAAAAGGCAAAACACATTTAGGAAATATCAAGACTAGTGGGGGTATTTTGAGATTATTAACTTTAAAATTTTACTTCTGAAATAAGTTTACGAATTAATTCAGCAAATAATATCAAAAATCAAAGACGACCTTCAATTCACCTTGCTACTGTAATGTTTTGTGGGACACCCTTAATGTTTTGAATTTATGAAGATTATCTAATAATTCCTAGAGTTGATTCAAGAGGTTTCACCACGTTGGTAAACTGTTTAATAATATCTGCTGCTAGTTCTCTTCTTGCTTCATCCTGTGTTCATTCATTACTCATAAACTAAATTGCCAAGGGAAGACATTGCTTTTAATTCCCCAAAAAATGGCTTTTTTTGCTACAGTGAGAACCAGAAAACTGTGGAATAGTGTATTTCATGTTATTAAAAATCAAATAGTATTACCACCAACTTATTAAATCCCATATTCAGTGGAATAGGTCTGTTTACAATGCATAATTGCTTTGTCTCATACTCATTACTGTCTTTAAAGTCATAACTGAAGTATAAAAGTCGTAATCAATCCTATTCCAGAGTTTCATGGTTCTCACTATAGAAATCAGACTTCTACGCTAAATCAAATCTGGATTAAGAATACAGGATTTTGTCTAGAGTGTGATTGTGGGGGGGNTTAAAAGGACGATTAAAAGTTTGAAAACATTAAAAGGACGATTAAAAGTTTGAAAACATTAAAAGGACGATTAAAAGTTTGAAAACATTAAAAGGACGATTAAAAGTTTGAAAACATTAAAAGGACGATTAAAAGTTTGAAAACATTAAAAGGACGATTAAAAGTTTGAAAACATTAAAAGGACGATTAAAAGTTTGAAAACATTAAAAGGACGATTAAAAGTTTGAAAACATTAAAAGGACGATTAAAAGTTTGAAAACATTAAAAGGACGATTAAAAGTTTGAAAACATTAAAAGGACGATTAAAAGTTTGAAAACATTAAAAGGACGATTAAAAGTTTGAAAACATTAAAAGGACGATTAAAAGTTTGAAAACATTAAAAGGACGATTAAAAGTTTGAAAACATTAAAAGGACGATTGATTAAAATTTTGAAAAACTAAAGGGACGATTGACATTTTAAAACATTAAGCGACGAGTATTAAACGGAAGATGGAAATTATGAAAAACGTAAAAAATGTGCGTGAAGGAGTAACAAGGATTGAATGTTAATACTCTGGAGTTGAATTTATTTAATAACTTTTTAAAACTTACTGGAGGGTCACTAAAATGTTCGTTGATACCTTGAATATATAAAAATAGTTTTAAACTTGAAAACCTTGCAACAACGTTCTGTAACCCTTTAAAATCTCTTTTATAATCCTTTCAAATCAATATAGCTTAAAGGGAGTGCTCGCAAAAAACGTAATGAGGTTTAAAGGAGAGGCAAACCAAAATCTAGTATTAAGTGGTAAAAAATAATTTCTATCAAATGCTTCAGTGCAAAATAACAATCGTTAACCACACACTGGGAAATAGTAACTGGATAGGGGAAGAATGGGAATTGGGTAGGGGAACAGAAAGAATGGTAAGTGTTTAGGGGAACAGAAAGAATGGGAAGTGGGTAGGGGAACAGAAAGGATGGGAACTGGTTAGGGGAACAGAAAGGATGGGAACTGGGTAGGGGAACAGAAAGGATGGGAACTGGGTAGGGGAACAGAAAGGATGGGAACTGGGTAGGGGAACAGAGAGGATGGGAACTGGGTAGAGGAACATAAAGAATGGGAACTGGGTAGGGGAACAGAAAGGGTGGGAACGGGTATGGGAACAGAAAGGATGGGAACTGGGTAGGGGAAAAGAAAGGATGGGAACTGGGTAGGGTAACAGAAAGAATGGGAACTGGGTAGGGGAACAGAAAGGATGGGAACTGGGTAGGGGAACAGAAAGAATAGGAACTGGGTAGGGGAACAGAAAGGATGGGAACTGGGATGGGGAACATAAAGGATGGGAACTGGGTAAGGGAACAGAAAGAATATGAACAGGGTAGGGGAACAGAAAGGATGGGAACTGGGTAGGGGAACAGAAAGGATGGAAACTGGGTAGGGGAACAGAAAAGACTGCTTATTCAATTATTCTTCACAAGAAAACCTCAAAAAACAACAAGTTCAAAATAATCAAGACCCAATTCTATTCGTATTTATATATTTGTTCACAACACTCCCTTAAGAATATTTTGTACGATTACCTGGAGACAAATTTTCCGCACTGATAAAAATGTTTAGTTGTCCAGTCAGAAATATCAAACAAGATTTTGCCAGGTAAAAATGTTAACAATCTCACTATATTTCTTGTCGAACCTTTCATGATTATTTCATATTTAAATAAAAATTCAATTAAATAATGTATATCTAATTCATTTAGTGTTTATTAAAGTTTTTAAAAGTTATATCACTAAATTATTGTTAGCAGTGTCTGCAAAAAATTGCGATTCTTTTATTCAATATCCTTGGGTAAAAACAAATGGAGGCATTGAAAAAATAGCAACTGGGCTGAATTCATCTACAAAAAAAATTATGATTTAAGTTGATTGATAAATATTAATCATCCCTATGTTTTCTACACTTCTCATCTCTCCATTTAAATTCTTTAAGAGATAACATTTAATAAAAATAACTAGTTCTTTTTATTAATAATCAAAAAAAATTTCAAACAATTATTTGTAGCCTTTAATTTACCAACGAGGTTAGAATTTTCAATAAAAAAGCTCAACTAAGAAGTTCAAAGTGAAACGGCTTCAATAAGGTGTATTAAATTAATACTGAATGAGCCAAAAGTCGTATCGTCTTTAGTCAGTAATCTTCACCATATGAATATTTTAGCTGTAACAGAACATCTTCACTGACTTGTGAGATACATAAATAGCTAAATCTTATGAATTCAGTATTAAATGAATTTAAATAAAAAAACTACTTCTGTAGTGGATGAGAACTTAGACTTTCTCAAAGTGGTATTAAAAACGATCAAGGTTAAATAAAGTGAATAATTATATTCTTGGGGCCAAGTTTAACTTATCCTGTTTATTCAAAAGTTTCAGGCTTGAAATTTGTAGCAATGAGTTCAACAATTGTATACTATGTTAACTCTTCCTTGACAGGCTGAGGGACTGGAAGTCCAGATTTTGCAAGATGAAGAATCAACATATTCTACTCAATAATATTGTAATTTATAAGAAATATCTGGAACTGCAAATTGACGATTAAAGTTTTTGCCAGAAATTCTTTTTACAATCTGTTGTTCTCACCTCTTTGCTAATCATACCACTCAAAATCCACTTAAAGAAATGTTAAAGGTTAGTGAAACCATGTTTATTGTATCAACTAAAATTTCTCAATAAGATTTAAAACTTTTTGTTAAAAATAATAAGAGAATTATTATAAAATCAACGTAACTGTGTTTCCTGACAAAACAGCTAAAAAGAAATGAACGATTAAATTGGCTCTTTATATCTTTGAGCGAAAAATTGGCGAACTTACCTGTACAGAACCTCAGTTAGTGAAAATAAACAACATAAAAAAATTTCGAAAATTGATAAATTGAAAAATATTAAAATTGTGAGTTCCTGAGCATCAGTGAACTCTGTATCAGCAGAATCTATACCATTGGTAACCTAGAAAATACACTTTAAAAAATATTTCGGATCGATTCAGTTGGAACTTTTAAAAACGCCCCGATAGTTTGGCACTTTTAAAGAATTTCTCTACAACGTTTATTTAAAGGGAGTGACCGGCTATGTAAGGTAGTTGAACTGAGTATGCAGTGTTGTGGAAAACTTCTTTCGGATTCATTTGAGACATATTAAACTTTTTAAAGATCTGTAAATCCTGAGTTTGACCGCAAGTTCGACGTTCAAAACTCCTACTTTGGGGTTCAATAAATGGATACGTTTTCAGAATTAGTTTTTTTTAATTATAAAATAACGACGACATAAAATGTAAAATAGTTCTACAATAAACTACAGACGTTATGTACAGGAACATGTGAGAAAATAAAAATTAATCTTATCATCGAAAATAAGTAATCTTGTTCAATTATTAGTTTCTATTTTCTATTATTCTAGTTCTCATTATTCACAAACATTTTCTGCAGATTTTCTTGAATTATTATTGAAAAGACGACATTTGAAGAATTTGAAGAAATCTGCGAATAAATTCAAAGAAAATAAGAAATTCAATATAATGATGAAAACGAAATAATTGATTCTAGCATTGATTTATAGGCAAATTTCTTTTGAGAAATATGTTCCCAACCATCTAAAAAGATTACTGTATGACTTTTACTTTATTTTTCGTCGTCGTTATTTTGTAATTAAAAAAAACCGATTCTGAAAACGTATCCACCCCCAAAGTAGGAATTTTGAACGTCGAATTTGCGCTCAAGCTCAGGATTTACGGATCTTTAAAAAGTTTAATATGTCTCAAATGAATCCGAAAGAAGCTTTCCACAACACTGCATACTCAGTTCAACTACCTTACATAGCCGGTCACTCCCTTTAAGAACGAATCAACAAACACCTCTTGAGCTTAAAATATTGTTCTCTACAAGTTTTTAGATAAAGTAATACTGAACAATCAGTCTCGTTTGTCGTCTTCCTTTGAAGAACATAGATGTTCAACGTCTACACCTTGCACAATGCACATGTTAAAATTCTCTGTAATAATTAAGTGAATCATACAAAAGGATAATTTTTTGAAGGGGGGGGGGGGATTTTGATATTTAGGACCTAAATACAGAAATTCAGGCATTATCTTATGCCGGGCATTATCAAACGTGTCACTGGAATCGGATTTGGGCCATTTTTTTTTTCAAAAGCACAGACAGAATTAGTTCTAGGAAGTATTTCTGTCGCCTTCATTGTAAGTCTAAAAACTTTACTTTTGTTAAAAATTAGATAAATCTGAAGCTCTGTTCACAATAGATAAATCTGAATCCGGAGCACTGTTCTATTCATTAATAATTACACTCAATGGTACTTTTCATAACTGATTTATATCTCTATTACCAAAGTATCAAGAAAAGGCGTCGTTTTTCTTACAGGTAACTATTACATTTTACCCTTTTCCAAGGCCCTCCCAAAGAAAAGATCAGCGCAATGTATCTTTATAGATTTAAACTATTACGGCTACACACAGGCCCTTGAGAATTCAAAATAAAACTATTCACCTTTAGAATATATCCATGAGGCCAGATATCTGTAATATTCTTATTCATACTTTCTCCAGATACAGTTAAATAATAATTCCTAATTCAAACCAAATCTAAGAAAAATTTTACTTTACGATCAAAGGGCACTTTTAAAGGGGATTCAAATTAATTGAATAGAAGTTATGATTTTATCTTTAAGAGATTAGCTTAATTAGCTTTGGAAACCAGAGTTGCTTGGAATTCTAAACTTTCCCTATAAAACTTAACCAATTCAACTTTTATATGAAGGTATGAGTTCCCTAATCATAACTTGACGTAAACCGGTCAATCAAGGGGTTCATGTTCGGACATACAAGCAAACAGAGATTAAACTACTTTAAATACATATAATTTAATATAGTCATTCATGAAAAACTGACTTGCGCATTTCTTTTGCAGAAACAATGAAAGTAATTATCAGAATTAAACACTCATAAAGCTTGAAAAACGACGAATTTTTATTGATCAGATGAAAGTGTAAATGGTACAGTTGTGAATCGGGCATGCCTCTCTTATTTTCTATTAAATGGAAGGTCACTTCAGCCCCCTTTAATAGTCTATCAGAGCTTTAAAAAGTTTTTGCCATTTTTTTCTAAGAGACAAAATGAATTTACCCTAAAATTTAAAATTTAAATTTAAAATTTAAAAAAAAACTTTGGAGAGATATATAGGAAACATCATATCCTTAGATCTCCCTGTCATCATAGCTGTTGAACTCTTTACACGAAGTTGGATTTAATCCAAACACTTCCCTAAAATGTCATTAAGTTTTACAACGTACATTTGTACTGAAAATAAAAATATAAATGGAATGAAATAAGAAAATCAGGAGGAATTTTTTTCTGTTTAAAATGTCAATCAACCTTTTAATGCATGAACGCATACAGGAATGTGTACAGGCGGGGGGTAGGGTGCCTCTGAAAAAAATTCCCGGATGTGCGACACATTTTTTAAGAAGCAATCGGGTAAAACTAGCTCAAATACGAAATTTTAGCATTAAAAAATAATTTTCCTAAATGGGCCAGCCATTTTTGGCCTTTTTCAACCATCTTGGCTAAATAGGGTTAACTCTATCAATTTTTAAGGGATTTTCAAGAGAGTTATACCATTTTGGAAATCCTTTAACTTGACAATCATTTTTCGATTTTTTTGCTTTTTTGATGGTCAAATATTTAGAAAAAGGTGAAAAATCGCGTCTTCTTTACAATTTTGTCAGCTCCATCTGGGAGTGGTTAAAGTAAATTTTTTTTTCTAATTCAACACCATGCTATTTAAAGATATTTTGACAGTTCAGAAATGGTTTTAAAAATGTTTTATTTACAAGTTTAGAGGGAAATGTGTAAGGTATTGGCCCAAAAATCTATTTAAAAAACCGTTTCCAGTGCAATTTTCTATTTAACTCCTCTTGCTTGACCAAATGATGCAAATTATAAAAAAATAGTTTTTTATATAAAGATGCCCATTGATGTCTCTATAACAATGCAAAAAACAAAACTTCAATATTTTTAAAGAACATGGAGTTACTAACTTTTTGGTGAATTATTTAAGACTTTATAACTTTAATGGACCTAACAGTAATGTCACTCAAAAACCGAAAATTTTGAGCGTTGCTAAACTTGTTCATTAAAATCTCTAAAGATCAGTTGTCTTGAAAGATATTCAACATTTGTTTTTTACTGTGCATTTAATGGGCATCTTTTCATGAAAAACTATTTTTTAAAAAGATTGCATCATTTGGAGAAGTAAAAGGAGTTCAGGAGAAAAATTGCATCGGAAACGGTTTTTTAATGAATTTTTGGCCTCTAAACTTGTCAATAAAACATTTTTAGGCCATTTCTGAACTGTCAAATATTTTCAAATAGGGTGTTGATTTTTAGTTTAACCAGTAACCATCCAAGATAGAGCTGACATAAGGTGTAAAAAAGACGAGATTTTTCAGGCGGGGGGGGGGGGGGGGGGGGTCTCAGCCCCGTTAAGGTCTGTATCCCCCCTAATAAATGTAGTTTTCATTTTCAGGCCATAGCCTCAAACCCTGTATACGTCCCAGACTTTTACCTGATCAGTTGTTTAGCCTTCTCCATATCCATACACGGTTTCATGGTCGACTGAACTTCCATTTTCAAATCTGAAATTTTAATTTTCGTTTCTCATCTGAAGAACATTTCCTGACAGTTATATACAGTGTTACCAACAAAATATGAGATTTCAAAGACGACTGTATGTTTAAACATTTCTCTATCCTTGTCAAATCAGTAAATATCAAATTCAACCTTCAAATTGTCAGAAATGATGTGTTTAAAGTCGTCATTGAAGTCTCATTCTTTGTGGGTAACCGGTATTATAAATCAATTTCTAAATTCTGACATATACATTATTCATCAAGAGGCTATTCAAAGATGTTGCTCGATTATCTATTAACAAGTCTAAAACTGCAGTGAGAATCTTTAATCTGTTAAACAGGAAGACGACATTTATGCAATATATTTGTGTGTAATTCTTGTTTATATAACGCAACCAAATTGTAGCTTAATGATCAACTTGATACGGTTATTAACTTATTTGATCTGAGCAGATTGCATAATTTCCTTGTTTCATGTTTATAGGACCATAAAAGATCATATCTGGAGTCTAACAGTCGTCTTTCTATTCCCCAGCTTTATTGATCTCACTGTAGCAATACGAATGTGCAAAACCAGAAAACTTCTCCATTTTGGGAGTGCTCAGTGTAAAGTATTTCTTACAAAATTACTTAGAAGTTCACAGCTCCATTTGATTACAGTGATACTCAGAAAACTCTGGAATAGGAAGATGACTTAAAAGTTCAATGATTATGAAACACAGCAGTTGTGCAGTGTACACAGGCCCATTTCACTAAACAGTTGATCTATTAAGTGTCTAATAGAACTATTTGCTCTGCATGTAACAACATCAAATTCACTAAGCTATCTTCATATTCCATTTTTTCTGATTACTTTCAAAAAGTTTACACTTGAAATCAGTAAAACTTAAAATTATTTTTCGATTTCAAACTGTAAAAAACTAAAAATAATAAATATTTCCAAACCATATATATGGAGCAAGAACAGCTTCCTAACATATTTATTTATTTATAATAACTGAAGTGTAAGGCTATAGAGAAATCTGTAGATAACTGACATTTGTGCTCTATAAACTAGTTGTAGAGTACACACACACTACACAGTATACACTAATCATGATGTAGGTCTTATAAAATAACCTTTGAACTGAATTAGCAGGGGTGTAAAATAATAAAATATTAACATAAATATTTAATTAATATCTCTTTTTAAACTTTTATTCATATACAAGGCTTCCAAGGCGCTTCGCGTCCATCTTTGATTTAAACTTTTAATTTTTGCTTGATCTGTGGCATTTTCTGTTCATAAACTATCAAATAATAAGTAAAAAAAATCACAGATTCATTGATTTTTCATTCTGGATTTTTAAAAAACTAATTTTTTAGGTGATTTTTAAAAATTGTGACCATCCATAACCATTCCCTGGGGTCACGGGAGTTGACGGATCGGTTAATCCGTTTTTAAGTTTAATGAATAAGATCGAACAGACAAACCGACAAAAGTATTTATGTAGATGAATACTTTGTATCCTAATATTTAATATCTGTGCAGTACAAAATAAATCTAAAATGGTTTATGATTGGAACTTAGACTACTGGTTGCCAGGTAATTTAATTAACTAAATATAATTCCAGCGAACATTACATTACATACTTAGTTATAAATTCTTATTGACGAGATCACATTTATTGCTAAACGTCCAAAAAGTTCTCTGAAAAAAGTTTTCGGAAATAACGTTTGAATTTTGGCACTAAATAGTCCTGTAGAAAATAAGTCCTTGAAAAAAAGTCCCTGGAAATTAAGTCCCACCCTTTAGAGACTTCATTTTCTGGTCCCAGTACGATTTTATACAGAAATAACCCCGGAAAAAAAGAAATACTATGGTAGAAAATGCACGGGAACAAAGGATGTTTACAACAATGGAAAAAGGGGGCATGGATATTAAAAGCACCCCTGTCTATATTCAAACTGCCGATGCATAGGAAAAAAGTCCTTTTTATGAAAACGTCTCAGACTTGATCTCATTTTCATAAGACTTAGAACTTTTTTTCCTGTTTTTTTTCTTCGGATATATTTTCTTAATGACTTTCTAATTCCTGTGATCTTTTTTCCTGAGACTTTATTGGCAGCCCCCATACTATTTTAGGGGGAAAAGTCTCATGAATCTAAAATTCAGAACTTCATTTCCAGTGACATTTTGTCTTTTTTACCTAAGTTATTATTTCCAGCTTTTTTCCAAAACTTTTTTTCCGGTGACTTTCTTACATAGATTCTATTTATTGACTATCAATATCTTTTCTTGGAAAATGCTTATTCTCGATATGTCTCTTATGATTGAAAGTGGCTAATGATTCATATTCACACAAATTACAGGGATATCTCACTCCTTCATATCTAATCTCAATATATTTTGTTAAATTACTTTTTGTTGTTGCAGCATAATCACATTTATTACAAGGATATTAGACCTTAGTATGTTTACTTTTGACACGTCTTTCTAGTTTTCTGGAAGTGTTTCCAACGTAATCACACTTGCTGCATGAACATTTTAATTCTCCTTGTTTACACTCTACATGTTTCTTCAGTTGACGCACATATAAAGTAGTGTATTCACATTGATTGCATGGATATCTCACTCCTTCATGTTGAGCCTCAATATGAAGCCTAGGACAAGATGCTTCAGTTGCAGCATATTTATAGGACAGGGAAACTTGACTCCTTCATGTTTACCTTCATATGTTGATTTAGAGTACTGCATGTTGTTGCAGAATACTCACGTTCATGGCAGGGATAGCTTACTCCTTGATTAACACTTTCAATTAGTGTTTTCAGGGTATCTTGTCTCACACAAGTGAAGTGTATTCACATTAATCACAGAAATATCTCAAAACTTCATGTTTACTTCTAATATGTATCTTTATATATTTGGCAGTTGCGATGTACCCACATATGTCACATGAATAATTTCCTCCTTCGAGTTTCCTGATCTGGGTTTGCTCAGATTGCAGAGAATAATCCAAGGAAGGGTATTCTAAAAAACGAACAAGAACAAAAACTAAAAAAGTCTAAAATTCAATTTAATAAAATTGACACAATGGTTTATTTATATACGAGAAACTCACATAAAAATTGCAAATTAAATTTAAGCAGCAATATTTAAACTAATATAAGTTATGCCTATTTAGTTATTTTAAAATGTTAATGCTCTTTTTTGCTGTTCAAATCCACGAGTTGCGCACTAGAGAATAATGTGCTTGAGATAGAAAAGATAAGGGTCAAGAATCAACATCTTCGATCAGGTTTCAGGAATTTACAGTTAAATGTTATTCATGCTTCACAAAATTACGAGTCTTGAAATTACACGATTGATTAATATGATATTTCTAGACATGTATGTATCTACTGTAAAAGGTTTCATTCGAGTGACACAACTTTTAACCTGACGGTCTCAATGGAACAGTGTGACGACTGTCCAATAAAAGTTCAAACCAAAGTTTTCTTTAAACCTGTTTTTTTATTTACCTGGATTTTACATTTTTACATCTTCTAACCCACAAACAATAAATGAGTCCTCCTTTTATTTCAGTTTCTTCAAAGTTTCCTTCTTCTTCTTTCTTAATCTTATTTATCACTTCGTATTCTTCTTCCATTTTCATGTCTTCTTTATAATTCTGTTCCATTTTATCTGAAATATTTAATTTAAAAAATATCTATTTGTAGTTACATTAGGTTAGTTTGTACTACCCAAAAGGCAAATCTTGCAAGTAAAAAAACAACTGTAAAATTAATTTTTACTTCATTTTCTCCTTTCTTTCAGCTCAGTGTTTTTCTTGTACAAAATAATGGCATACTTACTCTGAATAATACAATTTAGAATACATTGTACAATTATTGACCTAACTAGCGGGGGGGGGAGGTCCTGTCCATTGCCCATGTCAATATGTCAAACAATCTTTACTTAGATTCTTATTCCTTATACCAAATTAAGAACTAAACTAAAAATATTAGCTTTTCACACATATAACACTTAATGCTCTTTTTGCACAAGATGTCTCCTCCCCCTGATAAAACCTCTAGTTTTGCTTTAACATTGATTATAAGTTATCCTCCAATGTTTTAGTTCCAAGATCTCGCATGTTCTGGAAAAATCTGAAAACTTTTGATTCCTTCAGTTCTTCTTCTTTTTCATCTTCAGAGGCAGAATCTTCAAAGGATTTCTTCTCACGCGCAGCGCTGAAAATAGTGCATGTAACGCTATTCCGGCAGGACTAACCTAAAGGTTTTTGAAATTTAACGGATGATTCCATTAACGAAAGGCTAAAACCGTTGATATTGAGATCGTTTATAACCGTTCAAGAAAAAGAAAGAACGGGAAATAAATTATTACGTGTTATGAAAATTTTAGAAGCATATATCGTGCTAAGTTATGGAGAAACTAGGGGTCCAACGCAAGTGGATTTCACTAGATTTAAAAACAATATTCAAAAAGAATCAAATAAATAGACAATATTCATCGTTGTAATTTTCTTCGTATTTAATCAGAAATGCCGCGTATCAGTCACGTGGTTTTTACCTGAGAAAGTTGACCGATCTCTCCTCCCCAGGCCGTGTTTTGAAGCCCTTGTTGTCCAGGAGAACATAGGATAATTCATGCCCATGCGCTTCAGATCCTTTTTTAAAAATAAATCTAAATATTTTAAAACCAAAACAATGACCCATTTTTTAAATGAAAGGAACGAATTTAAACCGCTTTCTTATGGATTTAGAGTTCGCGGGTTTAAAGAAATTGATTTCTATCATATTAAAAGTTTTCAACTTTGGCATTTACATGTTTTTTAGATTTAACATTTTAAACTAAACCAAGTACTTTGGAGCAATTGATAGAATTTATAAAATGTCGTATTCTTAACTAACTGATGTCTGATTTTTGGGTTTAATAATTATATAAAGCTCTTTAGAACTGCTCACGCATATTCATGGCTATTTATTTATTTTTACAATTACTGAGATTTAGGAATAAAAGTATAAAACCCATTGAAAAATTGTCAAGACGACATTTTATTAATTCTTAATTTCTCTGAAGTATTGGGTTTAACTGTACCTAAATTAATTCGAATTTACCTTTAAGCTGAATTGATACAGTGACGTGATCAAAAATTCTGTAGATATCCGTACCATCAATAGTATCAACCTAAAAAAGTTTATTTTCAAAATGAGTATTGGGTATGAGAAAAAGTGCCGCAGAGCAATGATGAATGAGATACAAACCAGCTTTCTTAATACAATGAGACCTATAAAACTGTTGAATAGGAAGACGACTGGTAGACTTAAGTATTACTTTTAAATAGTTAAATGAACAAGAAACAAAGCTTAGTTGTCAAATGTAAATAAGATTGCTTAGTCGTCTTCCTATTTCACAACTTTGTGGGGCACACTGTACCTTAACAAAATGTTTCCAGAATGCAAATAAAGATCTGACTACCTTTACAAAATGTTCCCTAATTATGACTATCTATCTAACTAACTTAACAAAATGTTTTCAGAATACAAATATTGATCCAACTACCTTTACAAAATGTTCCCTAATTATGACTTTCTATCTAACTACCTTCACAACTATCTATCTAACTCCATTTTCACATACCCTAAGTGTCACTATCTATCTATCTATCTACCTATACAAAATCTTACCTTAATGTGACTATCAATATGTATATCTATTCTTACAAAATGTTCCCTAATTGCGACTATCTATCTATCTACCTTTACAAAATGTTCCCTAAGTGCGACAATCTATCTATCTACCTTTACAAAATGTTCCCTAAGTGCGACAATCTATCTATCTACCTTTACAAAATGTTCCCTAAGGGTAACTATCCCTTTCTGCCAGACAAGACCATGTTCTCCTTTATAGATCACCTCTCTAGCCTTGTTCTCTAAGTAAACTGGACCTACACAAATAGAACTTAAAGGGACTGTGCTCGTCATTTAAGTGGTATTCCATTTGAAAAGGGACTTTCCCGATTCACAACAGTACCCTTTAAACTTATCAATAATTTGGATGATAATGGCGATTTTTCTGGCTTGATAAGTGTTTAATTCTTATAATTTCTCAATTTTTTCTGACTCAAGAAATGCGCATGTCACTTTTGCAGAGAACCCGAAAATGAAAATAAACAGTTTTTAAAAACAAATTTATAATTACGGATATTGGATAACTATTGTCTAATTCATACTTGATCAGACAAAGCTTCTAAGGATACCGTTGTGAATCGGACATACCAGTCTTTCAATGAAAATTCTTTAGTTAAAAGGGCGCCGAGCGTAATAAATTTTGAATTAAAAATTGATACCTTTTAGAGCGTATGCTGGTATATAAACAATGAATCCATTGGATCGTAAAGATAGAACGACAGCATCCACAATGCAACTAGAACGGAAAAGTTTAAAAAAGGATTAATTATGATCTCAATAATAATAATATTAAAAACTAGCTGAAGTGCCCGGCGTTGCCCGGAATATTTCAAAAACACTTCAGGAAAAAATCGAAATTCTGAATTTTAAAAAACAATTCGAACTTTTAGTCTCTGTCATCATTCCCAAGTGGACTTCTTTAAAACTTTAAGTCAATCTGGACCAGCCGTTCGGCCAGCTATAGCTAACATAAGTATATGAGCAAAGAGCTTAAATAAATAGATCAAATTTAGAAAAGATAAAATATACAAATATCTTTTATTTCGCTTTCCCCCCATATCATGTGTAAAAAAGTGCAAATGTGAGAAATTTTGCTCATTTTTAAAATCCATGAACCCTCCTTTAAAATTAACTTACCGTGGATCTGAAAGTGGTAAACCCTTGAAGTATAATGTTTGGAACAGCTGAGCACTCATCCTCTGCGCTAATTGAGCAGATCTAAACAAGAAAATAAACAAAATACAACAAATAAAACACGTAAACATCCGAATACTGAATATCAAATTATTAAAAATCAAAATTAATCTTTTTAATTTATGCGTAAAGAGATCAAAAAAGTTATTTTAATCAGATAAGAATTAAAATAACATAGATACTAACTAATGGATACATTCCTATTATACAAAATACACTCTTCCGCTAAATACCACCGTTTATTCGGTCAGTGTACTGTAGATCACTGCAGTAGGCAATGCAAGCTTTGTTGAGGATGAATGCGAAAATTATCAATATTATTTTGATTGAACCATTATAATAGAATTGAATTCATCCAAAACAGAACAACAAGCTTTGAATTGGGCTTCCCCTTTTTAAATAAAGAATAAGTTGAAATTACAAAAACTGTCCCATTATTTTGATTTCTCCACGTGGCATCATATTTCTAAATATAAATAGAAAAATCTAACTCTAACGACCATTCATTGATATCTTAGCAACTTTTTGTATAATTACGAATTACTAGGTATTCAATTTAAAAGTTTTGATTCTATAAATAATATAAATAATTATATGTAGTTTTACTTATAAGTTTTTGGGAAACCAGCGTTGCCTAGGTTACTCATGGATTGTTCCGCCGTTCATCCGCACCTGGTTGATTTTACCAGCAAATAAATTTTTCCTATTAAAGTCAATCCACTCAAAATCAAGCTAAGGTCATTTTCGTGGTTCTCCTGAGTTCCCCGATCAAATATTGACGCAAATCAGTCAAGGGGTTCATGAGTTATGATCAGACATACAAAGATTACAACTTTATATAAGTAAATAACGATTCTAAAAAAGCTCAATCGAATTAAATTATTATTATTATTAATAATAATAAAATATAAAAATATTAAAATAAGGATGTGTGCTAACTAGCATATTTTTACATACAACTATGTGATACAGATTTGGCGGAAATAATTATACTTTTTGGAGAAAAAACTATCAAAAAACCTTTATATGTTCAAGGTGTCTCTAGAAAAATCCAGTGAGGCCAGAGCCTCAACTGAGTATTGTAATTTTAGTTAATAAATAAAAAATAAATGAAACATTTTGTTTTTTGATTTATATTCCTTGATAAGACATAAGACATAAGACAAATTTAGGCTGGCTCTTCGAAATTGGTCACAAAATAGGTATTAAATCTATTCTCTGTCCCTACTTCTTGTCAACACCGTTAACTACAACAGTGTAGCCGGCCCAGTGTTAAGCGGCTACAATTCCAGTTGAGAGTGTGAGGACTGAAGTTGGCAATATCTTCTTCAATAAAGCATATAAACTCATGTATTAATGTGGTGCGCTGGTTATCAGGGAATAATCGACCTGGATATGAGAGAACTTTCATGTTTTATAAGTCTCAAAAACAACGATAAGAGACCAGAAATCAAATTATAACTCACCTATTTCGTCCGTTAATATGCTGGCAGAGATCCTAAAGAAAGTTTTCAATAGTTAAAAAGTGTTATCGAAAAAGTTTCTTTTCTGAAAATTAATTTATATTTTCAACTTTGTAATAAACTTCCATTGAGAAACGCATAAACTATAAATTTTTATTTTATAAAATATCATTTCAGAGCTGGGAACTTTAGAATGGATAACATTTAATCCCAACTTCTTAATCCGTATATCCACTGTGGAAACTTTTAATATTAGTCCTTAATCCACTCTTTTTCTCTCTCGTTGGATATTCGTACATTATTTTCTCCAATGAGAGTGCAGGAATATAGTTCGTAAATTGTATTGACCAATGAAAGCCTTGAAAATAAATTCTATCCCATGAGAGAAATCCGCAATTTCTGATAAAAAAAGAATTTGTTGTCGGCCATTTTGTAAATTAATCGGCGAAGAAAAATATTTAATAAGAGGTTTCAGATTCTTCTGTAACCAATTTTAACTAATGTATTAATAAATAAATGGGTGAGAAATTAAGTGAAGGCCCTTCATGTCAAGAAAACGAACCAATCTGGCGTTCTTAGAATCAAATTTGTTGATCTAAATATTTAATCTCAAGACTAACATAATCTCGAGATTATGTTAGTCTCGAGATTAGCAAAAACAGAGGATTAAGCATTAATCCTGATATCCACCATTCTAAAGTTTTCAGCTCTGATGTACGTTGAAAATTTGCTTAACTTTTATTATTCCTAAATATAATAAAATTGTGATTTTGTTGTCACCATGTATAACTAGAGGGTCATTAAAGGGAGTGACCGCGTAAACATGGTAGTTGAGCTTAGAGTGCAGTATTGAAGAAAAAAGATTCGGATTAATTTAAGACCTATAGGACGTTTTTACGGTGTAAAATTGTTCAGCAAGAGCAAGAATTCGATCTTTAAAATCCTCCTGGGTATCTGCCTCGCCTGCAGGTGGTGGCGCGACAAATCTGCCACGCCGCCACCTGCATTTATATGAATCCAAAAAAAATCTCTACAATACTGCACTCTCAGCTCAACTACCATGCCTAAGCGGTCACTCCCTTTAATCCTTGTTGAATACCCAGAAAATGTAGAATATTAAGACAACATTAATGCAATAGTGTATTTGATATTGTTTTAAAGCAAATAGCTTTACTACCAAGTTATTAAATCAAATAAGTGAAAAGGGTTTGTTTACACTGCGCAATTGCTGTACTTCATGTTCATTATTTTAAGTCTTAACTTGAGTCTAAAAGTCGATTTCATATTCCAGAGTTTTCTGGTCATCAATGCATGTGTATACAAACAAATTCAACCTTGAGCTCTGAGTTGTTGAAAAGTATTGACGAGGTCTCTCCTCCCTTCCACCAATCTGACTTCTCCAACGCCGCTAACAGCAGTCGATGCACAATAACATCAGCATACCTGGAGAATCACCTGCCCTTCATTGGGTTTTAAATTTCATTGCATAAATCATATACTAAAACTAGGCTGCCTAGAAATAAGTGCAGGCCTTTCAAAAACAAAATTATCAATTTGTAGTCCAGCATTTTATCTTTAATTAAGTTCTCTTTAGAGCTTTTAACAAGTCCTGAATGTAGTAGTTTACCTTCGAATTGGTGAAGTGAAATGAGTATACTTGTCCAGAGCTAGACCATAATGACTCCAATCCTCTTGGGGTACACTTCCTTAATTAAAGTTACTCCTTTTAGTTTTTTGCATTTAAAATTTAGATAACCCAAGGGAAAATAAAATAAATTGCATTATGTAAAAACATATCCAATTCTACCTGTAGAGAAGTATTCTGCCTGCACCATGGCATATGTGGCTAAACTTTTAAGCAGAAAGTTAACTGAAGGGTCTTCCTGATCAACACAGGAAGCAAGACTGCTCGCAAGAAGTTTATTACTTTCTGTGCTAATGGTCCAACCTCTACTTCCAGCACACTTCTTCAACTCATCAAAGTTCTCCTAGGGATGGCAGGTTAAGTTGGCTTGGAATGCTCTTGATCCAGTATTAAAAGTTATGAAAAGTAAAAATGAGTAAAGTATCGTGTAAAAAAGTCTCTGATTGCTAAATATGAAAATTTTTTGTGAAATAAGTTGTTTTGCTATTTATGTTCAAGCCACTAGATATTGCTGTTGTTAAATGGAGCCAAAAGGAAATTATGAATGATTGTTTATATCTCTATGATTTCTTAACCCTATCCCTGCTGGGGTACTTGAAAACCAGGATATGCTGGGGGGGGTCAATTTGACCCCCCCCCTCTAAATCCCATGTTTTATGTCCAAATATGACAAATGATACATCACTAGAAAGCTCTTGTGCTCTACTTTTAGAACCTGCAAAAAAATTTGCAAGTTGCAAAAATTGAATTTTTTATCGCAAAATCCAGTTATATAGTAAAAATGTTTGCAAAAAAAAATTTGTCCAAAAAATGAAAAATTATACAAAATGTTAATTACTTCGATTGCATGTCTGTCAACCGCTTCAGTTTACCTACCCTACTCTACCAACTCCCATCTCTAACCTTCTTCAAAAAATTATTTATATCTTGAGTATCACAGGAGAGCTTTGTTAACAGTTCTAAGTTATTAAAGCTCTCCTGCTGCAGTAGTTTTACATATATTTAAAGTTACTAATGTTTTGTTAATAACTGTTATAATTTATTATTACTGCAGAAAATATTTGATTTGATTTGATTTGAAGGTTGTCATTGATTAATTCTTAGAAAAGGGTGTGTCAAACAAAGGGTGGGGGGAGTCCTCAATTGGTAATCACAGCCACCCAAACGTGTTTTGAAATCAATTTGAAATCTCCACCACCTCAATTTGTAATCACTGTAAAATCTTGTTATCTGAGATTTTAATTTATCTATCGGGGTTTCATGGCATGTGTATTGACTTAAGCTAGTTTTTCAATTTGCTTTCAGATTCGCTTGGTCAACAAAAACTGAGAAACAAGGCATAGTTTATTTGAGCCGAATCTTAGATCCAATCCACAAATTTAAGGACTGCATTTCATGATTGGAGTTAAGATTCTTAAAGGTCGGGCTGCCTGCCGACTAAAAATTACCTCACCCGCCCAAAGTAATAATTATCTCCATTTAAAAGATATTTTCAAAAAACCATTAGAGTGTTAAGATTTTTGTTTTCGCCTACTCGAGTTCAGCATCTACAAAAAAAATAATTTCATGCATAGAAGAAAGAACATAAAAGTTTACTAATCATGGTTAAAGCTTCATCTCAATTAAAGATACCTAAGTGTTATGTTCTTAATGGGGAAAATCGTAATTCTCTAGGAGCAGGAAGGGGGGGGGGTCAGGGGGCATTGCTCCCCAGTATGTTTGCCATATTATTATTATGTTAAATATAAACTATGACTAAAAAGTACACAGACTCTAGGACTCAGTTAGTATTACGTTCATTAAAAATGTGATATATAAGGAGTTTAAATCAATAACATTCAGAGAAAAATGCCCCAAGCATTTTAAAGCGAAACTTGAGATTCAAAAAAGTAATTTTATTTTTAGCGCTTCATGCGGCATATTTATAGTCTAGATTTATTTTTGAAACTGAGGAGCAATAAAGAAAGCTTAAACAATATTGTACGCCATAGGGCCATTAACAGAGATCAATACTCAATATGGTCTTATTACTAAGAAATAAACGATTTAATGTTAGCATTTTTATTCCAGATTACAAATTAAAGTGGTGGAGATTACAAATTATGGAGCGCGCATGCCGCAAAACAAGTTTGGGTGGCTGTGATTACAAAATGAGGACTTCTCTGCACTCCCCCCCCTTGGCAAACCAATTCAGGAATAGATAATTGCATAGATATTTACAAATTTATTAAAATTGCTCTTCACGGCTGATAAATAGGGCATACTGTGCAATGTCATAAATCTTCAGTAACTGAGCCTGTACAAGTGATGTCATGTATAAACCTAAGTTCAAGAAGGTTATAGTATGAGAAGTTACTTGATTTCTATGTCTACCTACACTGAAAGTCAGTGCAGGGGTTAAACCTAGAGCATCAGAGTTGACCTTATTAGTGAAAGTATGCGTCAAAGAAGCAAAATGTCTGAAACACATACTTAAGACCATTCACCTCCTTAAGTGCAATATGCACTATGCAGTTTATAAAAGGGGCTTCTACTTGCTGCCCAGGAGGAGGGCATAATTGAAAGCATCTACTTTCCACAATGTACCTTCGGAGGAGAAGGTTTATGTTTTATGTCAAAGAGGGTCATAGAAAGAGCATTTGCTTACAACCAGTGCTTAGGATCCATTTAATTTTGATGCGGATCTGAATCCAAATCCAGATCCAGGTCATTTCTTCCAGATTTACTGAATTTTTTTAACATAAAATAATTTTCAAATTTTTTGTATTATTTTTTTCGCTTATTTTTATTCTAAAACTTGAAGAACCATTCGGAAAAGAGGAATTTTTTTAATCTCTCTTTTTTCAAAAGTTCAGATTTGGGTTTTAGGAATAAAAAAGGTTTTTTTGCAGTTTTTGGTTGATATTTTACCCAAGCACTGCTTACAACTAGTTACTTTTGTAAGAAAGGTTACAATCAGAATTAATGTTACTAATGAGTAGATAATCTTCCCCCCAGTTACCTTCTTTGGAGGTGGATGAAGCCTAAGAAGAGAGAAGGCTGGGAAAACGTCAGCAATTTTCCTGGCAACCCAGTGATTTGCCATTATCATACATTCGGCAACTGTTTCATGAATCTCTAAGGGGAAAAAAAGCATTTATCAATAAAATTTGAAGAATTTAATGGGGAATATATTTTTAAGGGACTTTAAGCATAATTACAAGGGTACCACCCATGCAAAGATGACAATGTCCAATTCACAATGGTACTTTTGAAACCTTAATCTGATTAATTTTGTGACAAATTTTGTGGTTTGTTTAATTTTGATCGTTTCAATATGGTTTCTTAATAAAAAATGTGCAAGTCACTTTTGTAGAGAAACCACAATTAAAGTAATAAATATTGATATATAATTCATACTAGATCGAACAAAGCCTGTGAATTGGGCTTTGGCATCTTAGGATGACAGGTCACTTGAAATAAGGCTTACAATCCCTATAACTAGACAAATGATTTAAAGTTTAAAATACACACAATGAGCAGTGAGCACACTATGCATCCATTTGAAACACTGAATAGTAATACGAACATTAAAAAGTAACTTTGGTCAGTTACACTGAAATCAAATTTGTAACAGTTGACTCTAAAGCAGAGGACTTAATGTAACTTGTATTGCATAGGTAAAAATAAAGAATGTAGACATGGAAAATGAATTTTTTTTCCTTTTTTTTTAAATTTCAAGGTCAAAACTCTTTAAGTTATATTGTAGTTTAGTTAAATTTTACCTAGATGCTCCTTAGGCTTAATACTTTCCAAGGAACTCTCCTATAATCAATTAATCATTAGATAACCAAAGCCATAAAACACTCTTCAACCATCATTTTGAAAAAGAAAGTCAAAGCTGAAGTGCACATTCTATTAAATTCTTGTGTACATTGGCTCTGAATATTGACCACTGCATGCTTAGAGCATACAAATATCAAGGAAAATTGTTAAAGAAGTTCTAAGAAACAAAAAAGTTACTGAAAACAAGTTAACAAATTAGAACCAACCTGAAACTCAAACTGAACCTCTGAAGACTCAAGGTTTAATGCTCCTTTCTCCTGTCTTGAAGATTCCCATCTAGAAGCTATTTTACTCAGAAGAACTAAAGAATACAAATAAAATAAACTAAGGCACTGCAACTTACAATATTCGTAGCATTTTGTTTCATATTCTTCGTAATTTTCTGTTTCCGCACCTAGATTATCCTTCAGATGATTGTATTTTTGTTCAAGTTGAACTCCTTGCAGTGACTTCAACTCCTGTATTCTACTTTGCATTTCCTCCTTGGATTTACCATTGATCACATCTAGTTGGAAAAATTCTAATCTAGATCTTCTAGTTTAAAAAAACACATTGGAAATTGAAATTAACCACTTCAAATTATGTTTCCTATCATATCTGTTGAGGATTAACAAAAAAATAGGTTGCAACATCTTTGCTATATTAAAAAAGCACTACTTTCAACATTTATTTATTATGAAGATTTATTGTCTAAGAATTATTTCCTTGAGCATCTTCATAGCAGAGTTTGTAGCTGGAGCGGATTAGGGTTCTACCATACCAAACCTTCCGCACCTTGAAATTGGTGGGATGTATCTCCCAGATCACAGACACAGCATACCTCTCTACATTCCCTGAGATAAGAAAATATAATGACATGTCAGCTTCTGATGATCAATATTTTACCCATATTTACATTCCAGCTGTTGATTTTCCCTTGAATGTGTAATGTTCTCACTTTCTTTCTTACCCTAACTTTTAATTAATTTCCAATTTCTTATCTTGTTTTACCTTCTTCCATGTAATGTTCATTTATTTACCCTTCTTCTGGATTCTATCCTATCTTTTAGCATTTGTAAGGTCGTCATTTAGTTGTATTTGGTTCTTTAAAAATGTTACCTAACAGGGAACACAGGTTTGCAGAGAGAACACTAGGTAACATATCATACCTCCTTCACAAAGCAATAAGTTAATAGAAGTGGTTAATCTTTATCTGGACAGTTCAGCTACTTCTTACGGAACTGGTCCAGTACTTTTTTATTTTATTAAATTAAAAAATAATACCTATCTGCTAGGTATACTGTAGTTGCTCTCTTCCTTGCCTCCATATCGGTTAAAGAATTAAACTCAACAAAATGTGTAACATCAGCAATATGAACTCCAATCTCAACATTTCCATTCTCAAGATGTTTTATGGAAATAGTGTCATCAACATCCTCACAGCCTCGAGGATCTATGGACATAACCAAAGTGTCCCTGAGATCCCTTCTAGCGGTCACCTCGGCAGGATCAGGTTTCCAGTCCGCAGCACTCTCTAGGCTAGGAAGCTCCTTGAGTATTCCATCTGAAAACGGAGTAACTTCTATACTGTTCTCTACTAGGATAGAATCAATCTCTGTCTCTAGATCTCCGATCTTTCCCAGGCATTTGACAAGATGCCCCTGAGGGTACTGAGAGTTGACCTGCCAGTTATCTATCCTCACCAGTACCCTGGTGCCCTAGAGTTACCAGCGTAATAATGGAGTTGTTCAGACATTGACATTTGATTAGATCTTTTAAAAAAACTTATCTCCAGTATTAAGATTTACAAAAAAGAAAGATACTTTTTTATTGAAAAATATTTTGGTTTATTTATGAAAGCTTATTTCAGATTACCATTAAATCAAGATAAATAGACACCAGATGTTAAAGACTCTCTTTGTATTTTAAGTTCCCCTGATGAATGGAAGAGCGCAACAAATAAGAATTCAGAACGTTACCCTTTCTTTCATATATTAGGCCCCAATGCCTGCTTCTTTACAAAAAATTTTAATATTAAATAATCTGTAAGCGTAATTTCAAGTTACTATCCACGCAAAGATAGGAAAGCCATCCTTGATTCACAACGGTGCCCTTGAAACCTTAATCTGATCAAAATTTTCTGAATCTAAATTTAGTTTTATTTCTATGAACTTCTTCTTTGCTTCTTACAAGCAAGTAATGAACAAGTCACTTTCACCGAGAAACCGCAAATGAAAACAAATAGTTTATAAAGAAACTAACACATGGATACTTAATTCATTCTTGAACAGATAAAGCTTTTAAGGGTACCGTTAATAATCGGGCATTGAACCCTTTGCATGGAAGGTCACTTGAAATTACCCAAACAGTCCCTTGATGACACAGATAACAGTTTAGCTCTTATTATTCGATGCCTGAAGTTTACTGAGCTGTGTAGTCTGAATCCGAATTTTAGGAATCCTCCGGTCAAAGGGGCAGACAAGGACTCGTCGGCCAGTTGCCCTTTCCATTCCCGCATTTTCGTCTGAGGGTAGGGTTGCAATATACTCTCTCCAGTTTCTCTCCAGGATACCTAGAACTCGTCCTGTTGGCATCACATCTGCTCCTTTAGACCAGGATCTACCCTCATCTTTTTCCTCCTCATCCTAACATCATTTATTCATTGTAAGTCTTACATAGTCCTTCCTTTAGAAAGTGCAATAAACGATTACAACAAACTATAGTGAATGAATACAATTTTGGTTGGAAAAAAAGTGATAATAAAAGAAATATTTACCTTAATTAACGCAGTTGCTCTAGCCTTCCATTCACTTTTAGGTGCTAACTCAACAACAACCCTGTCCCCCTAAATAAGCAATCAATTAATCTACTACCAAGTTAACCAACCAACCCGTCATTTATTTATTTCTAGAATTGACAATCAATCAATTAAAATAATCTGCGCACACTTTGAATAAAGAAGATTTTAATATTTCAAACTACTACTGTAAAAAGTTACGTATTATATTAAATATATTAAATTTATCTTAAAAATAAGTTTTACTTAAAACAACTAAAAGCTATCTCTATAAAATCAATTGTTTGAATCAACAAATTGGAAAATAACAGTTTGCCCATTTACAAACTCAGCTTTAAATGGTCGTAAATATTAAGAAGATTATCAACAATATCAGAAATCAATAAATTAAGAAAATAATCTGACAAGTTAATCGGTAATAAATAAATCGTTTAATCAATCAATGACGCAATCAATAAACCAACCAATCAACAAACAAACCAACCAATAGATCAACCCATACTACCTGTATTGCTCTATTCCTATCTCGCATACCGGAAATGAGGATATCCCCGGTCCCCTTGTTCTTCTCTCCTATCCGGGGAACAAATGCTTCTCTGGAACTCAAATGTTTATTTACATTCAGAGTTCCAACAATGTATTTTCCTATACCAGTTTCATCTTTTACAATTAAACAAGAAAAAAGGCCATTTAAAGCCAAAGGGATTACATAATTGGGATTTTAACATAACAACTCGACATAAATTTAAATCTGAAGCAATAAAAACGTTTAATTGACCAGTTATTCGACATGGATTTATTTAAATGATGAAATAATTTCCTGCTTTTATTCCAGCCTCTAGAACCTCTGGTTTTAAGTGTTCAGTGTATTCCTTCTCCCGTCCCTCAACCCTCTCATCTGAACATCAATTAATTAATCAAACTATTTCAAATATTTGCCCAAAAGAAATTTGCAATTAAATGCTTTTCTAAATCATTAATTAATATATATATCATTTATTATTCTTAAAAATGTGATTAAACTATCAAACAATGGTCCTCTTTGTAATAAAAACTCAATCAATCAACTCATAGCAGCACTTTTTTCCACTTGCTTAAAACTATCAATAAATCAATTAGCAATTTAAAATTCATACATAAAATTCTTTATTTTTTCTTATTAGGAGATAATAATTAGCATAATTAATAAAAGCTATTAATTGTGAAGCGTTCAAAAATTCAAGGGAATGTTCGCGAAAAATGAAAGGGGGTATAGGCTTACGGCGAATAATAAGCCCTTTGGATCGCTACTAATCTTACTTCTTTATGTTGCGTCTATAAGGATAAAATGGTTAAAAACGACTCCTGCTGAAGAACGTAGCGTCCATACAAATTTAGAAAGTTGCAACATTCAATTCGGATAATAAAATAATCAATTTAATTCCAAACAAATCATTCAGACATTACAAACAATAGTCATCGATTGTTTTTCGACGCATTCGGATATAGTCAATATTTCTTAATAATATTGATTTTTTTAAAATAATATTTCGCTGGTGCTGGATTTTTTAGCATTCCTGGAAACGATAAAAATGTCGTCTTCATTATCAAAAATCCTCGAAACAGTAATAAATGTTTTCAAATATCAACTACTTACAAATGCGTCGAAAAATCATCGATGATTATTGGTTGTAATATCTGAATGATTTGTTTGGAATAAAATTGATTTTCTTACGATCCGAGTTGAATGTTGCAACGTTTTGAATTCATTTGGACGCTATGTTCTTCATTACAAGTCGTTTTTAACAAATTTTCTCCTTATAGACGCAACAAATAGAGGTAAGATTAGTAGCGATCAAAAGCGCTTATTTTTTACCATAAGCTCCCTACATTTTTTGGCGAACACTCCCTTTAAGTAATGAAAAAACTATGAAAAATCCTTTTTTCCAATCAATTGGTCCACAAACCCTAAAACTTGGTTCCACATTTTGAAAAAACTCTTATTTCAAAAAATCTGGTAAAAATTCCCAGAACACATTACACAAAGGATAAATAGAAACCATTTTTTTTTAAATTTAATAATCCTTCGTAAACCTTCTAATCATGTTATGTACCTTCGGTAGTGTTGAGACTTCGGTACATGAGAAGAACTTCTCCAGGGTTTGGAATATACTTTTCTATATACTCCTGGAGAGAGAGAACTACCACCTGATTGGATAAACTACAATATTCATTTCTAAATCATTCAGAAAAATAAATAAACTCAAACTGCAAAAAGTTTTTTTAAAATCCAAACTAAAAAAAATCCTTAAACCTGAACCTGAACATTGATAACTTTAGTATTTTCCAGCAAAAATATTAGACACTTTTTAATCCACCAGACTTATCTTTCTTTCCTGGTATGTTCATCGTCAGTTATGAAAAGAATTTGCTTCTGACCACCTAAACATGAATAATATCTTGTTTAATGAGGTTTTTTCCTCGTCTTCATGTGAGAGGAGGACATGAATGTAAACTCAGGTAACAGTTAAATCTGCCGCAACCCAAACACAGACGGACTTTTCATCAACTAGTGAGACCGGGCTTATTTGTTTACCTTCCGATATAAATATTTACTTGCGGAGTCCAGCAATTAACTAAGGTGGGAACTCTTGTATTGTGGATATCTAGATCAATGCTTGTATTGTGGATATCTAGATCAATGCTTGTATTGTGGATATCTAGATCAATGCTTGTATTGTGAATATCTTGATCAATGCTTGATCTAGATATTTTCTACATTTACAGATTAAAGAAAACAATTGAGAAGAAATCTCGTTGTATAAAACTGTCTTTTTCTACCTAGATGAGCAAAGTACCATTCTCCGACTTTGTAAATCATCCTGGATTGCCAGCTGAAAATATAAAAATTACAATGATGACATTCTTCTCTAGAAGTCAGATGTGTGTTTAGTGCACAGAACAGGGGTGAATATTTTCTTGAAAATCGTTCCCCCCTTTTAGAAAAAAATTTTCCCCAAGAAGCTAGGTATGTACTTTTAAAACATTATTGTATTTGTTCGCTGAATATGAGCAAATGAAATATTAATAGTGGAAAATAAAAAATGTGGGTTAAATACATCAACAAGAATGAGAAACATTGCATTTTAAATGGACTGTAAAGGAAAAGTGAAAGGGGATATAGGCTGAAAGCAAATCACTTCAGCTCTCGATCGGGACCCATGAAAGTTATATCTGATGTTCCTATCTCGAGAAATTGATATAAAACTGTGTCAAATTCATACGAAAATTAATATATATACAATTTTGTATAAAAGTAGAGGGTTTAAATAGATCAAATTCAGCAAATATGCAACCAATCTGAAAACTATGATATCCCAGAGAAAGCTAATTGTAACTTAGGTTTACTCCAATTCTACTGATCCCTGATGTAATTACATACACGCCTAAACATTTTAGGGAATATCTGATCCCTGATGTAATTACATACACGCCTAAACATTTTAGGGAATAGCTGATCCCTGATGTAATTACATACACGCCTAAACATTTTAGGGAATATCTGATCCCTGATGTAATTACATACACGCCTTAACATTTTAGGGAATGTTGAAGAATAAGAAACATGAAACACATACGTTTTTAATTAATAATTTTTTTAAATATGTTTTAAAATCTTTTTGTTGTCTGACCTGTAATGTTTTAAACTTCTCAGCTGAATAATATTCACTACAGTCTGAGGAAATATCAATCCTAAAATACAGGGGTATTTACTTTAAATAATTAACCCCCCCCCCTCTCCTCCTTGTCGAGGATAAATGTGAGAAAAAAATGGACTTAAAGGACTTAATAGACTAAAAAACTGATTATTTTCAACAGTGGTGTCTATACAAAGGTGACTTTCGCATTTCTACTTTAGGAACACATATATATGAATTATGATAAACAAAAACCATGTAAACCCAGAAAACGACAATATCTTCCAAATATTGTTCAGATAAAGTTTCGAGGATACCGTTGTGAATCGGGCATTGACATCTTTGCATTGAGGGTCAATTGAAATAACGCTCACAGCAATTGACTGGCATTTTGATATTTTTACCTGATCAGCCTTTCTTTTTAATAAGAACATGATTTTTCAAATATATGCACTGCTAAATTAGAATTAATAAATTTGCGAAACAGTTGATTTAAGAAATTATTTTATTAAGAGAAGAAAAATTGATCTCCTCCACCTTTCCATCTTCAACTGATTTACTCCCCTCCCTTTTCAAGCTAACACTCTTATTAAAATTCCAATTATGTTTGTATTTCACCTGAAAAGTTTTGTAGTTCTAAGATGTCCATAAACTTGGCAACTATATCGACCCCAGGGATAATATAGTGCTCCAGATCACTCGGTAGCAATGACACCTAGCATTAAAGGGACTGTAGACTGTTCTTAAAAGATACAATGCGTACCATTCATTGAAGTAAACACTATCCAAAACGATTTTCATAATTTCGACCAATTTCAAGTGACGAAACAGTGCACCACACAAATAACTAAATTTCGTCTTGATTTTAATACATTAAAGATACTAACAATTTAAGATACCCCCCCCCCCCCTTCTTCTAGAGAATATTTATACCTTTCCAGGGTTAATTGACGAGCAACCTTCGAAGCAAAGCTCGCAACTGCAGCTAATGTCATTTCTAAAACATTTTTTTTTCAATGGGCTAAAATATTAGTTAATGCAATATGCATAATTTTATTTTCAAATAACAAAAGTGGTCAAGTTCAGAGAATATTTATGTTAATATTAACATCTAAAAAAAACCTGAGATAGCTTTCTCGAACGACGCCAACTATTTTTCGTCGAGTTTTTATCTGAATTTTTTTCGTCACACTCTCCAAATTAGAAATCTCTTCTTTCATTTTAATTTCTAAAAATCATAGAAAAGTGTAAACAAGTGAAGAATGAACATTATTTAGGCACTATGATTGTGATTTTTAAAAACATTTTTATCCTAAATTATTTAGTTTTGGTTACACAAAAAGATTGTCTTTTTTACATTATCAAGCATAACAGGAAAATTCCCTTTGATCATACAATACTGGAAATGCCTTATGAGTCATGAATTGTGTTTTAAATCAATTTAATAATTTTCTTGCAGCTGCAGTACATACTGAAAACGGCAAATACATCTGATATTTATTCATTTACAGTAACTTTCTATTATACTTAATGTAATATTTCTGGTTCCATGATATCAAATTAAAGAATAGTATGAAACAGAAAATTGCCAAAAAGGGAGAAACAAAAGCAGAAATATGTGTCAAAATGCATATCTCCTTTGTCTACAAGGGATTAGAATGCGTATATCTACAAAAGAGGAACAGCAAACAGATCTATGATCAGATAAAAAGAAAATACAACAGTCGGAGAAAAAATGCACTACTCTCTTTAAAATTTTGTTTAAAAAAATTAATTTAAAAATAAATTGTGAAAAAAAATGTCTTGGAGCTGCGATGAATTAATACAGACAAAGCTTCGAAAAATCAAATTTATTTGTGGATTTTTCAGCACATTTTTTTATTGGAATACTTGTAACATCTTTTTATATTCAAATAATACTAAACAGAAAGCAAGAGGGGTTAAAAGCTTCAAATAGATAAAAAATAAACATACAAAAATAAAATAAAATATAAGTCAAATATTTACAAATTTCTTTTACATGAATGAGATCTTTTAAAACGTATGATTCAAAATAATATTTTTGAGATCTTTTAAGATATGTTACAATTAAGATTTATATTAAAACCTGTGCATGTTTTCTACCATTTATAACCGATTTTAATTGTTGCTTTAAAAGCTCTTTGAATTATTATACAAAGGAAATGGTTGAATTTTAAATTCAACAACATTTAAATTCTGACAGGCATGTACATTAACATCTATTTATCTATTAAAAATTCCTGATCAGACAAATGGTCACAGGTGACCACTTGTCCCAACATCCCATGTAATTGTATTCTTCCATGTAGGTCCTACATGATTGTAGGGTTAGCATGACATGTCATTGTACATTGGTGCAAAAATATAGTTTAGCGAGAGATGAGGTAGCTAATCGGTTCCAATTAGGTTCTTATCAAGTTCTTCTTCTGTAGTAAAGTATGAAGGAGATAATAATGATACTAGATCCAATCACAAGCATCGTATCACTGTAACTTCCCTGACCACGCAGAACCTAAGCAATCAATCAATCAGTCAACCAATTGAATCAAGCAACAATTATTTAACCAATCAATCAATAAACCAACCAATGGTCCAATAATCAGTCAATTATCTAATTGAGTTTACTGGATCCAATCACGAGCATCGTGTCAATGTAACTTTCCTGACCACGCAGAACCTAACCAATCAATCAACCAATCAATCAGCTGACCAATCATTCAATCAACCAATCAATCGTTCAATAATCAGTCAATCAAGGGAGATAATAATGCTGGATCAAATTACAAGCATCGTATCACTGTAACTTCCCCCTACCAATTAATCAACCAACCAACCAACCAACCAACCAACCAATCAATGATCCAACTTATTATCCTATAATCATTTAATTATGCAAATACGAGTTTATTCAAGGGTACAAACAATTTACGTCTTCCAAAATATATGTTTTCTGACGCAAAAAAACAGAAATAAAAGTATGCGTCAATTATAATTTTTGAACATCAAAATATTTCCTCCTTAACTAACCTTTGACCAGCCTCCCTGTACTCTGACCCACACAGCTACTGTTCTACGCAGAAACCCCAGGGTCCAATTAGTTATATTCAAACAGAGAGATCCTAAACCTAAAGAAAGAAAAATTCTTGTTATCATCCTAAATCATTGAGGGATACAAGATTCAGACACAAAAAATTTTAATTGCTCAGAAAAAAATCCCTCCCCTGTATACGGCCCTGATCCTTCAATACAGTTTTAGTAATTGATCTTCAATGTTTGAAGGGTTTTGAAGCATTCTTAATATTACCCTTTAAACCTTGCACTAAGAAATGAAGGCGCGTGAGTCAATACTTTTTGTAATGCTACAACCCTTGGCCATTTTCTTGTTTGTCTCTGATATAAGTCAAGAGTAGAAGCTGCAATTACTCAATTTTTAGAGAGAGACTAACAACATTCTAGGATTAAGGTTTATGAACTAATCCATCTTTTTTAAGATTAATTAAAATACGTTCACAGTCCCTTTATTTACCTGCTCTGCAAGCACGTATTGTTAGATCAGAACAGAAGAAGAAAAGAACAAGAACTCTTTCCTAAAAATATCATTAATTGTTCTAAAACACAAAGTATCCACAGAAGAAGAAGATGTGTTCCAGACTTAACATAAGGCATCCAATACAATTTTTCATTCCACAAAATCTCCTATCACCATTCACTCCCCCTGCAGATGGTCCCAATCTGTGACCCCAATGAATGATGGCCCCAACCTATGTGAAACCCAATGACGGTCTTAACCTGTGTAATCCCCCCGTCATGAAAGAGCTCGTTGATTAAGGACAAGAAGTTCTCCGTTGACAAGGACTCCAGATCTATCTCTTCAGCTCTTTGTCGGACCTAGAGTTAATAATAATAACAATAATGATGAAATAAATTTTTTTACAAAATTTACCCAAGTCACTCAAATTAATAGACATAATAATAATAATATGATAATAATTACTAGATAAAATAGGGATGACAATAATCATAAAATAATGATGAGTATAGTGATTGTAGAATAGGAAGACGACATTATAGAAATACTGAAGTGCATTTGATTGTTACAAAGAAGTTGGTTAATGAGCCAGATATTAAATTACTAATTATGTTAAATGTTAATTGCTGTGCCTCATTCCAGAGATTTATGGTTATTACTGTTTGAAAATTATAATAATAATGATAAAAACGATTAATTACAGTTTTTACCAAATCTCTCTCCTCAGATTGACTAAAAACTTCCGCCAGTCTTGCCAGGTCATAATTTAAGGAATCCTGTAAAAAAAGCATAATAATAAATAATAATTAATTATAAAAACAAGATAAAAAGGTTATGTTCCACAGAAATAAAAAAATATTAGGTTTAAAGATTGATTTTTGCACATTTAGAGGAAAACAGAAAATGAATAATCAAAAGATCCATTATCCTGGAAAAAAATATTTAGGAAAATACAAGCAAACAAATAATACAACCAGGCTTTGAGAGCGCTTTGAGCCCATCTTCCATTTCAACGTTTAATTGTGGCTCTAGCAGTGAGATTCTTCTCGTTGAGAATAAAAAAGTTCACGGATTCAATAATATTTTTTATGAAACTTTAGTGTACATTATCATTATTACTCACTTCATCGTGAATTTCAGATGAACGTGCTATAAAGTAATCATAGTGCTATAATGTTAAATTCGCTGTAAATTATAGCACGTGTGCTATAAAGTTTTGATTGGTTCCCGGATTTTGATTTTTGATTTTAGATTATATTTTGTCCCTCGCTAAAGCTCGGGACAAAATTAAATCTAAAAAGACTTGAACCTTTTCGATAAAAAAAAAATTTCTGTCCAAAAGCTTAAAACACTGCGAACCAAAATAACAGTGTTATAAATAGTTATTAGATTTTCAAAATCTTGTAATTTTGAGCATTCATAAACCTTCCCGGTCAAGAAGTCGCACAAAAAATCTGGGGCCTGATCGGTTCATCAATTTTGACGTTTATTTTGGATACAAACGGACAGACAGACAAGCAAGATAAATATATATATATCTATATATATATTTGGCTTGTCTGTTTGTTTGATTGTCTGTTTGTATCCAATAAACGTCAAAACGGCTGAACCGATCGGGCCCAAATTTTTTGTGGGACATCTAGGGACCCCAGGGAAGGTTCATGAATGATTGAAATTTTAAAAATTTGTGTTTTAAAGGTTTTTAATTTTGTAAAAAAATTAAATTTTTGAAAATCCGCGAAATTTTTTTTAAAGTGCGCAAAATATTTTTCATCGTTGTTTTGAAATGTAAACAAAAAGAACATGTTCACAATTAAAATAGAAGATGGGCGCAAAGCGCCCTTAAAGCCGAGAAGGAAGGGCGCGAAGCGCCTTGAATTTCTAGTATATATATATATATATATTGATTTCCTACCTGAACTTGTGGCAGTCTAAGGTTAACAAGGCCGGGTAAATTTTCCCGCTCAAGATTATGGCTTAAAAACTCCCTGAAATAAATAAAATAAAATTATAAAATTATACAATAAATTCAAATACCCAAGTGATTGTCAACTAAATATATAATTACACTTCAATAAAATGCCATCAAAGATTCTACAGAATAATTGTTATTTTTAATTGTAAATTGCAAAATTTAGGTCTGGCCTTTTCTCTGAAATCTGAAGAGTTAAACAATAAACAAAAACAAAAATAAACAGCTTCCACTTCACTAATGTTTAAAAAGATTGTTACGTAAAATTAGGATAGAATCCATTCAAATAGAAAGTTTTTTTAAGTTAATTAAAATTACCCGTAGAGTTGCACACCTCTCTCCTCATCCTCATCCACCTCCACCTTAGAAAAGTGACAAGTGTCAAATTAACCATTTTTTACCTTGAAACAAGGAATAATTTAAAAACCTTGGCAAAATTGGCAAAATGTTTTTCAGTCCGTTTAAGCTAGTGAAGAAATGAAGTGAGGGGCTCTCAGCTAAAACGTGAGGGTCATATGAGTCGGGTGGTTTTGAGGTGTCTGAAACCTTACCTCCTCTTCACTACTTGAATATTGCAATCTGTCTGAAACCTTACCTCCTCTTCACTACTTGAATATTGCAATCTGTCTGAATTAAAAACACTGTCGTCTTTGAATTATACGTATTAAAAATCTTAAAAGACGACTTATGAAGATGTTGTACTTTTTTGATGGTGTATCTTTCGACCTACACAAATCCGCTATACTCCACTTCAAGACATACGCCAAATCCGCTATACTACGCATCTGACCTTCTAGCACATGGTTGTACGGCTACTAGATGGACTTGTGGCCGCGCGCCCAGCCCCCTTGCCTGTCCTAGCCGCGACGCTGGCCCCTTAGCCTGTCTTTGCCGCAGCCCTCGGCCAAGAAATTGTCTTAACCTGACCTAACCCTTAAATAATACAAAAATAAACAGCTGGCATAGATCTGATATTGCAGTAGGTCGGAAAGTTGATAGGTCAGAAGTTCAGTAGGGGGGATGTTGCGTACAGACGATGTAACATGACCAATTCTCTCATTTATCCAATGTACCTATAACAATTCCCTGCATAACAACGATTCCCTTTGGTCCCTGATATCTGTCCTTCTAGCAAAGACGACGGATTACATCCCTTGTACACAATAAATTGTTATACATGAACCATATAGCTTTAGTGATTTGAACGTGTAGGTTTATATCTAGACAACAATTCCATTTAAGCTAGATTTTCCCGATTTTCATACAGGTTACCCACAAAGGATGAGAAACAGATAGGGAAACAGACATGTTTGTTTCCTTATATATTATAAATAACTCAAACAACTGAACAAATAATGGAAAAAGACTCTCTAAACTATTCACCAACTGTCATGTTTCGTGGGACACCCTGTATATTGCAAACCATGCAAGTGGGACAAGGGGCGAGTGGCGACAGGGTAATTTGCACTTTTTTTGCATTTTATTGCAAACATCGCAAGGGGTCGAAATTTTATACTATTTTTGGTAAGTTTCTATTCGACAGGGGTAAAAAATATTACTTTTATGACATTCGCCCCCGACATATTTTAAAATCCCCATATGTTGCCATACGTTGCATAAATGCCTTTATCTTTATCTTCATGAGTACATTGAAAAGTACTCAGTAACCTATAAAATAAACAATGATGTATTTCATAAGCAGTAGCATGAATGCAGGCAAAGATAGACACCACCTGTGAAATATCTATTTTACAACTTGGAATGAGTATTAATATTTTGTGCACACTCGACCAACTCGACACACTTATACACAACCAGGGGGCGGAAATGTCATGTATGTGTGTCTGTACAAAAAGAGTGTGTGTAAGGAATACCGAACCGGAGACGACTTTTAAGCAATCTTTTGTATACCTTCCTTGTTGATGTTGTTAAATAGTTTTACAATTGATATCTTAAATGTCAGATTGTCTGAAAGATATAATTTATATAAAATCTCTGGATATGCGTAAAAACCGAAGGCGTATTATGGGGGGGGGGGCTGTAATCAGATGTTTTAGAAATTGTTTGGAAATTGCTTTGGAGTTGACAAACAGGGAACATTATTATTACTTCAGAATAAAACCTACATAGTATTATCAATGCTTTTAACTTCAGATGACTTAAACTCTAAAAATGGGGTCGGTGGGTAAACACTTACAAGTTTGTTTATTGTATGGGAGTATACCAATTATGTACTTGATGTTGGGTCTGATCAACCTGGCTTATATTATAGCTCCTAACCCAGTATTCCACTTCATCAAGGAAAAGATCCTCATTTTTGAGCGCAAAAGAGTATACGCTGAAGTTGATCAAAGGTTACAAATGTCGTCATTTCTTATAGTTCAACTGTTTACAGGAATTTTTTCCTAAAAATCCCTTGCTAACAATTAGCTCTTTTCATTGAACATTTTAATATTAAAAATTTAGCATAATTTTCAATCTAAACTATATATTGTACAGTGGGGCCCAAAAGATTGTGAGAAACATATGAGGATCTTCGGATTCAGGGAACAATGAAGAAAATCCCTGGAATGAGAAATCAATTAGACAATGCTAAAGATTCTCAAGATTTAAGGTTTCTTTTCTCAGATGAATTTATAAAGGTTTTTATTTCACATTAATTAAAAAAGTTGATGTTTAAAGAGACGGCAAGTGACCCTTCATACAATGATGGCAATGCCGGATTTACAAAGGTATCCTTGAAATAGATATCCATGTTTTTGTTTCGTTAAGCTGTTTATTTTCGTTTGCGGGTTCTCTGTGAAATGGCTTGCGCTTGTTTAAAATTGAAGCAAGGAGAAGCTCACAAAAATAAACACTTTTCGAGTCAGGAAAACGATGGTATCTTCCACATTTATTATCAGATACAGGTTCCAAGGGTATCGTTGTAAATAGGAGATTGCCATTTTTGCATGGAGGGTCACTTGAAATCACGCTCTCAGCCCTTTTAACAATATTTTTATATGATTTTGTAGGTAAAATGAAATAGATATTTAAGCTTTATAGTTTAGAATAAAAAAAGACTGAAGTGAAATACATTTAAAGCTTAGCTCAGAATATTATAAAAAGACTCAAATGAAAGGACTTAAAATCTTGTCTCATACTTTAATTGACTAATCCCCATATCTTTGAAATTTTATGCTGTAAACCTTTTATATTTCAACCTGAAGCAAAATTCATAGTTTGAAATATTGTTTAAACGGACTGTATAGTGTATACGTAAATTCAACTGACCCTCAATTTTATGTATTGTATCATTTGAATGACATGTCCTGTGTTACAATAAACTAAAATAATGATAACTCCATCACCAAGATAAGCAAAGATTAAAAGGGTACCGATGTTAATCTAACATGTCACTCTACAATAAAGGGTCACTAGGAATTACGTCAAGAGAAGTCTCTTCAAGCTTATTTGTTTAGAGAAGAACCGAGGTGTTCCTGAACAACATTAATAAAACAGTAGCTGAAGGTCAACCTGCTGCTAATGTGAAGCTGGTCAACCTGGATACTGGAACTCAAGTAAACATCCTGGATTATGCCAAGTAAATTAGTATTTTTGTCAAAATTAATTTTTAGAAAATTCATTCAATTTTGACAAAAGATGGGAAATGATCAATTCTGTTAAAGGGTCTGCAGACTGTCTGCGTAATTTTATCGATTATCCATTATAAAGCTTTTCTGTTCAATTCTTAATGGTTCTCTCCAAATGTTAACTGCCGGATTTATTATGTTTTTCTCTCTGAAAATTGATAATAATAAATTTTCTTTAAAGTGAGTATATAATAACTGAGAAGAATATTGTCAGAATTGAACATTTTTAAAGAGAAAAAACGAAAATGTCTTTCAAATTGTTAATCCGGTTTTAAATCTAGAGTCACGAGAATTTTCCTCGACAATTCCTTCAAGGCGAACATTTTTTAAATTTTTCTTTCAATTATAAACAAGTATGTACATCAATATCATCATTAAAAACACAGATTTCTTAACAAAAGAGATAGTTTTGGGTTTTTACTCAAAATTTACTAAATTTTGTATGATATAAACGTGAATTGAGGCTTTGAGCATCTGAAATCCTTGAAATTTTACACTGATTGGAAAAATTAACACAGGAGAATAGTGAAAAATCTAAATCCCGAAACATTTGGTGTCAATATTCTATCAATATAAAATCAAACTTAAGAAATATTTTTTTATATCTTTATTTTTTAGAGCTGGTCGTATCCTTGTTGTTAATTTTGGTTCCTGTACCTGACCCCCATTCATGGGGAGCCTCTCTAAATTTAGGTTGGTTTACATATAGAGTGGTCTGCATTTATATCATTACAATGAAGACGACTTTTCGTTAATATTGCTTTGATCCCTGAGAAGCAATTTACAAATTACAAATTTACAAGTAAACAAAGAGAAGCTGTTTATTGGCAACTTCTCTCTGTTTACATGTTTATGTGCATCTCTGCTGATTGAAAGATTGGTAGAAATCAAAATTGAAATAGAAAGTCGTTTTCATTGTATTGATATATACACCGACGTTTTCATTGTATTGATATATACACCGACGACTTTATTTCTGTGGTTCACCGAGTTCCCCTGTACAAATATTAGGCAAATCGATCAAGGGGTTCCAAAGTTATGATTGGATATACAAACATTCTAACAAACATCCCAACAGTCAAACAGAGATTACTATACATCATATATATGTAGATGTAGAATAAAGATTGGTCACTTTTTAATAATCAAAACAGTCCCGATTTTATTATCACAAAAACCACATAACTGCTAAAAGTTCCTCCTTTTACCATCGATGTAAAAAAAAGTGAGATTTTCATGATTTGTAGATTTTTATAATATTTTCTTTAACATTGGACTGCCGACACAAGAGTTTCATTTTTATTAGAGTAATCATGAATTTTTCAAAACGATCGAATATGTCCTTTTTTTAAAAAGAATTCTTTAAAGGTCACACAATTTTTTGTGGCTTTATTTTGAAAAATAGGGGTTTCAAATATCTAGCTGATAGTTAAACAATTTCTTAAAGGAACGGAATTTTCAAGATATCTTAAAGGGAGTGTCAATAATGCAAAGATGACAACCACACCCTTTTAAAAAGCTTTGTCTGATCAAATATGAATTAGATAATAATGTTTATAATTTTAAACTGATTATAATCGAATGTGGTTTCCATACAAAATTAACTGCTGGTAGATATATTTAAACCTAGCAAAGGTTTCAAGGGTTTCGTTGTGAATCTGGTGTTGCCATATTTGAACGGAGGGTCATTTGAAGTTACGCTCACATACTCTTTAAAACGTTTATTTTTTATTTTGTTCAGCGGTATCAGAGCTAGGTTTGGGAGCAAAGTTGATTTCATCACTGTTTATATTGAAGAAGCTCATCCAAGTAACAAGAACCATTTTAGGGGACATATTGAGATTGAAACTCATCAAAATTTGCAGGTTATGCTCAACAAGAAAACTCTGGAAAAGGAAGACTCAAGTTATGATCGTAAATAGTCCAATAAAGATGAGATTGTGCAGTGTAATTTAAGTTTAATTAAGTAATTTAACTTTAAGTTATGACCATAAATAGTCCAATAAAGATGAGATTGTGCAGTGTAATTTGCAAAGAGACCCATTTTACTGAGTACGTGATTTAATCAGTAACAATTAAAACTATTCGCTTTGAATAATAACATCAAATACACTCGATAATTACTTTAATGTCGTCTTCCTAGTTCAAAGTTTTCTGGTTCTCACAGCAAGCCAATCATACGCTAAAATTTGTCTCTGTAAGAATAGAATAATATTTACTGTCAAAATAATCATTTTAACTTTTTTGCCCAGAAATCTGTTTTCTGTGTGAATTTCATGGAATTTCATGGAATTTCATGGAATTTCATGGAATTTCGCGGAACACATTTTTTATTGAGATATGTACTTGGAAAATATATTATTACTTGATTTTAATTTAAAACCTTGATCTTATAAAAATGAGTTCGATCTACAGAAAATCCACAAAATTCACAAAAATGTTTATTATTTGCAAGAAAATGCAAAAACTTTATTTACGCACATTACTCCTGTTTACAGCACAAAGAACTGAGTTTTTGTCACAAATTCTGTATATTTGCAACCTGATGGTGTAAACCTTCAATATTTTAAACTATCATTATGTGATCTAAAAGAATTCATAGTTTGAAATATCAAAGATCTCCGACATTGAATTGCAAAGATATTGGGATTGGAAAATCAGAGTTTGAGGTAAAAACTCAGTTCCTTTGTTTTTTATCCCTTTATGTTTTTTTAAAGGAATTCTTCCGATAATTTTTAAATCTTAATTAGAAACCAGATAGGTATGAAATTAAAAGTTTAAATTAATTAAATTGAAAATAAGCTTGGTTGTTTTATTCCGTGGTATTAGTGTAAACTTAGAAACAAGTAAACAATCCCTTCAAAATTTATACCGTCCTCTTGATAGGACAGGATGGAGGCTGCAAGGTTTCTGAGGTCAGAGGCTGGTGAGGACCTAGCTGGATGTCCTATTCTGGTAACTTAAAGGGACTTTAGAAGTAATTTTCAAGTGAACCTTAATTTATAGAGTGGTATGTTCGACTCACTGTACCTTTATAAAGCTTTGTCTGATAAGCAAACTTTCAATTGTGGTTTCAATAAAGTGATTTACGAATTTCTGCTTTAGAAACAGTGGAGAAAGTTTTCCAAATTAAACACTTTTCAAGCTAGAAATACAACTATTTTTTTATCAGAAAAAGCTTAAAGGTTTGCGAAGCAGGCCCTTCTTTAACTAGAGGCTCACTCCAAATAAAAACTCCTTGAACTGATAATAATCAAATGTTCATTAAAAGAAAGTTTTTTTTACAAAGGACAAACAAATGTTTTCAATAAAATCTTTTATTTTCTCCTCAAAGATACATTCTCTGTTTAAGTTTTGATTTCTAACAAAAAATTTCAAATCACAAATTTACTAGTAAACCTCAAAAAAACTGTTAAATGACAGCTTTTCTTTGTGTTCCATGTGTATGTGCATCCATGCTGTTTTAAGCTTGGTGGAAATCAAACATTTTAACCGAAAGTCGTCTTCATTGTATTGATATATACGACGATGACTGATCTTCAGTTGAATTTTTAAATAAGTGAGTAGTCCTTTGTGCTAAATTATTTCCAATGACCAGGTTGATAGGATGGATAATGCAGCACTCCATGCTTATGCATCTTACCCGGAACGTCTCTACGCAGTTTTGGATGGAGTAGTTGTTTAAGAGGTAGGATTGGTCAGTGAGTCTTTATTTTTGAACGTGTTTTTATATTTATATTTTTATATTTTTGGTGTTTTATAACTTTTACTTTTTGTTGGGATTTTCATTTTAGATTTATAATACAAACTCCTGAAATACAAACTCCTGAAATACAAACTCCTGAAATACAAACTCCTGAAATACAAACTCCTGAAAAAATACAAACTACGGAAATACAAACTACGGAAATACAAACTCCGGAAATACAAACTCCGGAAATACAAACTACGGAAATACAAACTACGGAAATACAAACTCCTGAAATACAAACTCCTGAAATACAAACTCCTGAAATACAAACTACGGAAATACAAATTCCTGAATTACAAACTACGGAAATACAAACTCCGGAAATACAAACTACGGAAATACAAACTACGGAAATACAAACTACGGAAATACAAACTACGGAAATACAAACTCCGGAAATACAAACTACGGAAATACAAACTCCTGATTTACAAACTTCTGAAATACAAACTTCTAAGATACAAACTCCTGAAATTTAATGTTCTGAAACACAAACTACTGAAATACAAAGTCCTGAAGTATAATTTTCTAGAAAACAAACTTCTGAAATACAAACATAAACTGCTTAAATGGGAAATCTTTAACAAAAATTCAATTTGATTCCAATTCGTCTTAAATCTGTGCTGTGCCCCTTTTCATTTTTCGCGAAGTTTTAAGAAGTTTAGGGCAAAGTGATAAAAATACAAAAAATATCATTGAATTAATTCTTTGGCTAAGTTATACTGTCCATTAGAACTAGTTTTTAAAGGACTTCATTAATAATTTTTAATTATTTCGTTCCTTTTTAATTTTTCTATTTTTCTTCTTTACAAATATATGAATAATGGCCGGACAAACAATTAAATCTTAAAATAAATTTTTGTTTATCAATTTCAGGGGGGAATGGGTCCATTCAACTATGATCTAGAAGATTTGGAGAGTTTTCTTGAAGAAAAACTGAAATTTGAGAATTTAAAAGCACGTTAAAAAAGGGTGTTTTGAACGGGTAAATAAATGTGGAAAAATGCAAGATTAGGTTGAAAATCTTTGGATCAACTAATCTGAATGATGTTCCATTTATTTAAGCTAACTAATAAAACTCTTAATAAAGCATATTTATAACGTTTAGTTCATATCAATTATATTCATGGCTATTTATGTGTTTTCGCAAATACTGAGATTTACGTAATATAGTGTGGAACCCATTGAAAAATTGTCAAGACGACATTTCATAAGTTCTTTTTTGATGTATTTAGTATTTAGGGTTTAACTGTATCAAAAAGAAATTTAAATGAAATTAGAATTAAAACCAAAAATATTAAAAGTCTTTCAAAAATTCAGACAAATGTTATCTGAAATGTTAAATCAATTTTCTTTAAATATTCATTGTTAGGATATTCAGAAAAAGATGACTGAGAATTAATTTGATAAAATTAGAACAAAAATATCATATTTTCAGATGATTTGACAAATAAGAATGGGAGAACTACGAAAATACTTAATGGTATGCATGGTATATGCCAGCATACCCCTTATGTACTGTGCTCTAGGCATGCTGAAGCTAGCATACCTAATTTCTCCTGAGGCTACTCTGAAAATGGTGAAGAGGTTGGGTAAAAATAAACCTGGACTGGAAGAAATTATGAAAAATGCAGAGTCTGCAGAAGATGTAAAGTTCCTTTTTTCTGACGAATTTATTAAGGTTTAATTTTTTTTTTTTTGATAAGTTTTAAAATTAAATCCTGCAAGACAAAACCAAACTAATCACTTGACTCAAACTCAAATTTTCTTATTTTTAAACATTTGCAATTGTCATCTTTCTTTACATGCATTACATCCATTATACAAACCACATCGTTTATCATTTGAGACACTTTTTTGTTGCGATTTTTATTTTTTTTTTTTGAAATTTTAATTTAAAAAAAGCTTATTAACAATCAAAACTTAAATAAAACAGTCATCTTCATTGTACAATCACTGTAATTTAATCAAATTTCTATTCAAAGGGAAGGACGAATGCTTTTCTCCGGAACATTAATAAAACAGCAGCTGAAGGTCAACCTGCTGTTAATGTGAAGCTGGTCAACCCGGATACCGGAGCTCAAGTAAACATCCTGGATTATGCCAGGTAAATTATATTGTGAAATAATTTGAAAGTTTGCCAAAAATTGTAAGTTTTTTATTCGTTAAAGTTCCCTTTAATGCTAAAACTATAGTACAGTTAAACCTTTCAACATTTATTCTAAAATTTTACCATCTAAAAAATAGTTTTATAAAGTTCAGCTCACGGTTAAGAAATAGGTTTATCCTGATAAAAACTTGTTCACGTTTTATTCTTGAATTTAGCATTTTGATGAACATTTACATAAGATTAATAGATTTTATTATAATAATGCAGGGTTACCCACAAAGGATTAGACTTCAGAGACGAATGCAAGGAATTTATACTGTCTGTTGATTCATATTCATATATAAATTTATTTATTTCATTGTCAAATCATTGAATAAACCATTCAAAGACCACATTCATGGCAGAAGACCTAAATCTAACTTGGAATAGTCAATAGTCAATAGTTTCAATTCAAGTCGTCTTTACTTCCAGTCTCATCCTTTGTGGGTAACCCTGTTTCTGATTCTATCAAAGCTCGATGAGACTCATGTGTTCATTGTACAGTACAGATCACTTTAAAAAATCAGAAGCGAACTGTACGTTTAATCAGCTAATGTCTAAGAGGGATATTCTATCTCTAATGAGACCAAATTTTAAAGAATTTAAACTGCATCGCTGAACCGAAAAAAAACCGGTTCCAATTGAGCGCCGGCTCAAATCTCGAAACACTGAATACAATGTTAAGTGTAACCAACCATGTTTACGCCGCGTCTCAGATTTGAGACGCGGCGTAAATCCTGTATATTGATCGGTTTCTGTAAACTTTATCAGAGTTGTTAATAGGTCGAATTTTCTACGCTCATTTTCAATAAGTCGAACGTAGCATATCTAAAATTGATAATAATTTCAGAGCTGGCCGTATCCTTGTTGTTAATTTTGGCTCCTGTACCTGACCCCCATTCATGGGTAGCCTCTCAAAATTTAGGTTAGTATCGCACAATATAGATACATACATTTTTTATAGAAAAATTTCTTCTACCTTTGACATAAAATTTTGATTAAGGATTGTTATTAAACTTTATGAAATTCTTCCCCTATTTGTTTTGCTATGGGTTTTTAAGCGAATCATTTTAAGACAGAGTTGCCGTAAAAATATGAGATTTTATAATGGACTCGAGACGTAATTATGATTCTTACTCTCTAAATAGACTTGTTCTTAGTTCAGATTAAAAAAAAATTAATTTTTATTTTTTTGAAACCTTAAAAATGTCAAAACTGGGAATATAAAGTTTTTTTTTCTGGTTAAAAAAAAATTTTCTTTCTTTTTGTTTCTTATAAGTAAGAAATGTTCACTTTCGCAGAGAAACTGCAATCGAAAATAAAGAGTTTAGATGAAAATAAAGAGTTTAGATGAAAATAAAGAGTTTAGATGAATATAAAGAGTTTAGATGAATATAAAGAGTTTAGATGAATATAAAGAGTTTAGATGAATATAAAGAGTTTAGATAAGTATAAAGAGTTTAGATGAATATAAAGAGTTTAGACGAATATAAAGAGTTTAGATGAATATAAAGAGTTTGGACGAATATAAAGAGTTTAGATGAATATAAAGAGTTTAGATGAATATAAAGAGTTTAGACGAATATAAACAAGGATTTCTAATTCATACTTGATCAGACAAAGGGTATCTTTGTAAATTGGGAATTGCCATATTTGCTTGTAGGCTCACTTAAAAACTGCGTGGAAACTTTTAACTTTTTATTCACTAAAAATAGAAATAAAATTTATATTTACTAAAAACAATAAAAAAAGACAGCTTCATGAAACCTCCTAAAGGATTTGACCCTTTAATACAGATCTAAGATGATACAGTGATAACCAGAAGACTCTAATATTGGAAGACGACTTATAGCATATCACTTAATTTTATTTAATGCTGTTACAAAGCAAATAGTTTTACAAGACACTTATTAAGTCACTGATTAAGTCTTTTTACACTGATGTGTCTTATACTCTTAAGTCATAAGCTAAAAGTCGTCTTCTTATTACAGGAGATTTCTGGTTATTACTTTTAACAATAAGTATTGAGTAATGTTATATATTATCTTGAATCTTTATCAGATCCGTCCCTACAGAAGTATAAATATATTTCTTCAAATATTTCTGATATATTTCTGATATTGGGTAAATGCTGCATACTAATCAACAGCTTGGTTCATGTATCATGACGTAGTTGTGACGTCGAAACCTTCCTCCTTTCAATATGCTAGACTAACATTCCAGGGGACAAAAGTTCCAAACCCTGTCATTGTTTAAAATCTGACACTTCAATCAAAACTTCTTAAAAGGACTGTTATCGTCATGTTAAGTGAATCTTTATGCAATAAAAGCAATGCCCGATTCACAACGCTACCCTTGAATACTTTATCTGCATGATCATTGTCGTTTTCCTAGGCTTAAAAGTTTTTAATTCTGATAGTTCCTATGTGGTTTCCTGCAGGAAACGCAAGTCACTTTGACAGAGAACCCATAGTTAATCATCATCATCATCATCATCATCACTGCAACATTTTATTTACTTTTGAACAAGATGATTAAAGGCAACTTTCAGTTTTCTACAATTTTATTATAATCATCATATATCATAATCGAAAGGGGTCGTTCATATATTTTAAGCACAAATAAGAATTAAGTCTTTAAAGAAAATATTGATGCAATAATAAAATATGAAAAAGAATTAGTAATACTTGAAAGGAATTGAGTTTTGATAAAAAAAACTCAAATTTTATAATCCATATAACTTTGGTAAACCTTTGATATTTTAAACCTTGATTTTTTGGTCTAACAGCATTCATAGCTTAAATATCTAAGGTCTACGATATTGGGTCGCAAAGATAGGGAATAGAAACTCCGAGTGTGTGTCGAGTTTGAGTATTTAAATCAGGGCGATTCCAATAATTCTATGGCAGGAATGCAATGTTCTAAAAAATTTAAAACCTTAAAAAAAAGTTTTTAAAAGAGATTTTTTTACTTCGGAATTTTTTCTATTGCGAAAGTTTGGTGTTGTCTGGGTTTTTATTGATCTACCAGGGGTTGTAATCTGGCAGCACAGATTACAAAAAAGAAAGTTATTAGAGTCACAATCATACCCTTTCCTCAAACCCTTTTGTCTGATGAAGAATAAATTATATATCGAATATTTACGATTTTAAAAAGATTTGCGCATTTCTACTGCAGCAAATTATGTGGATAAGATCAGAATATAAAACTTTTAAACCTAGTAAAACGACATTGTCTTTCAGTTCCACATTATTGATTAAATACAGGTTTCAAGTGTATTGTTCTAATTCCAGCATAGTCATCTTTATATGGAGGGTCACTTGAAATTATGCTTACAATCACTTTTTTTAACTTTTCAGAATTCTTATTAATTTGAAATATCGAAGGCTTCTCTGATTATTGACAAAAACCCTAATATCATATTTGTTTTCACTTATTCCTTGTACTTTTTCACAATTATTCACATTATTTGGCTTACAAACCAAGATCGAGATACGCACCATCGACTCCTTACAGTCCCTTTAATATTATTATTTTGCGTAGAAACCAAGATTGAGATACGCACCATCGACTCCTTACAGTCCCTTTAATGTTTATTATTTTGCGTACAAACCAAGATTGAGAAACGCACCATAGACTCCTTACAGTCCCTTTAATGTAATTATTTTGCGTACAAACCAAGATTGAGATACGCACCATCGACTCCTTACAGTCCCTTTAATATTATTATTTTGCGTACAAACCCAGATTGAGATACGCACCACGCTCCTGACAGTCCCTTTAATGTTATTATTTTGCGTAGAAACCAAGATTGAGATAAGCACCATCGACTCCTTACAGTCCCTTTAATGTTTTTATTTTGCGTAGAAACCAAGATTGAGATACGCACCATAGACTCCTTACAGTCCCTTTAATGTTATTACTTTGCGTACAAACTAAGATTGAGATACGCACCATCGACTCAGTCCTTACAGTCCCTTTAATATTATTATTTTGCGTACAAACCCAGATTGAGATACGCACCATAGGCTCCTTACAGTCCCTTTAATGTTATTATTTTGCGTACAAACTAAGATTGAGATACGCACCATCAACTCCTTACATTCCCTTTAATATTGTTATGTTTTCCTATATATTTCAGCGGTATCAGAGCTAAGTTTGGGAGCAAAGTTGATTTTATCACTGTTTATATTGAAGAAGCTCATCCAAGTAACAAGGATCATTTTAAGGGGAATATAGATATTCAAACCCATCAGCATCTACAGGTAATTAAATAGTTTATTAATGTACAAATAAAGTAAGACATCTATATTCCAGGGGGGCGGGGCAACGCCCCTCCTCTTCTTAACTAGTTTTGGGCGGGGCACCGCATTTGCCAGCCCCGTATACGATGACCGAAAGTTTCAAAGGTTCAATCATTTAAAAAAATTAATATAAAAATTGACATGTACGCATGTTTGCATATTCTGCGCACTGCATCTTTGGCGTTAAATATTAGAGATGGTCCAATAAATTATGGAACACTCTGTATATTAATTTCTTTTTATATTTTATGGTCTAATTCTTAATATTACAGGATAGATTAGAGGCTGCTAGATATCTGAGGTCAGAGGCTGCCGAGGATTTAAAAGGATGTCCTATTTTGGTAAGTTTAGACTTGTTATATACAACAATTGAAAAATTATAAAATAATTATAACACGAAGAAACGAGAAAAAAACTTTTGAAAGGGGAGAAATTAAGCGTTTAAGAAAAGAAAGAAAAATTTTAGGTGGATAGGATGGATGACGCGGCAAATAAAGCATATGGTGCGCATCCTGAACGTCTCTACGCCATATTGGACGGTAACATTGTTTACGAGGTAATAAGTCAAATTTATGATGGTTGAAATGGAGCAGCTCTAAGAAGATTTGTCGACTCTCCTTTCTTAATACAATTTTTCAAGATTAGTTTCTTTTATAAAAATATACAAAAACAAGAATGTGACACATATTTTTGTACATTCAAACACCCCTTTGTCATCTTTTTAACACTCGATTAAAAAAGTATTTCGAACGTTTTATCTTACAAATAATTTTTTACCACTCCTTCAGCTAAAGCTATAACAATGAGAACCAGAAAACTCTAGAATAGGAAGACAGCAAATGTGGAGTTTGCAGTGCAGAGACCCCATTATCTTAGTAAATGACTTAATAAGTCACAAGTAAAACTCTTGCTTTGTAACAACATCAAGTATTATCTCGTCTTCCTATTCCACAGTTTCCTGGTACTCACTGTAGAATTTACTTTTGTCAGGGTGGAATGGGTCCTTTCAACTACAGTATTGAAGACTTGGAGAACTGTTTAGAGACAAGACTCAACATGGAAAATACAAAATCTTGTTAATTTATTTGAAATTCGATAAATGATGAATTATGAAGGATTAGTTCGAAATCTCTTTAAGAACAACTGATCTGAATGCCTTTTCCACATTTATCCAAATATTGTTTCAAATAAATTTTTACATACTTTTATTTTTTAATTTATGTTTAAAATTAAGTTTTCTAGTGTTTTTTTCAACAAACATTTGATAACAGGTCCTGCAGTTTACCAATTTCCCTGAGGAAGAACATTTTCTATTCGTTGTTGTTAAATAATACTTTGAAAAGTAATTCTAAAACTATGAACAATAAAATTGAATGGAAGGAATGAATAAAAGAACATAACAAAGCATTTTTCATTAAAAAACATTCAATATTATATAAAGTGATAACCAGAAAACTCTGAAATAGAAAGACGACTTTTAGACTCATTCTGACTTAAAATAGTCCAATCAGCATGGGACACAGCAATTTTGCAGTGTAAACAGACACATTTCACTTAATTAGGGATATTGTAAGTGTCTAGTAAAACTATTTGTTTGCTTACAATAGCAAATCACTGAAGTATTGCTCTAAAGTTGTCTTGCTATTTTGGAGTTTTCTGGTTAACATTGTATGTAAGTCATAAAAAATGAAATAATTTATAATTTTTTTTTTTCCTAGTTATAAATTTACTTTTTTAAGATTGTTTTTTTCTTATTATCTTTTAAATTATTAGCGACCCAGGACCATCTCTTGATTGTCGATCCGTCTCTGGAAACCGCCGAAGATAAAACCGATGACCGATGCATGTGGTCATATTTTAATTTACACGACTTTAATTTCAATTAATTCGATCCTCAGAAGTGTCTGTCAGGTCGAAATCATTGGTTACTGCTAAAACTGTTTACAGGGACTGTAAGCGTATTTCAAGTAAAGATGGCAATGCCTGATTCACAAAGGTTTCCTTTAAAACTTTGTATAATCAAGTATGAACTAAATATAATTACGAAAACTTATTATTTTTAATTGTGTTTTCCCGACAAAAGTGATTGCAAGAAAACATATAGGAATTTTAGAATGCACTCTAAACTACGGAATGAAAAATATCGCTTATTTGACAGTAAAGTTTATAAACTCCCAGATAAGCAAAAATAAATTGCTAATATTCAACAACAAAAATTAGCAGTCATCAAACTTTGCATAATTGACAGCAATAAAATATTTGCTGCCAAATTTAGCCGATTTTTTGTTATTTCGTAATTTAGAGTGTAAACTTTCTCTCTCTCTCTCTCTCTCTTGTTGAGAGAATGTGCAGTATACAGAAGATTGAATAAATTCTGAAAATTCATTGTGCACCTAATCAGTAAACTCTACAGAAGCAGAAAACTAACTATAGTTTCAGTAGAAGTANTCCTCATTGTCAATCTCCTTTCTTCTCATTTTCCCATCTTTCCCTTCTACATACTTTCTATCTTCCTTTCAACACTTTTCCCATTCATATTTCTTAAGAAGAGAAAACTAAATCTTTATTTGATCAGCATATCATTATACAGGGTTACCCACAAAGGATCAGACTTAAATGACGACCTAAAGTTCTTTAAATCTATCAAATTTTTTTAATTTTGCCATAAATAAAGTCTTTTATTGAGAATCTAAATCATTTTGCAATGAAAAAAACCAGTTTATAACTGTCATGAGCCATATGGCTTTAATATAAAGAATTGAAGAAATAATGTACAATCGTCTCTGAAGTCTTATTCTTTGTGGGTAACCCCAGGGTGTATTTCCTGCTACTCTATCTTCAGAATATGTCTATCTTTATTTTATTTCTTATCTTTTTACAAAGATATATAACTCCATTTTTCTTTATCTTTTACTACTTTTTTATGTCTGTGACATTTTTTTAACGCCCGAACTTTCAGAACACAAATTTTTAGAATAGAATATGATATAGAATAATAGTCTTGATTTCTAACTTAATAAATAAGTGATGCAGTCATTTTTAAGGAAAAAATCAGGGAAATGTCTTTCCTCCCCTCTCTCTCTAAATATTTTGTTCGGCTCAGAATAAATTTGTTCAATTCACAAGGGAAATTGAATCGTTTAAAACCTTTAATCAAGTTTACTAATATTAGTGGTTTAATTGTTGGTTTGAGTAGAGAGGAGCAACTATGTTTCTCATTAATTTCTAGGACATATTCAGATCAACAGGAAAATAAGTGTTCGCATTACAAAACAATTTTTTTTCAAGTTTGTTGGGCGAACAAATTATATATACATATCTCTATAATTAAAGGGACTTTAAAGGAAAATTGAAGGGGGTATAGGCTGAAAGCTAATCACTTTAGCTCTTGATCGCGACCCATGAAAGTTTTATCTTATGTTCCTGTCTCGAGAAATTGATATAAAACTGTGTTAAAATTATGCGAAAATTCATTTAAGTAAAATTTTGAAAATCTGAAACTTAAATCACGTGACCAGAACTATCACCAATGGCAGAGCAGTATACTGGTCAAGTGTCTCCGCCTGTATCACGTGACCACTTCACTGCACTGCCATTGGTGGAATTTCTGGTCAAGTAATACGGACTTATAAATAATATTATGAATTAAACTATTAAAAATAGAAATAACAAATATAAAATTAGAATTGGAGTAACGTAAGTTACAATTAGCTTTCTTTGGGATATCATCCTTTTCAGATTGGTTGCTTACTTGCTGAATTTGATCTATCTAAACCCACTACTTTTATACCAAATTGTATATATATTAATTTTCGTATAAATTTGACAAAGTTGTATATCAATTTCTCGAGATTGGAAAATCAGATATAACTTTCATGGGTCGCAATCAAGAGCTAAAGTGATTAGCTTTCAGCCTATACCCCCTTTCATTTTTCCTTTACAGTCCCTTTAAGAAATCATTTAAAATGTTTAGAAATCTTTCAAAAGCTTTATTCTTTTAGATTGTTTTATCCATTGTCTCTACCTGCTCTGCAGCCCCTAGCCAGCTGGCCCCCACCCTTTACCAGTCCCGTCTATCCGGTCCCAGTCCCTTCTCGGGACCCATCTCTGTAGCTGAAGCGGAGTCACTGCTTGCCACATTCGCCGGAGACCTCCAGTCTTCACCCTACGGCGCCAATATCGCCAACGACCTACTGGCTACCGGCCTCCAAGCTGGCGACGCTGCCCAAGATGTTGGAGGACCTATTACCCTTGATGGAACCAACCTTGTGGTCTACCCTAACGGTGCTGTGGTCCCTGCAGATGAGCCCCGTGTGGCTGCTGTCAAAGCTGGGTTCTCGGCTGCTCATATTCTGGCCAAAATTAATGGATTTTAAACATCAAATAGTCTGGTGTATGATTTTGCAAGCTTTTACGAGTTTTTATTCTTAAATCAAAATAAACTTTATAAATAGAGATTTATTAGATGTGTAACAGTGCCCAAACTACAAAAGTCTCTGTAAGTATGTTTATGACTCACACTTAAAGCTCTCTGAATCCAAGGTAATATGGAAAGGAAAGTTAATTGCAGTTGCGTATTCTCTGCGTACATATTGAAACCAGTTCTCTCTGGGGGGTATTTGTAAACAAGAATAGAGGCATCAGTGTTTCTGTATCCGAGGAGGATAAAATTTGGATAATTTTGATAATTCACATAAAAGTTTGCTATGACCAGAATATGTCATTGATTTTTTTATGTAAAAGATGGATCCCATTCCCATGTCAGGCTGTGACATCCGTCTTTTGTTTACTATATAACCAGTACAAAAACGTGTAAACCTCTGAAATAACTATCTTTACATTATAATTCTTTGTCTGAATCTTTTTCTCTACCGATTAATGATTAACTCAACCATTCGTATTCAGAGTCTATATAAAACTAACTATAGTTTGCGGATAATACGGTCAATGAACCATAACGAAACCTATATTATGAGGATGCAAAGATATGAGAGATATTACTATATTTATTACAGATGCTTAAGTAAACTTTTTCTAGAATTAAAGACTAAATTTTATGAAAAGTGAGAAGTAGTTTAACCCGATTGATGTAGTTAAACCACTTCTCTTGTGTGTTGGTTCAAGTTCAAGAGAAGTGATGATAAGGAACTGATCCATATTCAGAGTTTTAACCTCGATATCTTTGCAACCCGATGTCGTAGACCTTTGAAATTCCAAACTTTGAATTCAAATAATTTAAGTTTGAAATATCAAAGATGTGCACCAAAAGATTGCAAAGACATCGGAGTTAGAAAATGTCAGTTTGAGGCAATTGCTCAGTTCCTTAGCCTTCTAGTTCAATCAATTCTCACTATTCCATATCAATTTATACAGAGATTTTAACAGTACAAAAAATCATAGTTTTGAATAAGGAATAAATAGGTAAGGGAGCGCTTGATAAAGATAAAGATTACTAACTAGATAATGGAATGTTGCAGATATTTAGTTTTTTTAATTGAACAATTATATGGAGCTTTTTTAACTGTTCCAGCATATTTCATGGCTATTTATTTGTTCAATTACCGAGATTCAGGTATTATAGTATAACACACACCTACACCATGCAACATTTTTATTCGTCATGCGGCATTGAAATGCATTTTTATCTTTCTGCATTTTCAGTGTTAACCTAGGTAATATTGTTTGCTTTAAAAAATTTGTTTAAAGATAAGGTTGAACGGATTTATTGAGGACTGAACTATGTCTAAAAACTTCCAGTTCTCACTACTAGGTGCTTGATGTGAGTAACGTTAAACTTAGAGAAAAAGTGAAATTAATGAAGAAACAAAGTTTACAACATGCTTGTTTCTAGCTTCAGATTAAAAGGATAATACATAAATCAAGGCTGCTAAGAAAATAAGCATAATTTTGCAAAAAATCGTCAACTACGCCGTACGACATAGTTATAGACTTTAAGAATTTATTGGCAAAATTATCATTGATTTTTACTTGAGACCTTGCAACACGTTTAGATCGTTGTGAAAAATTTACTAAATATGGAAATCTATATATTTTTCATCTTTGAAAATTAATTTAATATAGGATAAGAATTATATATACAACTAGGCTTATAGGGCGCTTTGCGCCCATCTTCTATTTCAACTTTTAATTGTGGCTTTGTCTGTGAGTATCTTCTCTTTGTATTTAAAACAAAAACAAAACAAAAAGTTTGCGGATTTTTAATTATTTTTCGCGCATTTTTAAAATTTAACAAAACTAAAAACTTTTAAACACAAATTTTTTAAATTTTGATCATTCATAAACCTTTATTGGGGTCACGTGAGGTCCCACACAAAATTTGGGCCCGATCGATTGACGTTTATTGGATACAAACAAACAGACAGACAAGCTAAATTTATATATAGACCAGGCTTTTAGGGCGCTTCGCGCCCATCTTCTATTTCAACTTTTAATTGTGGCTTTATTTGTGAGTATCTTCTCTTTCTAAACTATATAAAAAAAAGTTTGCGGATTTCATAATACTTTTTCGCGCATTTTTAAAATTTGACAGAAATAAAAACTTTTTATCACAAATTTTTAAAATTTTGATCATTCATAAACCTTCCCTGGGGTCACGTGAAGTTCCACACAAAATTTGGGCCCGATCGGTTCAACCGTTTTGACGTTTATTGGATGCAAATCAACAGAAAGACAAGCCAAATTTATATATAGATCTATTCATCTTTTCAGAATCAAAGTAACTAAAAAGTTATACAGAGGAAGACAGTTATTTCAATTCTATTTATATTTTCAATTATATACCCTATAAATAAAATGCACGTGATAACATTATATTGATAATACACCAGAAAAAATGTATGAGAATAAAACTTCTCCATCTACTCCAACCCCCTCTATTGGATCCTTGACGTCATTGACCTCCTCTAAGAACACAATGATGTCGTCGAAGACCTCCTCCATGACATCTCTGGCCCAACCGAACCCTTTGAGCCCAAGGAAAAAACTTCAAAGAATCATAGTTTTACACGATCTGAATCCTACCCTTGCCTTTGTACTGAGACCTGCCCTTGCCTTTGTACTTAATCCTTCTCTTGTAATCAACCTATTCTAAAGTACTGAATCCTTCTCTTGTAATCAACCTATTCTAAAGTACTGAATCCTTCTCTTGTGATCTACCTATTCTAAAGTATTGAATCCTTCTCTTGTTATCAACCTATTCTAAACTAATTCAATTCTCATCCTTGGCGAGTAACCCTATGTACAGTCTTTCAATTCTCATCCTTGGTGAGTAACCCTGTACAGTCTTTTAATTCTTATCCTTGGTGAGTAACCCTTTACAGTATTTTAATTCTCATCCTTGGCGAATAACCCGGTACAGTCCTTTAATTCTCATTCTTGGTGAATAACCCAGTACAGTCTTTTAATTCTCATTCTTGGTAAGTAAAGCTGTACAGTCTTTTAATTCTCATTCTTGGTAAGTAACCCTGTACGATCAAATAATTCTCATTCTTGGTGAGTAACCCTGTACAGTCTTCAACTCTTATCCTTGGTGAGTAGCCCTGTACAGTCCTTTAATTTTCATTCTTGGTGAGTAACCCTGTACATTCTTTTAATTCTCATCCTTAATGAGTAACCCTGTACATTTGTTCAATTCTTATCCTTGGTGAGTAACCCTATGTACAGTCAATCAATTCTTATTCAGTTTACAGTTATCACAAATAAAAAAAGCGTTTTGAATCTAAAACCTTTTTATGCTTATAAAAAAATCATTCATTAAATTTTCTGGTTGCAATGATAATTTAAGTGCTATAAGTATGCACACTGTCAAGGGTTGAAGCTGGATTAAAAAATTTAGGCAGGATTTTTAAGTACAACAATCACAAATCAATTCAATCTAAAAAAAACAATGGTACAATGGCATACCAAAGGCGTATATTCCGGTGTCCGAGGCAATGAAACCAACAATATTTAAGCCGCGGCTAAAATTTAAGCCGCCGCTAAAATTCTTAAAATTCGGCCTCTGTATGGTCCCATCATGTTTAAAGATTAAAAGATATTGCTTTTTTGCTACAAACTCAAACTTTCAATTCTCTATATCTATGCATCCTGATGGTTTAAACTTATATAATTTGATCTAACAGAATTCTTAGTTTGAAGAAGGTGTATGACTTTTAGTTGCAAAGATATAAGTTTGAGAAAATCATAGTTAGTTGCAAATACTCAATTCCTTTAAAAAATTTATATTTTTATGAACGATAATTTTACATACGGGACTATGATTATTTAAAGTCAGCCGGGACAATAAAGTGATTGAGGGACAATAAAGTCTAAAATTATAATTCTCTAAACTTCTCATGAGCTTATTGAAGTTTTGACTTATATAATAGAGTTCTAACCCCGCAGAAAAAGGAGAAGAAGTTTGCTTGGCTTACAAGGTATCTACTTGATAAAAACTTTTTGGTGATAAAATTTAAATTAAAAAATACTCTTTCTTTTAGATCTGAAGAAGAAGAAGAACTAGGAAAGTATAAATGTGAAAAATATTTAATATTCGTTTATATCTTCTATTTGAGAAATTTGAATGAATGACCTAATGAATTATAAATCCACTTTAACTGGAAATAAATATTAATTCTTTTTGATTTTCTGCAATTGTAACTTCTACAGGGTACCGCAAACAAATTTGTCTATTTTTATAAAGAAAGACTTTAAAAAGAGGGGTCGGTTACATTTGAATCCACTCTCTATTAAAGCAGTGCGAGACGATAGCTTTTTAAAATCTCTTTCAGTTCAGACTCTAACTTTTTAGCCCTTTAAACCTGATATCCCTTGATATTTAATCTTAGAATTTGGCCAGATCAAATAGTTTAAAATAAGAAAGGTTTACACCTTCAGGTTGCAGAGATAAACCATTCTAACAAAGATAATAGATTATATATATTAGAGTGGAATTTATAAAATCCCACGGTATGAATTTTGTCAGTCCCTTTCAGCCGGAAAAGGGAGTTCAAAGTGTAAAAATCATGTAAATGTTCACAAATTATATGCAGTAGAGTACATTAATACAGTATGCTTCCTATACTATCCATTTCATTTCGAATTTTTAAAGCTTTTAAATAAACTTTATAAAATGAATTATGTGAATAAAAAACATCATTTGATTTATAGCTATAACGGAAAATCATCGTTTGTAAAGTGAATGGCATAGAGTCTATGTGAAATGATCATTGGTCAATTATGAAACAAGTCTATTTCATAATTTGGTTTTCTTTTAATATAAATTTTAGATTTTCTATAAAATGATGTTCCAGGGCCCAAAAGGTTATATAGCACAAATATGTGAAGTACACCTGCAGTATGGGAACAGTACAACAAAATGGCCGTTTTACACTTTTTTCTAGTAAATTCCACTCTAGTATATGTTCTATTCTCTTTACATTCTAATCTTAGATTTTGAGGCGAGTTATCAGTTGAATTTGTTATTTCTTTCAATTAAAAATATTAGTAAGCGTTTGAATTAAAAGTTAAAACAAATTTGCTTTAAAACTTTAGATATTCTGACAGAAAATATTCTGATGGAGAGCACCGTAGAGCATAGGTTAAAATCTTAATTAAAATATTTAAAAGTATGTTTATTGCAACGGCTCGTTTACTTTAATATTGAAACGATTTTTAAAACATTGTAAATCTTTAATAAAAATATCCGATCAAAGTTGTGCCAACAAAACCCTAGAATAAAATTCAATCTGATTTTAATGTTTGGATTGGGTTGGGACATGCCCCCTTTTTATTTCTTCCAAAAGAAAATAAACCTTTTACATTAACTAATTATTGACGGATAAATTCTCGGTCCCTCCACGTGGATTTAACGGTTCTGTCAATATTCCAGAAAGCTGTGACTTTCGATCACAATTTTGCTATTAAACATAATTTTTTAGCCTTTTTCATTAAATACTTTTTTGCCGACAAATACATTTAGAATGAAAAGACTAAGACAAACAAAACCGTAAGTTTAAAGATTATTTGATTATAGACCAAAGCGCGTAAGATTTCAAATAGAAGAAACCGAATGCTTCTAACTCTGTTTAGTCCAGGGTGGATTCTATAAGCCGGAACAATTTAATTGTTTGGTTTCGTAAAAGCTCAAAATTCCTAAAAGTCGATTTGAACTTAATTCAATTACTTCTTTTGCAAAACTTTCTTACGGGAAGTTTAACAATTTCTTTCATGGGACTGTAAGAGTAAATTCAAGTGACCCTATATTCCAAGTTGATCAAGTTTAAGTTAGATACTAAGTTTTAAAAATATAAAAAAAACTGATTAATTACAATTGTGGTATATCTACACAAAAGTGACTTGCGCATTTCTACTGCAGAAAAACACAAAGGAATTATCAGAACTAAAGAACCTAGAAAAACGGCAATATCTTAAGAAATATTGATCAGATAAAGGTTTTTAAGCTTCCGTTGGTAATCGGGCATTGACAACTTCTCCGCCGTAAAGCAAAATAGGCAAGTTTAACAGAATTTTGCATAGAACTCTGAAAGTTAATCACTTTAGCTCCTGATCGCGGTACCATAAAAGTTATATCTGGTGATTCTAAATTGATATAAAACTGTGTCAAATTTATACGAAAATTCATATATATACAATTTTGGATAGAAATAGTAGGTTTAAACAGATTATATTTCATATTTAAATATGCAACCAATATGAAAACGAAGATATCCCAGAGAAGCCTAATTGTAACTTAGGTTTTCTCTGATAATTATTTCATAATTTTTATTTTCATTTTTAATAGATATAATTGATAATTTTATTTATAAGTCCGTATTACGTCACCAGAATTCCCACCAATGAGAGTGCAGTAAAGTGGTCAAGTGGCTCTGTATCACGTGACCAGTATACTGCACTGCAGTCTTAACATCTGATGAATGGATATCTATGATGCATGAACGGTCACTTTAAATTATGCTTACAGTTCCTTTAAAGCATGATTTGATTAAAATGTTGTATCTTAGGGTAGAGTTAGGTGAAGATGATATAAATATTCAAGTTGGAGAGAAACAAGAACATCTAGATCTAAGGTCGACAATATTATTCCAATTATATATCTCAACTTAAAGGTACTCTGTAATAAACGTAACATTAAGTGCCCATGGATGATATTGCCTTATTTTAATATTTTTAAAAATAGAAATCGACAATTTATACTTGTAATAAATCTAGGTCCCGAGATTACTCTACTCAAAGTCTAATTATAGTCCCACTGACTCTATCTCTAGCCAAAACTCAAGGCTCTCAATCTCTAGCCAAAACTCAAGGCTCTGTATACGTCCGTATAACACAAAGTTTCATGTAGTACTAATTTATTTTTTACAGGTAAATCAAATTGACCGGATTGGCCGGTCAGGGTCAACATTGAAATAGATAAGATATATTAATAACATGGATAATAAAGATCGAACTAATCATTACAACAGAAAATGCTACATACTTTCCTTATTGAATACATGTTTAAAGGGTACCACTGTGAATTGGAAATCAAACTCTTTAAATGGAGGGTCACATAAAATTATAGATAAACAACACAATTCAACAAACATATGACTTTAAAACTAAACTACAGGGTTACCCACAAAGCATGAGACTTCAGAAACAACTCTACGGAATATATATCTTATATTCATGGTTCTCTCTGCAGCTGTAAACTTGATTCTTACTTTGGAAAATCATTGGTATAAACAGTTTGTTTTTAATCTTCCTGACAGAAACAATCTCAAGGAATAATAATTGTCTTAAATCAATTTTAAAAAGTGAATATTTGCAAATTATCTTTTTTCCATCTCATCATCTGAGTTTCTTTCCCTTTTGTCCATTTGACAGCCCAATTTTTTTTAAACAATCTTTTATGTTTGTTTATTTTCTTGTGGTTTTTAACATTTTTTTATCGATTTTGATGGTTATTATATCGTTAAAATTGACGAGGGTCAACCCAGACCTAAATATGTTTTCAATAAATTTGGAACTAACATCTAAGTTTTTTACTTTACAGAGGTTTGGTCCATCACCATCACCGAATTTTAAAACTTCTCTTTGTTTACTTGTAAACTTGTAATTTGAAAAAATGCTTGTTAGAAACTTAGATCGAAATGTTGTCTTTATTGTATTTATATAAACGCAGACCACTGTAGATAAATAGTATGTAAATATGTAGATACCATCGTACATGAGAATATTGTTTGAAATTAAATAAAAAAAAACATAGAGAAGCTTCTAACTAGATATTGATAAATGATCATGTTTAGAAGTATAAATGATCATGTTTAGAAGTATAAATGATCATGTTTAGATGTATAAATGATCCTGGTGTATCAGAATTGATCAAAATCCTGATCAATTGGATAAGCGCAGAGTTCAGTGATCAAAGAGTTCAAATCACTGATCTGGGAAAAGACCTCAGAGATGGACAGGTCGTCTTTTTAACCTTTTTAAAAAAATAGTGATTATCTTAAAATAGCATTGCAATTTTTTAAGTAGGAAGCTACGTTTGTACACTGTGAATCTTGGAAGCTGAAAAGTTATTATTCTCGCACCGACTTTTTTTTTTTAATCGCTTACACGAATAAATTTTTTTTCGGTGACAATTTAAAATTCCAAAATAATGTCGTTAATTAAAGGCTTTATGGTTTGGTAAAATTTACAGCTTTTTGTTCGGATATTTTTAGTCAGTATAATATTTTTTCCATGTTTTAGGTCTATGCCTTGATTTATGAGAAAATACTTGGATTAAAGAAGCTTGATCTACCCTGGGGAGAATATGTGCAGTCTAGGAACACAAACTCTAAATATATATAGACGACCTTCTTTCAATAACATTTGGTGTTCAATTATAGATGGTTAAATTGTTGTGTTTGATTAGAAATATTTAGTAGTTAAAATATATTTTGGTTAAATTTATTTGGTTTGGTTAAATCTATTTGTTTTGAATTTTGATTGAATATTTGGTTTGGTTCTTTGTAAAGGGAAAGACAAGAGAAAAACCTAGAGTTCATTATAGAAAATATGAACAGGTAAAAATACAAATATCTCTTTTTTTAACAAAGAAATTATAAATTTAACAATAAATTGTTTAAATAATAAATGTTTATGACAATTTTGCAAAAACAATTGTGAAAATGAATATTTAATAAGTTGGCAAAGTTGAATAAAAAAACCACAGAAACCTCGCAAATTCAGTTTTCAGGAACCAAAGTACAATTGTTTTCTATTGTTGGGAAGCTTAACGTTTTGAGAAAAACAATTAAGATTTTATATTTCAGAGAACTTGGTCTGACTGATGTTCAGGTAATGCGGGAACAAAGCACAGGGTGTCCACCCAAATTTGACAATTGGTGAATAGTTTAAAATGTCTTCTTCCATAATATGTCAAGTTGTTTGATACTAATGAGAGTAGATAACAATGTTGGATGGGAGGAGTTATCTTACATTAACATTTATTTCAAAGTAAAATATATTTGTATAAAAGTTTTTCTTTTGGCAATATACAGCTGGTGTCCCTAGAAATAGTTTTGAATGTCGTCTTTCATACACTGTATTAGATATTAAAGACGGTTTGCACTTTATTTCGTTTAAAAAATCTTTTGCTCAAATATATTTTACTCTGAAATCAATTTTACTATAATACGACTCCTATATACTATTTTTATAACTGTCTTTGGTATTAAACAACTTATCGAATTATGGAAGGAGACATTCTTAAACTATTTACTAACTGTCATGTTTCGTGAGACACCCTGTATTTTGAAGAAGGTTTAAAGGTTACAACATGTGAAGATTTTAACATTATAGCCATGCATGCATGTTTGCTCGGCCAAAGATTCAAAATTATAACACAATTATAATTTGAGGGGCGGGGGGGGGGGGGGTTTTTGAATGAAGGAATAGTTACCATTTCGCCAATTTTTAGTATAATTAATATTTAAAATTACGATTTGCTTAACAGATTCAGATTTTTAAAATATACATCTTATCAAAGAATTTGTTAAAGATAAAATGGAAAACATCATTACTGTCCTGTGGAGAAATGCTGAATATTCTAAGGAAAATAAAATAAAAACATTTTATAGTCTAATTTTCTATACCCTTGAACTTAGCAATCTGATTGTGTAAACCTTTGATATTTCAAACTTTGAATCTTTAAATGATTAATTGATTGATAGCATAATCCATAATGTGAAACATCAATTTTTTTCGATGCCAATGCAACGGTTTTATTCAATGAATTTGAGTTAGTTCGCTGAACTACAGTCTGGACATAGACAAACCCTGAATGAACGTCTCTAGACCTAGCTAAAATTCATTAAATCCGGTCCTAAATAACTGTTTTCCCCGTAGTTTAACTTTTTTTTAAAAGGATTCCAGATTTCTGTGCCCACTGACAATATGAAGAATAAAAATCTTTCTGAATATAAGATATAAAATTTATTTGTTTGTCAACAGATTGTTGATTAAAATAAATCGGTTCTGCCATACCAACAACAGGGAAATATATAAAATTTACAATTTTTAAAAAATTTTATATTTTTTTCTTTTTTTAAAAATTTTATTCACAATGCAAAAAAAACGCGAAAAAAATAAAGTTTATTATAATCGAAATTATTTACAATGTCTAATTTCTAATGTCATTTCTGTATTTTTTTCGTCCATACAAATTCGGAAATTTGCAACATTCAACTCGGATAGTAAAATGATCAATTTAATTCCAAACAAATCATTCAGATGTTACAAACTATAGTCATTGATTATTATTCGATGCATTCGTATAAAGTTAATGTTTCATAATACTTTTGATTTTTTTCTAAAATGATATTTCGCTGGCGCTGGATTTTCGAACATTCCTGGAAAATATGAAAATGCCGTCTTCATTATCAAAAATCCTCGAAACAGAAGTAAAAAATAAAAAATATTATGAAATATCAACTATATATACGTCGAAAAATAATCGATGACTTTAGGTTGTAATATCTGAATGAGTTATTTGAAATTAAATTGGTTATTTTACGATCCGAGTTAAATGTTGCAACTTTTTGATTTTGTATGGACGCTACGTTCTTCATAATAAGTCGTTATTAACAATTTTCTCCTTATTGACGCAACAAATAGAAGTAAGATATTAGTAGCAATCAAAAGCCGTAACACTATACCCCCTTTCATTTTTCGCGAACACTCCCTTTAAAGTCCTTTAAATCAGTCTTGGTTTTAGGCTCTGTACAATGCAGTACGTGTACAGTGTACAATACATTTATAATATTGCATTACTGAAGACCGGCACCAGAACTACCCAGAGTAATTAAAGTCAATATACTAAAGTAAGTTTATTATTTATAAGTAGAAATACACATTATTGTTTTAGACTTTTTTATTACATTGTTAAATGGTTATTTTGTCAGGGTACAAATAAAAACATTAGGAAAAATATTGATTGTTAAAGAACAAAAACTTCTTCACCTTTGTAAGCCTCTTTAGAGTTTAAAAAAACTTAAATAATTGTATAAACTATGCCAATATCATTACTTAAGGACATCGTTAAATGGTCAGCTTTTAAACATTCAAAGTTTTTACAATTTCAAGAGAATCTGTAAGAAAAAATCCTTTTTCAAAACTGTTTGATGAGCTTGCTTTTATTTTTTACCAAATATATCAAACCAAAAAATTATAATAAAAACTATTTGTAAAATCATTAAATTTTTTTTTATCAATTTTTTATTTTTTACCAGCATGAGGGAAAAAGTTTAGCATATTGTAATAAAAGCAAAGTGATCGAGAATGCAAGTTTGCAATGTGATGAATAACTCACATTCAATAAAAATAAACCTTAAATGTTTAAAAATTTAGCTCAAAGCGTTACTCATCCTTACATCAATCTTGGGGTGCAAAGTATTAAAGTTTCTTTAGTAAGCTCATTATAACTAGATTAAAAAAGCTGGAAACTGGAGTTCGCTGTGAAAGAAGAGTAGAAAATATTATGGGACAGGAGTCAGAAATAGGTGATCATAGAAAATATTTTTATGAGAACAGTCAGAAATATATATTAGAGTGGAATTTAATAGAAAATAGTGTAAAACGGCCATTTTGTTGTACTGTTTCCATACTGCAGGTGTACTTCACATATTGTGCTATATAACCTTTTGGGCCCTGGAACACCATTTTACAGAAAATCTAACATTAATATTAAAAAAAACCAAATTATGAAATAGGCTGTTTTCATAATTGACCAATGATCATTTCACATAGACTCTATGCCTTTCACTTTACAAACGATGGTTTTCCGTTATAACTATAAATCAAATGATGTTTTTTATTTACCTAATTCATTTTATAAAGTTTATATTTAACAGCTTAAAAAAATTTGAAATAGAAATGGATAGTATAGGGAGCAATACTGTATTAATGTACTCTACTGCATAGAATTTGTGAACATTTACATGATTTGTACACTTTGAACTCCCTTCAGACTAAAAGGGACTGAAAAAATTCATACCGAGGAATTGTCTAAATTCCCCTCTAATATATATTCTATTCTCTTTGGAAATAGGTGATCATAGAAAATATTTGTATGAGAAGAGTCAGAAAAAGATGAAACTGTAGCAGCAATAACACGAGTCTAAATGAAAGTTGAAAATGAGCATTATAAGGAAAATCCGTCTCAATGCTGTCATGATTTTTAAATTATCAAAGAGCAGTATGTTTTATTTTCTAATTTGTTTATATTTTACCTTATCAAAAAATCATGTTTGTACGTAAGTACGTAAATGCATGAAATTGACATTGTTACAGTGATAACCAGAAATCTCTGGAATAGGAAGTCGACTTTTAAACTAAAATTAGGTCTTTAAATAGTCTGATGAGCATGAGACACAGCAATTGTGCATTGTAAACAGACCCATTTCAGTTAAAAAGTGAAATAATAACTTACTGGCAACGCTATTTACTTTTTAACAACATCAAATGCACTTCAATATTGCTTAAATGTCGTCTTCCTATTCTACAGTTTTCTGGTTATCACTGTATGAATTCTTGTAATTGTCTCAAAACCAGGATATATATTTCAAAAACGCGACATGAGCTCGGCTTGGATTTAAAAGATAACAATTTGCATACTTGGCCCCTTTATAACACTAAGTGTTACGAATGGGCCAAGTGTTAGTTGTGAAACTAATTCCCCCTGTATTTAGAATAAACCATATATTTGTACTTGTTCTTACTGTCTAAAAAAAAAACCGGTTAATTTTTAGGGAAAAGAGACGGATTTGATACCTTATTCGATCATTTCCCAGATAAACTGTTCCAAGTACAAAGCTCACTACTCACCTTTGTCAACAGGTAAATTTTCATATTATTTAAAGGGACTGGTCTCAAATCTTGTTTAAAATCCTTCATCAAGGTGCATGAGTTTATAAATCGAAATAAAAAACTAAATATTTTTATTTTCCGTGTTTTACAGGTTAATGTTGGATTACATATTATATATTGGATATATCACAGTGTTAATAAACGGAAATTACATTTATGTTGTGGCGGCGTAGTGGCGGAAGACAAGACTTTTGAGGAGTTTTGAACCTAAGATCTAGACGCGGCAAGATGAGCAACTTCCGGCCACGTCACCTATCTATCTGTTTAATATTTTACATTTCTATAAATTTAAGTATATAAATTTAGTAATAAAGTAATTATTTAAACCAGGCGTTTGTCAAACTGAGCGTAGCTAAATTGGTGACCCCTAGTTCGAAACTATAGGCATATAGACTGTTTTCCGTGCCATTATAGACTGTTTTTTATAGCTACACGCTCATCAAGTGATCGAAATGCCTAAGGACAGTGATAACGTCCAAGCTCTAGCTGAACCCAGCTCGCTGGATTTATTAAACTCTGTTTCAGTGAAAGTTCCAGCCTTTTGGCCAGATTCTGCGGAGGCCTGGTTCGTGCAGGTGGAGGCTCAGTTCGCCCTCAAGGGAGTAACCGCCAGTTCCACCAAGTTCTATTATTGCGTATCTTCGTTCAACCAGGAGACAGCGAACCAAGTTCTGGATCTCATCAAGAATCCTCCGTCCTCAGACCCCTACGAAGCCTTGAAGAACCGTTTATTGAGATTGTTTGCTCTCGACAATTATCAAAGGTATGAAGCAATCTCTAACCTTCCTCTCTCCGGCGACATGAAACCTTCAAAGCTTATGTCGAATATGCTCGCCCTGCTTCCTCTTGGTCACAAACCGTGCTTCTTTCTCCGTGGAGCTTTTCTGAAGAGGTTGCCCGCCGACGTCCGAGCTCACCTGCTGAGGGACGATTTTTCGGATCCTATAGCTTTAGCCTTGAAAGCAGACGAGATTTATCAGAGCAGAGTTTCCTCTTCAACTGTCTACATGGTTTCCGGCGCCTCGGAGGATGTTGTCAACGCCGTGAGATCCTCACCTACAAACCGCTCAGGTCGTTCAGCAACTCCTCACTCCAGCAGCCGGGATAACAGATCATTGTCTCCGTCTCTGTGTTACTACCATCGTACCTGGGGAACTAAGGCTAAGAAGTGTAGAGCTCCTTGTTCCTGGTCGGGAAACTAGTTGACCGGCAGGAGGATGTTCGTACCCTTCCTGCCGGGCCTTCAACCTCATCTCCTCTCATCTATCTGCAGGATTCTCTATTTCTATAAATTTAAGTATATAAATTTAGTAATAAAGTAATTATTTAAACCAGGCGTTTGTCAAACTGAGCGTAGCTAAAATGTATTATATGTTAAAATAAAAAGTATTTTACTTCTTCTATAATTGTTGAAATTGTACAGCGATGACAACATTTTTCAATCAACTCATGAGATTAGACTTTATCATATTTCTTGCTGCATATAAATGACGACATTAGTCAAGTAACTCAGCGGATCAAACATTTATATATTCGTCATGCAAATAATTCTAAGTTAATCGCTCATTAGGACAAAGGAATTGAGTTTTTGCCACAAATCCCAATTTTAAAATACATAAATCTCAACAACCAGATGATGCATACCTTTCATATTTCAAACTTACATTGCTTGATCCACCAGAATTCATAGTTTGAAATATCTGTGGTCTATACAACATTTGGTTTTAAAGAAATTAGGATGTAAAAATCCGAGTTAATGATTACAATTCAAAATTGCTTGATTTAAAATGTCATTTACTTTACAAATTCTAAATTTAAATTTTAGATTGCTAAACCCGGCGTTAGACTTTTTGTTGTTTTGTTGTTTTGTTGTTTTATTGCTTTGTTGTTTTTTTGTTTTGTTGTTTTGTTGTTTTGTTGTTTTTTTGTTTTGTTGTTTTGTTGTTTTATTGTTTTATTGTTTTATTGTTTTGTTGTTTTGTTGTTTTGTTGTTTTGTTGTTTTGTTGTTTTGTTGTTTTGTTGTTTTGTTGTTTTGTTGTTTTGTTGTTTTGTTGTTTTGTTGTCAAATTTAGAAATATCAGTCTTTTGCTTGCTAAGCTTGCTTTAATGTCTTGTACTGCAGAATTCCACGAGCCAAAGTTGTTTCAGAATAATAGAAAAATTTGATTTCTTAAAATACCTTTCTATTAGAGGACTGTCGTGGTAACTTTAAGTGACTTCCCACTTATTGAAAAAACACATGATTCGTAGTTTTGCCCTTTAAACCTTGTCTTAACAGAACAAACTATCTTTAAACTTTGTCTAGACAAAACAAACTATCTTTAAACCTTGTCTGAACAAAACAAACTATCTGTAAACCTTGTTTGAACAAAACAAACTATCTTTAAACCTTATCTGAACAAAACAAACTATCTTTAAACCTTGTCTGAACAAAACAAACTATCTTTAAACCTTGTCTGAAAACCAATAGAAAGTTGACAGAATTTTAAATTCTGATTACTTTACAAATTTGACTTTCAAAAAACCGAAAGCAATGAAACCGAATTACTAAATTTTTAGGATAAATAATGAAGATATCTTCCCCATTGTTACTTAATTAAAATGTAATAAGTCATAATTTAAAAGTATAGTTTGTTCTTGTCAAGGTTGTATGATAAGATTTCTTACTCCGCTTCAATGCACGGAAAATAGAATCTAGATAGAATCTAGATAGAATCGGAAATAGATAGAATCTAGATAGAATCTAGATAGAATCTAGATAGAATCTAGATAGATCTAGATAGAATCTAGATAGAACCTTATTATATAACCTTGGTCATTGTAGACATCTCGCCAGTGTTGGGTTGGGTGTAGGCTCTCTACAGGAGCTGGCTGACGGATACAAGCTTTGTATTCTTCTTGGATATCTTCAGGTCAGTGAGCACTGTTCAAAACCTAAATAGGTTCAGGTTCTAAATAGGTCAGTGTTCATGTCCTAAATAGGTCAGTGTTCAGGTCGTAAATAGGTCAGTGTTCAGGTCATAAATAGGCCAGTGTTCAGGTTCCAAATAGGTCAGTGTTCAGGTCCTAAATAGGTCAGTGTTCAGGTCCTAAATAGGCCAGTGTTCAGGTTCCAAATAGGTCAGTGTTCATGTCCTAAATAGGTCAGTGTTCAGGTCGTAAATAGGTCAGTGTTCAGATCCTAAATAGGTCAGTGTTCAGGCCCTAAATAGGTCAGTGTACAGGTCCTAAATAGGTCAGTGTTCAGATCCTAAATAGGTCAGTGTTCAGGTCCTAAATAGGTCAGTGTTCAGGTTCTAAATAGGTCAGTGTTCAGAACCTTAATAGGTCAGTGTTCAGGTCCTAAATAGTTCAGTGTTCAGGTCCTAAATAGGTCAGTGTTCAGATCCTAAATAAGCCAGTGTTCAGAACCTAAATAGGTCAGTGTTCAGGTCCTAAATAGGTCAGTGTTCAGAACCTAAATAGGTCAGTGTTCAGATCCTAAATAGTTCAGTGTTCAGAACCTAAATAGGCCGGTGTTCAGGTTCTAAATAGGTCAGTGTACAGAACCTAAATAGGTCAGTGTTCATGTCGTAAATAGGTCAGTGTTCAGGTTCTGAATAGGTCAGTGTTCAGAACCTAAATAGGTCAGTGTTCAGGTCCTAAATAGGACAGTGTTCAGGTCATAAATAGGTCAGTGAGCAGGTCCTAAATAGGTCAGTGTACAGGTCCTAAATAGGCCAGTGTTCAGGTCCTGAAGAGGTCAGTGTTCAGAACCTTAATAAGTCAGTGTTCAGGTCCTGAATAGGTCAGTTTTCAGAACCTAAATAGGTCAGAGAGCAGGTTATTAGTCAGTGTTCAGGTCTTAAATAGGTCAGTGTTTAGGTCCTCAATAGGGTGTTGGGACATTTCAGAGAAAGACATTTCATAGAAAGGATATTTCAGAGACAGAAATTTCTACGATCTCTCTAGTTTTACTTCACAAATTATTCATTTTTTGGTTTTAAACAGATAACATATATCAATTCTTGATATCTTGTTATATGCATCTCAAAATGATTTACATAGATTCAGCCTGCTTTCAAACAGTCTCATCAATTTTTAAGACAAGGTCGACTTTGAAGTGTTGCAATGCCTAGGGCTTAGATTTTACTGCTCTAACTTACTTACTTATGCTTTACATTTATATTTTAGTACTATTAACACATTTTCTATAATTGTGACACATAAAACCTTAAACTGTCAATAAAAGAATGTTTTATGTCCTTGAAATTACCTGTCCATGATAAATCTGCTCTGTCTATGAAACATTCTATCTCTATGATTTTTATATCTATATAATGTACATCTTTGAATTGTTTTTCTATGAAATGTCCCATCACCCTAAATATGTCAGTGATCAGGTCCTAAACAGGTCAGTGATCAGGTCCTAAACAGGTCAGTGAGCAGGTCCTAAATAGGTCAGTGAGCAGTTCCTAAATAGGTCAGTGATCAGGTCCTAAACAGGTCAGTGAGCAGGTCCTAAATAGGTCAGTGAGCAGGTCCTAAATAGGTCAGTGATCAGGTCCTAAACAGGTCAGTGAGCAGGTCCTAAACAGGTCAGTGATCAGGTCCTAAACAGGTCGGTGATCAGGTCCTAAATAGGTCAGTGATCAGGTCCTAAAAAAGTCAGTGATCAGGTCCTAAATAGGTCTATAACAACATTATTTTGTATGCAAAATGTTTAGGGTTTTTTTATTCCACTGTATGAATTCCATCAGAAGCCAGGTATCCCATTTTATAAAATTTTGCACAAAGAAGTCAGGATTGACAATTTAATTTTCACTGCTATATTATTATAAGAAATTTGAAGTTTTTAAATATAAACCACCAAAAATAATGTAGATGTTAAAAACTAATTTTTCTCTTTAATTTAGCAACAAAGGATGAAATGATTGAGAATGTAGAACTAGCGTACAGACTAATCAAGGTATAATCTTAAATACATTAATAATAGGACTAGAGTACAGACTAATCAAGTTATTATCTTAAATACATCAATAATAGGACTAGCGTACAGACTAATCAAGGTGTAATCTTAAATACATCAATAATAGGACTAGCGTACAGAATAATCAAGATATTATCCTAAATACATCAATAATAGGACTAGCCTACAGAATAATCAAGGTATAATCTTAAATACATCAATAATAGGACTAGCGTACAGAATAATCAAGATATTATCTTAAATACATCAATAATAGGACTAGCGTACAGAATAATCAAGGTATAATCTTAAATACATCAATAATAGGACTAGCCTACAGACTAATCAAGGTATAATCTTAAATACATCAATAATAGGACTAGCCTACAGAATAATCAAGGTATAATCTTAAATACATCAATAATAGGACTAGCGTACAGACTAATCAAGGCATAATCTTAAATACATCATTAATAGGACTAGCCTACAGACTAATCAAGGTATTATCTTAAATACATCAATAATAGGACTAGCGTACAGAATAATCAAGGTATTATCTTAAATACATCAATAATAGGACTAGCGTACAGACTAATCAAGATATTATCTTAAATACATTAATAATAGGACTAGCCTACAGACTAATCAAGGTATTATCTTAAATACATCAATAATAGGACTAGCTTACAGACTAATCAAGGTATAATCTTAAATACATCAATTCCTTCTCACTTTTATAGGAATTTTTTTCTTCAACTCTCCAAATTTTATCTGTTTACAGTAAATTAGGAAACACGTTTACCCAGAAGGCTTAAAAAACGATTGATTGGTTTAATCTGATATTTCATGTTAAACTTCTTTTTTCAATTTAGTAAACAAGGGGAGTAAAATGCACAAAAAGTTTTTTGCTGGGATTTAAATTATTCCAGTTTGTTTTTAATCAAAATTTTAGTAAATTTCGCACCGAACTTAATAATACAAATTTCAATGACATATTATTATTCTCTAAAATGTTTTCTTCATAAATACATTTGTTAGCATTTACAAGATTACTATTTATATTCCATTTGAAAAAAATTAATATCCCAGCCATGTATTTTCCTGTAATTCGAAAATCTTCTGGGATATTTTTTCTCATAATTGTCCTGGGACATTATGAGATATAATGTCCCAGAAGATTTTCAATTGCAGATTTTAGAGTTTTTTTCTGTTTAAAAAGGAATAAAATTATAAAAGCAACTGCCTAGTGTATAATTTGGGAAATTATATTTTTTCTGGGATTTTTACTTTATTTAATTTTTTTCGGCACTTAAAGGCTTGAATTTTAATCTCAAACAAACTCCGGCAAAAATATAATGTCCCGTATTATAACACAAGATATTATGTACAGATATTATTTTAAAAATCAGATGATAGTATACAAGTTGGGCCCGGTTTCTTGGGTAACCCTGTAACGTATATAAAAAAGATACAACTTGAATTACTAGGTGCATCAACGGTTTAATTTTTTGCAAAGAAATGAGTTTTTTGTCACAAACGCAAATGTTCTAATCTTCTTATCTTTGCAACTTGATGGTGTACACCTTTGATATTTCAAACTTAGAATATTTGATAAAACAGAATTCATAGTTTGAAATATTAAAAGTCAACGTCATCAGGTTGCAAAGATGAAGGAATTTAAACAATCGAGTTCCTTTCTTATATGCTTGCTTTCTTTTCAAAATGCCCTCAACATTTTTAAAGAGCAACTCATTTTCTTCTATCTCAATTCTGCGGACTAATTTTAACCTGTAAGCGTAATTTCAAGTGACCCTCCATGCACAGATGGCAATTTCTGATTCACAACGGTACCCTTAAAAGCTTTGTCTGATCAAGAATGAATGAGATATTCATGTTTTTGTTTCTTTAAATTGTTTATTTTAATTTTTTCGAGTCTTCCACATTTTTGATCAGATTAAAGTTTCAAGGGTGCCGTTGTAAATCGGACATTACCATCTTTGCATGGAGGGTCACTTGAAATTACGCCTCACAGTCCCTTTAAATATATCATCTTATTTAAATGTGTTTCTCACAGTTTTAAATTGTTCATGGAACTCACAATTTGAAGAAAGAAAAAAAAACATTTTCAATTTAAACTTAATCGAAACCGAATTTGATTTAAAATCCTAAACTTTTTTTATTTTTTTTATTAAAGAACTATATTCCTAAATAATCAGTAATCTTCTAAGAACTTTTCTTAAACAATTATGGATTTTTCAAGAACTCTCATTAAAAAATCTGCAATTTTTCTAGAATACTCCAAACAATCATGGACTAAATGACAGTTACTATGGGTTACTTGATAATTTTAATATTTATTAAGATATATATTCCAGGAAGGAGGACTGCCTACTCCAATGAATCGGCCTGGGGAAGTGGTTCAAGCAGATTTAAAAGCAATTTTCAGGCATTATTTTATCACCAAGCTATTTTAATATAATAGAGATATATAGAGTTTACATACCCCCACCCCACCCGTGCTTGCTTTCTTTTACAGGGTTTCAACTGAAACAACATAAACTTCTATAAACAAGGAGATTATACTTGAGAAATGAAAAATGTTTTTAAAATCTACATCTACCTTATTCAGCGTGTATTCAAGTACACCCAAAGACTTTGCTAATTAGCAAGGTCTTTGAGTACACCTATACTCTATTCCTAATAAGTCTATTCTAAATACACAAACTTTGTGTTTGAACATATTTACTGCTGTTTCTCTTTATTTTCAAGCCAATTTTTTTTACAAGTACACTTGCAGATATTTTTTAATGTTTAAGCAATTGCCCATATTTATGAAACTGATTATAAACGTAATTTCTACAATTTACGAATGAATCTATTCGTATTGTACTGAAAAAAAAACTTTAAGCGTTATCAAGCGTTTAAGAATAAGAATAAACTCATCATCCTAAAGGGTGTCGTTGTGAGTTGTACATTCCAATCTCTACAGATGAAGGGTCATTCATGATATAACATGTACAGTGTACAGTGTACATTGTACAGTGTACAGTGTACAGTGCACATTGTACACTGTACCTTATTCTTATTAATTTTCGGGTATTATTTAAGTTCAATTAAGTGTCAGGCATTTTTAATTTTCCAGATGTAAAAAAATTATTTTTTTGATAAAATATTAATTTTAGGATCATCTACTCATTGTTTCTAAAGTATAAATGATTGTGAAATATATTATTATCAATTTCAAGCATATTTTTTTAAACTTGGGAAATCAGTGAGTATGACTTCGAGATCGTTTTTTGAAATGATTTAGTTTACTGTACTGAGAAAGCTCTAATCCGTCTGCTAGAGTTTAGATTTGTTTGTTATTGTTTTGATTGATTTCGAATTGTTCCAAAACAATTACTTAATTACAAACAAAATAAACTTATTCTTGTTTATCTTGCAGAGACATCACAGACATATAATTAAAGCCTTTTACCTCTGTTGTCCTAAAATAAACAGATGTAATCATATTTTGAATTTTGAAGTTAGTTATTATATTATAAGGCTAATTCTTGAACAATCTTGAGCGCGTCATCCATGTTTTATGGGACACCCTGTACGAGACACATATTTTTTATTTTTTAAAGTTTACGCTTAAATTGTATTTCATACATATTACAAAGATAAACCATTTTTAACAATATTTTGGGTTCATAGTTTCCATTTACATTCCTTTTACGTTCAAAATCCAATTACGTATAAGTCAGTAAAACAATAGGTGTGTTTCCTTTAATTCTTACTGCACCAAATTGTTCTTATGTAAATAGTGATAATGTACATAAGGGGGGGGNATTTACTTGTAAACCCAGGAGGAAAATATGAAATATTTACTTGTAAACCCAGGAGGAAAATATGAAATATTTACTTGTAAACCCAGGAGGAAAATATGAAATATTTACTTGTAAACCCAGGAGGAAAATATGAAATATTTACTTGTAAACCCAGGAGGAAAATATGAAATATTTACTTGTAAACCCAGGAGGAAAATATGAAATATTTACTTGTAAACCCAGGAGGAAAATATGAAATATTTACTTGTAAACCCAGGAGGAAAATATGATGACAAGAAAAATTATAATTTTGTATGATCTGTAGTCTATACACAATATTTTAAAAAATTCATAACTTTTGTTAAATTTAAAATTAAAAAAGAATAGATATTTTAGAAAATCTGTAAACTCATTGACCAATTTGCCTCAAATTTATATTAGAACCAAGGGAAGTTCTAAGCTTGGTTTTAGAATTCGAAGTTGAGAGGGTTGTGAACTTGAGACTTCTATAGAGAAAGCGCAATTTCCAGAGCTGAAAACTTTAGAATCGCTTAATCTGAATATCCACTGTGGAAACTTTTACTTTTCTGTTTAATTCTTTCTTTTTGGATATCCCATTCCCTATTTTGTAGTAAAGTTACGTTTGATTACAAATAAAGATACGGTGCTATATCGATTGGACTAATATCCGATTGAACAACGTTCAATTGTATTGAAGTATCGGCTTTTAGAGCTTTTAACAAAATAAAAATTCATGACATGAACTCTTAAAAAAAAGATATTCAACACGTGGGCCCTCGATAGTCTGTCCCAGCCGCAGTGCTCGGCCCACAAATTGAATTAAAGTTAGTGTTGAAATAAATATTAATCCATGGTGAACGCCAAGAAAATTCTCTGAAAAAAAAGGCTTAGGAAGCCAGAAAATTGAGACTTTTTTACAGGAGTTGTTTTTTCCATAAACTGTTTTATTTGACTTTCTTACATAGATCCGAATTGTATGTGCAGCTTACTTAATACAATGTAAATTTTTTGTTTCTGTTCATCATTTAGGTTCATTTATTATTCTACAGTTAACATGTATTATGTATTGACTATATCTTTCTACATAAACAATTCTATTTTTGTTTGTAGCTAGGCAGCCTTGAATTGATTCGTTCGACGTTTACTATTAGAAAAGAAAGCTTCTCTAAATCTGTTTTCAAAATATTCTATTCAAATTCCTTTCTCGTATTTCAATATGAAAAATGTTCGGAGATAAAGATTTAACTCCCAAATCTATCCAAACAATTTTATTTCATAGAAATTGAGTTTTTGCCACAAACTCAAATCTTCTGATCCCAATATCTTTTCAACCTGATGGTGCAAACCTTTGATATTTCAAACTTAGCTTATTTTATCTTCAAGTATTAATAGTTTGAAATATCTAAGGTCTACGACACTGGGTTACAAAGATATAGAGATTAGAAAATCAGAGTTTGTGGCAAAAACTCAAATCCTTTACTCAGAAATACCTGTGCTACTAGAGCAAGAATAACATTTTGTTGAATTTTGAACTCATGACTCACTTGCAAAGAATTTCAGACTTTAGTGTAGAATGAATAGCATAAAAATATTCCGTATTAATCTGCAATTTGGAAAAAAAATTAAAATGTTGAATTAAACTTTATTTTCAGAAACTTTGAACAAGTATAAGTAAATAAATATATAATATATAGAAACGCATACATCAAAATAAATCTAAGCATTACTATATTATATTTATGTTTGAATATTATATATAACATTAATTTTATCGTTAATAATATAAAAAATATTCTTGCATCTAAAAATATTAAAATTCTAAATTTCCTGCACAGTAAAATTCTCCCATTTAAATATCTATCCCTGTTTTTAATCACAGCTTCAAAATTTATGATTTCAAATATTTTGTAACGTTTTAAAAAATGAGCTTTACAAAATTTGAATTTTTTATTAGATTTTAAATCTGTTAAAAACGCTAAAAGTGATAACTAATGATCGCTTAAATCTTGGAAATGTAGCAAATTAAATAATGCAAGTAGCATATTTTCTTATTTGTTTCCTTTTACATTAAAACCGTTAGATACTTCTTATTTTTTCAATAATGTTCAATTTTCTATAGCAGAGAAGAGGATTCAGTTCCTTGGACTCATTAAAGGGACTGTAAGTAACTCTACGTTGTAACATGGCAATGCTCGATTCACAACGGTACCCTTAAAAGCTTTGTCTGATCAAGCATGAGTTGGATATCAATTCTCTATAAAACTGAATTTTTACTGCAGGTAAAAATTTAGAAATTATCAGAATTAAACGCTTTTAAACTATAGAAACGACAAAACCTTCCACATTATTGATCAGATAACGGTTTCAAGGGTACAGTTGTGAATTCGTGCATTGTCATCTTTACATGGAGGGTCCCTTGAAATGACGTTCACTGTCCCTTTAATCAAAAATTGGGGGAAATATATTTCTACGTGTTTAAATAAAGATTCAGCCGCCGCTACTTACAATCTCGAACTCTATAAAGAAAACTGAAATTAGATTTCATTAGGAGACATTTCCTTACTTAACAAATGTATATAGTTTTAATAAGAACACAGCCTTTTTAAACTCGGGCTCGGTGGATACATCTCAACGACATCAACAATTTGGCTTAAACAAATCTTTACAAATGACAAAATCACATAAAAACTGATAAAAATATTAAAGGATTTGAAGCTAAGTATTTTAGCGGTTTTATATCTTAAACTCACAATTTTTTACCATTCATAACAGTTTATTAGATAAACTGAAGAAAATAATATCAGTCGTTAGATATTTTTATCAACATCTAACAGTTTGTTATTACAATTGTTGAATTTGGGCCGGTGTTTTTACTGTTAAAGTGGGGTGTCCATCAAAATACATTTGAAGAGTTTGAATAGTTTTTTAATATCCATTATCGGAGACTTGGTACAGACATTTTAATTTAAGAAAGGTGTAGAGGGCAGAGACCGCGATCTAGAAGAGATTTACTGGTTTTTAAAATTAGACTTAGCAATAATATAAAACTTAAAGACTTGGTTACTATTTTAGCCTCAATGGCAGTTAACTCTTGACACAAAGGAATTGAGTCTTTGCCACTAACTCTGATTTTCTTATCCCTATATCTACTTAACCCAATGTCGTAGACCTTATATATTTCAAACTATGATTTCTCTTATATCAAATAATCTAAGTTTGAAATATTAAAAGTTTACACAATCAGGTTGCAAAGATATAGGGATTAGAAACTTTGAGTATGTGACAAAGACTCAATTCCTTTGTAAAAATTATCTAAATCGCAGCCTCAGAGTCAGATCTTGAGCAGAATTCAATTTTCCCAAGCGACCAAAATGAAACAAAAAAGTAAAATTTTATCTTGCCGATAAAAAAACTAATTTCCCAATTATTTACCGGACACCCTGTAACGTAAACAAACCTGGAAGAGGTTTTGATTTTGAATTTTTGTTTTTATATTTGATAAAATTTGTCACAATTCTCAGAGCTCCGACATCATGATAATTGATTTGAATGCATAATGTATCGTTGACTGTTGAGAAGGACCTCTCTATTTTGGTAGTTTAACAACCAGTGCATGATCAGGCGGAAGGGCGGATATTGTTTTAAACTTGACCACGGAGCCGGCGGAGTGCACACCCGTTGTATCAACGACGACCTCTCCGCCAGAAAACAGTTTTGAGACTTGAATCAAATCCGTTGAGTTGGCTCCAAGATTTGCAATCACCATATACCTAGAATAGAATTATGTAGTGTCTAAGTTTTTCTTTAATTTAGATAATGGGCTTATTTGATAATAAATATATGCGCCAGTTTAAGCTGATAAGAGGTAGTTGAACCACGTCTGCTCGGTTCAACAAGATCTCGAGGATAAATTTAAAGATTTTAAACCGCGGCACTGAACCGACAAAACCGGTTTCATTTAAGCGCCGGCCTAAATCTCGAAACACTAAATACAATTTCAAGTGGAACCAACCATGTTTGAGCCGTATCTCAAATTTGCTGCTCAAATCATTAAAATTCTGCCTCTGGTCCAAGATTGAAAGTACGTCTACCTACTTGAAGCAAACGAACCTCCATCTTGAAAATCACATTACATAAGTTTAATGTCCTTGTTTTTCTGGTTGAAAATTGCAAATTTTCAATTGCGGGTTCTACTTACGTATTTATGTTGAACAAGGAACGAGATTAAGAGAATTTATTTTAAGACCTAAGATAAAAATGACAATATCATTCTCATTGTTATTCAGATAAAGGTATTAAGAGAAGCGTAATCTGTCGAGAATGTCACTGGTTGAATGAATGGTAACACAGTGCATAATAAAATAAAAACTTGACCAAGCAACAGAATTCCATGAATTTTTGTGAAAGCAAAGAATAAATTGATCATAGAATATTTTACTAATGTATGAGGTATGTACGGCACATTGAATACAAAATTTATTTATAGCTGTGGGAATTTGATAATAATTTACAACATTTCTAAAATTGTTCCAAGTGCATTTTCCTGCTGTATAAAGACAAATCTGCCGGTAACAAAATTATGTTCTCATGTACTGACAGCTTGTCTCTTGTTTTAATTTCAGGTTTTCTATTTCTGCCACGTCGACAAACCTGTGTCTAGTTAATAATCCACGGGCAGCCCTAGTACATTTGAATTTCCGAGCCGGGTCAACTTTGTCGGTCCCAGTTTGTACTGTATCGCCCGGTCATTGGGTAAATAAAGCAGACACTCAATAGGACTAGCCGGTGCAACAAGGTTGACGCGGTCAGACTTTAGGTTGAATTTACTTTAACTAAAAGGTCAGAGGTGCGTGAATGATGTGGAAGAAATCGATGCTTTTCTATAGCTTAAAAGTGTTTAATTCTCGCAATTTCCATGTGTTTCTAAAGCTCAAAAGCCGCAAGTCAATTTTTCAGAGAACCTTCGATTTAAAATTTAAAAAAATTTTAATTCTTTTTATTTTCTTCCTTCATTATTGATCAGAAAAAGCTTTTAAAGGGACAGACCGGCTATGTAAGGAAGTTAAACTGAGTATGCAGTGTTGTGGACAAATTCTTTAGGACTCATTTGAGACATATAAAATGTTGCCAGGGACGTATAATTTCTGAGTTTGAGTGCATAGTCGACGTTCAAAATCATGAATTTGGGTGGGTACGTTTTCAGAATCGGTTTTTTAAAAACTATTAAATAACGATAACAAAAAAAGTAAAAATTATAAAGTAAACTAATTAGATGGTTAGGAACATATTAGGAAGAAAATAGTAACTAATAATTGAACAAGATTACTTATTTTCGATGATAAGATTAAATTTTAATTTCTCAACCTATTCCTAAACAACTAATTAGTTTACTGTAGAATTTTGTTAACATTTTTGTAGTCGTTATTTAGTGATTTAAAAAACAATTCTGAAAACGTATCCACCAAAAAGTACGATCTTAAACGTCGACTGTGCGCTCAAACTCAGGATTTACAGAGTTTTAAAAAGTTTTATATGTCACAAAGGAATCCTAAAGAATTTGTCCACAACACTGCATACTCAGTTCAAATACCTTACATGGCTGGTCACTCCCTTTCAGAGTCGTAGTAAATCTGAAATTATGTCGTAGACAGTCCCTTATATTAATTTGAGTAAGAAACAAGTTAACTAGACCTCTTATTAAAACCGTTATTTTGGAATAAAAAAATGTGAGTTATGTAAAATTCATCATAATAAAGAATGTGTTTACTGTTTACAGCTTTCAGTGGGATTCAAATTTATTGATACGAAATAAATATTCTAGGTCGGAATGTACTGACCCAGATTTGAACAGAGCTATACGATTTATCTTGTCATTAGGTGATAGGTCAATAGGGCAAAGGTGTATAGGTTTAAAGGTCAGTAAGTCAGGTTAGAGGTTTGTTGGTTTATAGGTCCCAAAATGTTTGAAACATTCATATATTTAAATAATCAAAATATTAATGATACTCATAATAATAAAATAATAATAATAATAATAATAATAATAATAATAATATTAACCTGTTTCTACGATTGTAATGTCGTTCCATCACAACAAGGTCTTCAAATACATTGATCTACAATTTATTACAAAAATTAGGACACACAAAGTTAAAAATGAAATTAAAAACGTGCCACCCATGAAATATAATTACTACAATAAACCTTATAAATGCTTTTACGCGTTTGAGTCAAGTACCGATAACAATTATTTTTACAATCTGATAAAACATTAGCTTAATAATCAAATTTAAATAATGAACTTTAAAATCTGATACGAAATCGAAAACGAGGAATATTAAGTATTTGCCACAAACTCTGATTTTCTAATCCCAATATCTTTGCAAATCAATGTCCGTGACTTGCACCTCCCTCCATGTTTATCTACTCCGTGAATGCTACCTCCTTCCATGTTTATCTACTCCGTGACTTGTACCTCCCTCCATGTTTATCTACTCCGTGACTGCTACCTCCCTCCATGTTTATCTACTCCGTGACTTGCACCCCCTCCATGTTTATCTATTCTGTGACTGCTACCTCCCTAAATGTTTATTTACTCCGTGACTTGTACCTCCCTCCATGTTTATCTACTCCGTGACTGCTACCTCCCTCCATGTTTATTTACTCCGTGACTTCTACCTCCCTCCATGTTTATCTACTCCGTGACTGCTACCTCCATCCATGTTTATCTACTCCGTGACTTGCACCTCCCTCCATGTTTATCTACTCCGTGACTGCTACCTCCCTCCATGTTTATTTACTCCGTGACTTCTACCTCCCTCCATGTTTATCTACTGCGTGACTTCTACCTTACCTTAAAATTGTTTTCTCTTGGCTGCTCGTAGCAATACTCAATTCCAGAACAAACCTAGTCATTTTTAATTATTAATTTCTATATCAATTCCAGGGTGCTTCGCACCCCTCGATCTTACTAATACTAATATTAGCTTTTATATTTTATTTTAACGAAAGCTTTTTTTTCGCACATAATTAATATTTCGCAGGTTTTCAATTTTCATTTATTGATCTACAAAGAACATTTTTTTCCTTAAATTCTAACTTTCTCTGATGAGGTTAAAGCCTACACAAAGTTTGAGTTCGATCGGTTCAGCAGTTTTGACATATAGTATAAATATTTAAAGTAAACCTATTATAGCTAATGTTTAGCTAATGTTTAAAGTGCAGTTTTGAGCAGATCTGCTTTTTAGTGAACAATATTTTAAAATATTTAAATGCAAAAAAGAAGGTACTTGCTGCATTTCTTAAATGACCTTCTGCATGGGAGGAAAGTCAAATGTGTAACGCGTAATACGTCTATTCAGTCAGACATCTTAATTTAAGGAATTAAATTTTGTTTTCCTAAACTAAAATAAACGTTTCTAGATTGTGTAATTATTGTTTAATCCCTTTTATATATTAACATCTGAGCTGGGTAGTGGGTAATACATAATAAGATCTTTATTATTTTAAACTCTTGCATTTAAAATATTTAAAGTTTTGTCTTAGCAGTCACAAGATCTACAGCTTTCTCTGTAGAAAGGAGATTCATCAATTCATTCATCAATTTATTCATCCTTCCACACCCCACTGTTATGAGCGGTCATAAACCACAACATTTTCCCAATTCCATACCACATATAAGCTTTTTTGTTTTTGGGCAGCTATAAGCCACAACCGCTCTGTCTTCCATGCCACAACAATTGAGAGTTTCGGCAATTATTACGTTTTTAAATGATAAATTTAGTGCAACTGAAATTGTGATCTCCAAAAATCCCTCCGCATTACATGAAAGATGACACTTTCAAGAAATTTTAGAAGATTGTTAAAGATCAATGAATTTCCGGAAGACAAAAGCTAATATCTCACGTGGAAGAGAAAAAAGCTGTGGCTCAGGGCCGCCTGCCTTCCACATCCCACTGTTATCCATGAGACCAAGGAAAGATGAGAATAATATTGACATTAGCAGAACACTAAGCTTTTGCACTTATAAATTTTTCATTGAGTTTAAATTACGTATTTATTCAATATACAGTATACACGCGAGAATATTTTGATTTTATGAACAAACAAAAAAGTTATACACCGATTTGAAAATAAATTCTTATACGCACTTTCATTTAACTTCAGAGTTGCAACTTTAGAAAGGTTTATCATTTCAGAAAGCAACATATCTTTCCTAAATCTCTATTCAGTTTTTATTATGTCCGACTTAGCAAAGAAATATCTGCTAAGAGATCGGTAAATTCGATTTACCCGTTTCAGCGGATTAAGAACCTAATCACTTCAAATTTAAAATTTTAAAATTTTAACCGACCTTGTAGTTTCCATTCATGTAGAGAGGAACAGCATGTTTTCGAGCAAACACTAAATCCGCCAAAATTGAACTGGAATGGTTAGTCTCAGCTGATTCATTCAAAATGGCGGACTGAACAGCTGACCATGGTAGAGAAATGGTTCCCGGAAGTAGTAAATGGAATGATAATTGTGCCGGGGTGGGATCTCCAGACCCCTTCCATAAAATCCACGGTTGCGTAAAGGATTTGTCCCATTTGAGAACATCGAGCATTGCAGTTCCGATTTCGGACACATTTCCCGATTTTAGATTTATTTCTGCGTTCAGAAGACGGAAATTGGCAATTGCCCCTGCTCCCGATACACTCCTAGTTACAGGTGAGATCTGATTGCCAAGGTTCTGGTCTATGCTCTCTGGGAAAAGGTACGAAGTAATTAAGATCCTGTTAGTTGAGCTGCTATATTTCTCAAAGTCTGTTGACCAAGCGGATATCTTTTCAGAGACAAACGGGTCTTCGCCGTAGTTGTTTAGACCGAGAAGAGTGATTCCATCAACTCCATGTCCAGCCCAGAACTGAATAGCCTTGGTGATTCTAAAGTCTAGTTCTGGTTCAATTGTCTGATTTGCCGAATGGGCCGGAATATCCACAATTAGAGTCATGTTGACATCGTGAAGAACTTTGGCAAGTTTTGAAATATCCGCCAAATTTCCCAATCTTAGCTTCAGCGATTCAAAATCATTGGCGGGGTTGAAAAGATTGACATCTTTGATTTGATCAACGTCAGAGCCATCTGGATTTTTCAGGTAAAGACTGATCAACTTGACACCCTGTATACCCATATTCTGGAGGCTAGGGACCTCAGCAATCAGGGACTGGAGGTCTAACATCAGCTCATCCAAACTATTATTAGTTGGACCAACCTCAACGATCACAGATCCTTGCCACCAGGCCATCTCAGGATCGCAGGCATGGGGCATGAAAGCTATCATGATACCAGCAGCTGTTATAGAACCAAGAATTGCAAGAATGGAAAACCAAAAGCAAGCTTGTCTCGCCAGGGCCCAGTATTTGTTATCGTAGATGAGAAAAAACTCCTCATGGTTACGAATTATTCTTTTGGCTTTTCTCATTCGTTTTTTGCTTCCTCTGCAAAGATAAAACAAATTCATGGGGATTTAAAATAAATTTGGACATTTTTTTAACAAAAAGCATTAAATAAAAATTCAATGTTTGTGCTCCCTTTTACCCTATTTATACGCCCCTTGTCCTTTTAACACAAAAACTAATCTCAAAAATAGGAAAAAAATTTGGAAAGAAAGGTAATAATCCACAATCAAGTTTTAAATTCAACATTTTATGGCGAACTAATAAACTGAAACGTTATTTTATGCAGGTTTTAATTCATAAGAAACTTCGTTTAAGCATTACGAATTCACGTGGATTTCTACAGCAAAGGCTAATGAGAAATTGGCCTAAATTTATTGTACAATGTACAATAGCTCTATAAGACATCCATCGGTGGTGAATTAAATCTTTGAATTAAACTCAAAACATAAATTTCATCACATCAACTTGTTTCTTTCTTTTCCTAATAATTCCCGTCTCTCCCCCGGCCACCATGTCTCGTCGTCTTTTCTTCGTTGAATGATGAATTAGCGCGGCACCGCTGTCAGATGAGAGTCCTTCACTGCGCATATAAGTCCCATCAGAGTCGAAGCAGCTGGTCGTATCCGTGTCCGAAGGAATATCTCTGTATGCCCTTTAAAAAATAGGGTTGTAAACTTATAATGGAATCACACCGAGGAAAGCGTAAAATGTACTCGACATTACTTGTACGACTTTGTGACCATGAAGATCCTCTAGTTTTGACTTTGTTGTTTCGCCATAATTATACTTCTGAATATACTTTGCCATATAACTTGAAAGGACTTGGGGCTAATTGCCACAAACTCAAATTTTCTAATCCCTATATTGTTGCAACCTAATGGTTTAAATCTTTGATATTTCAAACTTAGATTATTTGACCTAACAAAATTCATAGTTTCGAATATCTAAGGTCTTCAATGTTTGGTTGCAAAGATATAGGAATCATAAATTAGATTGTTGAAAAGACCCCTGTTCCCATACTTTAATTTGACGTGGTAAATATAAAAACCAATTTAAATATCTCACTCTGTGACTTAAGAAGTATAATCATTTAAAACAAATTTCAATGTTATTTTCTTTATAATATCTAAAAATGCAAATCTGTGCTAAGTTGACCCATAAGGTAACAGCTGGCTACTAGTGCGCCCGTCAGAATGTTTCAATATTTAATTTGACATCGGATATGAATTTATTGTGCCCAATTACTTGTAAATTAACATACAACTATGTGGTTAGATGACCCAAAACGTAAATGCTGGCTACTAGCGCTCCGATCAGGGTGCTAAAACTACATTTTTGACCGAAGAAATAGAATCCCCGTGCCTAATTACCTTGGCATGACACAATGCCTAGGTATTGCCTAATTACCTACGACATGTACAATTTATGGCAAGATGACTCACGCTCTAACATCTGGCTACAAGCGCGCTGAACAGAACGCTCCCATGTGTATTTTGACCACAGAAATTAATTCTTCGTCCCAATTTACATGTAGTTTGATGTATCGCATGCTACTTCTTTTTTTGAATAATGCCAAAATTGAAAGATTTAAGAATCACAAAAATTTTTAAAACGCGGGCACGCGGAAGGATTTGAAGCTATTTTGCGGCAAAACTGTTAAGGAATTACATTTTTGAACGCATCTTGAAGCAAATTCATGATCATTTCTTGGTGTCAAGATTCCAAAAATGCGAGAAATAGTAACATTTTCCACTAAAAAGCGCACGCGCGCTCTTTTGCTCGGATTTTTATAAAACTGATTTTTGCAGTTACAATACATAATTTTTTTTCAATTGCAAATATCAGCGTTCTATGACAATTCTAAGTTATGTTTCAACACTGTATAAATTTCCCAGAGGGTAATACGTTTTGTGCCCCCCCCCCTCTTATAAAAAATTCATACAATTTTTAAAATACAAAATAATCAAAACTTTCATTAGATTGAAACCTTTTAATTATGTTATGATAGTTTGTTACCAAGTGTAAAATAGGAAATTAGGCATGAACGTTATTGACACTTCTGATTGAAAAGATAGATAGTGTCAATCAAAATAATCAGTTTCTAAATATATATATTTCTTGCTTAAAGGGACTGCAGACCTAATTTAAAGCGACTCTCCAATCTCCATTTGTTGAGTCTCATTTACAATGGTACCGTTCAAAAGTTTGAACCGTTGTCTCATCAAGAATGAAGAAGATATCTGAAAATTGATTATTTTCAATTGTGGTTTCTTGTAAAAAGAAACTTGCGGATTTAAAATGCAGATACAAAGAATAAAATTGTCAGAATTCAACACTATTTAAGAATGAAAAACGACGAAATCTTACGATTTGTTGCGCTCCGATTCTGTTTTGAATCCATTGGGTTGAACAAAATGTTTGAGTTTATAATTATTATTTCAAAAAAGCTATTTTACAGCAAAGTCCCGGGATTATAAATATATTTAAAACCTTGAAATATTTAAACAAAAAATAAATAAGGTTTTGTCTACTGAATCCTAGGAAATAGTTTTTTTCTTCATTAATATTTAGAAAGATTGGACTCGCATTTTTAGTGTGTTTAGGGTCATTTTTTAGAACGAATAAGTTGAGTTTAAATTAATATTCCTTGAGGTCATAGAAACAAATAGAGCTTTCTAATTCTTCTTTCTTGTAATATATTGGTATCGTAACTTACAATGAACAAAAATATAGATTTAAGCGCTACAAGGAAATATTCATGGAATTTTAATAAAATATTTCCATTTACAGAATCAGAAAACTTTGTAACTAAACTTGTATATATTCGCTGTAACTGTACTTTCCAACACCTTGAATCCTAACTTAGTTACAAAACCTTGAATCCAAACTTAGTTACAAAACCTTGAATCCAAACTTAGTTACAACACCTTGAATCCTAACTTAGTTACAAAATCTTGAATCCTAACTTAGTTCCAACACCTTGAATCCAAACTTAGTTACAAAACCTTGAATCCTAACTTAGTTACAACACCTTGAATCCTACCTCAGTTACAACACCCTGAATCCTAACTTAGTTACAACACCTTAAATCCTAACTTAGTTACAACACCCTAAATCCTAACTTAGTTACAACACCTTGAATCCTAACTTAGTTACAACACCCTAAATCCTAACTTAGTTACAACACCTTGAATCCTAACTTAGTTACAACACCCTGAATCCTAACTTAGTTACAACACCCTGAATCATAACTTAGTTACAAAACCTTGAATCCTAACTTAGTTACAACACCCTAAATCCTAACTTAGTTACAACACCTTAAATCCTAACTTAGTTGCAACACCCTGTTACTCGAATTCAAAGGATGGTCATTTACAATTACGGAAACAGTCTCTCTAAAATGCATTAAAAGGATTTAACTAGCTTGGAATCCCAGCCATTTACATGCGCTTGGTCGTAAATTTTGATTTGAGCTAATTCGACACACTGGCACTAGAATCTTAAAACCAAGCTAAAAACATTCCCGTGATTCTCTCGAGTTCCAATTTGAGGCCAATCAGTCAGGGGTTCCTGAGTTACAATCGGACATACAAACAGACAGACAAACAGAGATTACTACTTATAAATATAAATAGTTTGGGAACCCATATTTTACCTGGACTTTTTCCTATAAGAGTCAATTTAAAATTTTAAAACAATCCCGTTGTTCTCCCAAATCCTCCTTGAGGCGAACCGGTCAAGGGAATCATGCGTTATGATCAGATAGACAAACAGAGATTACCACCTTATATATAAAGATACCTGATCTCATGTCCAAGGGGTGATTTCTCCATGGGAACTGAAACACAGTAGCTCACAGTCTTCTTCCTTTTAGCTTTATGTCCTCCCGTCTCCGGTAGTCCAGCAACCTCAAGGGGGTCCTATAGGAGAACACGGTCAACTAGAGGTCCAGTGAGTCTTAACTTTACAACCAATTTTTAACCCTGTTAATGTATATTTTTCGTATTGACTACTTGCTACTATTTTGTTGGGATATTTATTTCTAATATTTATGTGTAAAAGATCTTTTTCGCTATTTTTGACGGATTTTTATAAGAGATAAAAATATTACTAAAAATATGCCGATACAAACGGGATGCACTTCGTAGTAGTTACTCAAGTTAGTTCTACGTGAGATACAAATATATTTGGGGTAGTTTTCAAACAAACTGTGTTTTGTACCACAAACTCAAATTGTCTAATCCTATATCTGTGCAACCATATGTTGTATACCTTTGATATTTAAAACTTTTAATTCTGTTAAATCAAATAATCAAAGTTTGAAATATCAATATCAATACTCCGCAACGCAATGCAAGATCTGAGATTTTTTAAAATCATATATCAAAATCAAAATAGAGTAAAATCGATATTTACTTAATTGTTAATATTAGGCCAAACTAAAAGTAAAAATGCTCTGGTTAAATCAATTAGCAAAATTTATAAAAATTAAACTTGTATTTATAGAGAATTTATTTTTCAATTAAAATTTCCATCTTAAATACTTGTGAAGCATCTTAAATACTTGTGGAACATCTTAAAAGTAAAAAAAACATTGTTATTTACAAATGATCCAAATGCAAAGAAAAAATTAAAATGCATCCCTGTCCTTCATCTTCGAGGCCAATTTCTGAATTTTATGTCTTTGCTTTAAAAAAAAAACCTGCTCGCAACATAGAAATATAGTCGTAAAAACCTATTTCTTGATATTTTAAAAGTTTTTGATAAATAAAAAAATACAAAGGACACTCAACACTTTTTGGCACAAAAAAGTTAACTTAACTTGTTTACTTTCCACTCTTATTATCAAGTTATACCTAGATGTAAAATTCTGAACATTCCTTTGAAAAATGACCCGAAAAAAAGCATAAAGTTCTATTTCAAATTTAGCTAAATTGTTGAATAAGATTTAAAATAATGTCGAACGAAAATCCGACAGAATTGACTCCAATATATTTGCTAAAATTCAATCTATTTATCTTCCTGAACAGAGCTTTGCAAAATTTAAAAATCACAAGTTTGGGAGAGACTAAATTAGATTTTCAGTTTTAACAAGCAGAAAGTAACAAACTTTTTGGATCTATAGAATGAATAGAATGAGACTGTAAAGACGACCAAGAACTTTTAAAATATGAAAATTTTAACCTTGATTTTTGGTCTCTGTCTTTGACTTATTATTATAATTCTTTTACTGATTAAGAACAGAAATAAGCCAGTTTTGGCTTCCAGAGAACCCTGAATGTATTAAAAGGGACTACGCAAATTCCGTACAGTCTTCTCTGAAGTCTCATCCTTTGTGGGTAACTCTGTACTGAAACCATTCAAATTCATTAAAAATATTTCCGAGGGATAACCACAAATTTAGTGGAATCTTTGTCGTCATTGATTTTTCTTATGATTAGAAATACCCGAAATACCGCCAAGGTGTTATTTCTGCTGGTACTTGATCACCTACCTGGATTCTACTGGTACTTGAACACCTACCAGGATACTGTTGGTACTTCAACACCTACCTGGATACTCCTGCTGGTACTTGAACCCCTACCTGGATACTACTGCTGGTACTTGAACCCCTACCTGGATACTACTGCTGGTACTTGAACACCTACCTGGATACTACTGCTGGTACTTGAACACCTACCTGGATGATACTACTGGTACTTGATCACCTACCTGGATTCTACTGGTACTTGAACACCTACCTGGATACTATTGGTACTTCAACACCTACCTGGATACTCCTGCTGGTACTTGAACACCTACCTGGATACTCCTGCTTGTACTTGAACCCCTACCTGGATACTACTGCTGGTACTTGATCACCTACCTGAATACTACTGCTGGTACTTGAACACCTACCTGGATGCTACTACTGGTACTTGAACCCAACCTCTCTGCTTGAACCAAGAGTTGGTTCTCCGGCATCTGTATTGTAAACAGATCCTCAGTACTTCTGGTTGACACCTGCACATTGTACATTGTACATTTATACGTTCCTTTTCAACAAACGTTCTAATGACGTACTTTAGGCCTGGGGACGATAGTTAGACCACTAGATGTCTCACCCTACATTCTTATCTGATAGATAGATAGATTAGGACACACACAGTCGAAGACGTCATCTTGTCGACCAGTAGTAAGTCCGGTTCAATTAAAGTACCGGTCCGGCTAAAACGCGACATCGAACCAAATGAATCATAATCGTTTTATGAAATTCTTGTTGTAGAAGTTCTGAATAAAGGTTTAATGTGTATTTAGAAAACTATAGCTTATGGCATAGAGAACTATGTACAAACTATAAATTGCGACCAGATTACAAAACTTAAGACGGGGTATCGTTATGAAAACCGGTTTAAGAACCCGGGTTTCACGAATGGGGTTAGGCAGTTTTGTGAATAGCAATATTTGTCTTATGAAATATTTTTTATTTAGTGTTTACATATTCTCCATTTTTTCGAATCTCTGAAATCAAAATCTACACAAATGTTAAGACCCCAAAAAGGAAAGTCGTGAGTTTCGTTCAACGATACGCTTTTAAATGTGGGGCTCTCTGGTCACACAAAATTAAAAGAATTTCGACCAACTTTTTCATTAATTTGAAACTTTAAACTTTGCACTTTAATTATAACGGACAACTTTATTGGAGGAAATTTATGTTTAAAACAGGGGGTTTACACTTTATATATTATGTACAAAATATAATAACTAGAATGGTTTAAATTGTCTGGGTTTCCTCTCTTTGTTGAAGGTTCAATAAACAGAGACAATGTTTTATCTCTTCTATATAAACAGACCTAAAACCTAATATAACAAATAGACAAGAATGTAACCCCCCCCCCCCTCCCCACCCTCCGGAGGAAGATATTATCTCTGTACAATACCATACTCCGTCATTTCTGTATCTATGTGAAGTGTTATGATTATTATTAATATGTATTTGACGAGCTTCATGCACAAATCCATGGAAAGTTATTAAAATTTTTTTAGAGAGCCTCAACTTTAAAGTGTCTTAACGACTTGACCTAGTGTGTTACCTCTTTCTTTCTATAATTTAAGTTTTAAATGAGTGATAGGAAAAATACTGCTCGATTTTTGTGTGAAACATCTAGTTTCCAGTGTGGTTTGTTGAATCTAATTCAATATAACCGATGGTCGAATTTAAAGAATTTGAACGGCGGTTTAAATTTAAGCCGGGGTTTAAATATGGTTGGATCCACTTAAAATCGTATAAAATGTTTCAAGATTTAAACCGGCGCTTAATTTAAACCGGGTTTTGGCGGATTTAAACCGCGGCTCAAATTCTTAAAATTCCGTCTCGAGATTTTTAAATCTGAAAGGGACATGATCACGTGTTTTTTTTCATGCAAAGATAGAAATGTCCGATTTACAACGGTTTCTTTAAACCTTGATCTGCTTAAAAATGTGGAAAATGCCGTCGTTTTTTCTTGGTATACAAAAGGTGTTAATTTCAGATAACATCTCTGTTGTTTCTTATGAGAATGCGCAAGTCAATTTTGCAGAGAAACCACACATGAAATTAAGTTTAAATAAACAAAAACATGAATATCTAATTCAAATTCCAAATTAGTTCCAAAACTAATACTTGGCCCATTTCTAACACTGAATGTTAAAAATGGGCCAAGTATTTCTAGCACTGAGTATTAGAAATGGGCCAAGTATGCAAATTTATCTTTTCTTTTTTAAGCGTATATATCTTTAAATCCAAGCCTAGTTGAACAAAACTACACCATACTTTTAAAAAAAAGGCATAAACTTTCAAATTGTGCCCATTTCTAACACTCAGTGTTAGAAATGGGCCAAATGTGCTAGTTTTGTAACTAATATCCCCTGAGGTCCTTTAATCTCTGTGTTAAACCCGGCTTTAGCGTCTATTTACGCCCATTTAAAGATAAGGTCAAGTCGTGAGGTTAACATTTTTTTGTATACTTTTACATTTAAAATCTCGGGAATTAACTAGATTTATAATATAAACTCACTATTAAAATTATATATTTGTTAATCTTGACCTAAAACTCGGGCCTGACAGAAGCCTGAGTGTACGTAAGGAAGGTTGGACTTTACTTTTAAAATCTCAGCATAACACCACACCATGGATGAATTTAAAAAATGCGCATATTTTCAAGATGCTCGTTTTTTTACTTATCCAGGTTTACAATCAGAGGCGCGTTTATTTATTATTATTATTATTATTATTTTGAAATTCAAGGAACAAACATTTTTATTATTATTTTTCAGCTTCACTTTGTTTATATGTTTTATGGTGTCTGTGCCCAATTTAACTGTAATGAAGAATATTAAAATAAGCCCACATTACCTCTTCAATGCTGGCCAGAACCGGTTCCTGGAGATCCAGTCTAGTTTCTGGCAGCTCGTAGGCTTCTCCAGACATATACCCTGCTCAGTTTATAATATCTACACTTCGAATCTTGCCACTAGAGGTCTCTGTTGTTGTTTATTGAAATTGTAAATTACCAGACCTTGAGGTTAGATAACAATTGTATTTCTGTCAATGACGTGAGCCAAGTTCTTGTGCAATGTATAATGATAAAGAAAGGCGACAGTTAAATAGCGGTCAAACCTAGGTCTGAATTCTTCACTGACAACTACTCAGTCGTTAAAAGTCAGGCATTCATTACATTTATCATTATCAACAATGAGGTGCTTTTAAAGAGAATAGATAAGTTGGAATTACTTGTAAAAAGTGTAAAACTGCCATTTAGTTCTAGTGCTACCAAACTGCTTTTTAAAGTTTGTATAAATATTCCTGTGGATATTGTATCGTACTGCTCACCGCTGTTGTACCCGCTCGGCAGGTCCTATGTACGCACAACAATGAATATGTACTATGTGTACAGTACAGTGTACATTTCCAGGTCAACTCGGTAAAAATGGCTTTCTTTCATTATTCTCAAATTTGTGTTGTTGCGAAGGAGAGATGTTTAGAATATTTGAGGGTTAAATATTTTGTCGTTAACCGAAACTAGATTATAACAGAGAGGGTAAATTATTTTTAATCTTTAATATTGAATGAACTACTGGCAGAACCAGAAAAAGGTCAGGAATTAATTTACGTCAGACGATTTTTCCATCGACTTTGATCTTTAAAATAGTTTTCGCGTCATTCATTTGTCAATCTAATTTTACAATTATACAAATATGATTGTTGAAATCCCAGTCCTGCCATTTCCAAAATGTGGTCTGCCTTTTTTGTGCGTAAAAAATTTCCCGAGATATAAAGAGTTTTGGTGAGATTTCATTTTCATTAAATAAAACGAAAATTTTCTAATTTTGAATGAAATCATTCATATCTTAACTTTCTGTGATTTTGAACGCACAAAAAAGGCAGACCACATTTTGTAAATGGCAGGACTGGGGCTATTTTGTGATTATCTTTTCATTAATCATATTTACAAAACTAGATTGACAAATGAATGCCGTAAGGCGTAAACTGTTTCAAAGATGAGAAAACGATTGTAAAGTTGTCTATTAACTGTCAATTAATTCCGGGTCTTTCTGATTAGGACTGTATTAAAGTTTCTAATTCATAAAAATAGATTTAAAAAAGATAAAAATACTTAAAGGGAATGTCGACATATTTTCAAGTGACCCCTAGTGTCCGATACAATGGTATCTCTTTTACATAAAACCGCAAATTTATCAATTTGAGAATACTTATTTTCAGGCAAGGTTTTAATGATATCATTTTAAATTGTTCGTAAGTTTTCAACTGGAGGTTGTACTTGTAATTCCGTTGACATTCCCTTTTAAGAAAGATTGTTGCAGTTTATTATTAACGGTACATGAACCAATATTTAATAACAAATTCTCCATGTACCATGTACTTTTGTTGTTTATCGTTTTCAATCGTTTTTATTATTAGAGCTTCCAACTTTTAAAAATAGTTTTATTTTAAAATTAGCTTTTAGCTTTGCAATATGTTAATCTTCTGTCAGAGTCAAAATTTTACATAGTGTTTAGCAAATGTCCTGAATAGAAAAAATTAAAAATATTTTTGTCACTATGCCCTGAAAGAAAATACAGGTAAAAACGAACCAACTGAAGGAACATCATATCGTACAGCACAAACTCAAATTTTAAAAACTCTTTCATCAATTACGTGAGGAAAGGTGATAACGAAGATTTCCGAATTTCCGACGTACATGATTTTAACAACGTAGATCGGGCATTATCAGTGTAGCTAGAAGCAACTATCTAGAATGGAATTTTTTTTTTAAATTTACAAAAATGCCAGAAAACTTTGGAGGTCAAGCAAAAACGTTATCAGATTCAGCAAATACACATCATAATGTACTTTGCTTCTTAAACATGAAATTTCAAATCATCTAATCATTCAATCATTTTAATACATTCAAAAAATTTTAAAATTTAAATGTTAATCATTTGTTGTTTTCCTGTTCATATTGCTGACCGCTCTCATAGTCGCTGTACAGGCTACCAGACTCAGGACTATCTTTACCTCCAGGTATACGTTCCTGTACATAGGCGTAGTTCATGTACAAAGGTATAGTTCATGTACATAGGTATAGTTCATGTACATATGCATAGTTTATGTACATAGGCGTAGTTCATGTACATAGGCATAGTTCATGTACATAGGCGTAGTTCATGTACATGGGCATAGTTCATGTACATAGGTGTAGTTCATGTACATAGGCATAGTTCATGTGCATAGGTATAGTTCATGTACATAGACATAGTTCATGTACGTAGGTTAAGTTCATGTAAATACATTTAGTTCATGTACATATGTATAGTAAATGTACATAGGCATAGTTCATGTTCATAGTTTTAGTTTCATGTACATAAGCATAAATCCTGTATATAGGTGTAGTTCATGTACATAAATAGTTATAGTTCATGTACATACATAGGTATAGTTCCTGTACAAAGATATAGTTCCTATACATAGGCATAGTTCCTGTACATACATAGGTAAAGTTCCTGTACAAAGGTATAGTTCATTTAAATAGGCATAGTTTATGTACAAAGACAAAGTTTCTGTACATACAAAGGTATAGGCATGGTTCATGTACGTAAGCATAGTTTATGTACATAGGTATAGTTCATGTATATAGTCATAGTTTATGTACATATGTATAGTTCATAGTTCAGGCATATTTCATGCATATAGGTATGGTTCATGTACATATGGCATAGTTCATGTACATAGGCATGTTCATGGACGTAGGTATAGTTCATATACATAAATATAGTTCATGGACGTAGATATAATTCATGTACATAAGTATAATTTCGGAACAAACGTATAGTTCATGTACATAAGTATAGTTCATGTGCATAGGTATAGTTCATTTCCATAGTTTTAGTTCATTTGCATAGGTATAATTCATTTGCATAGGAATAGTTCCCGTACATAGGTATAGTTCCTGTACATAGGTATAGTTCCTGTACATAGGTATAGTTCCTGTACATAGGTATAGTTCATGTACATAGGTATAGTTCCTGTGCATAGGTATGGTTAATGTACAAAGTCATAGTTAGTTCCTATACATGCACGAAACAGTGCCATTAAAGTATCCTAAAAATTTAATTGTTTTGTGATAAAAACTTACTTTGTGCCTTTCTCTGGCTCCTAACTCCCTAAAAACCTCCTAAATGATGGTCATTTAATATTTTTCGAAATATCTTTGAAAAATTTGATTTCTATCAGAAAAATAACTATTTATGTAAATACGAAATACAATTGTATTCCCTTCGCAAAAAGTTTTTTTTTAAATTAAATTTTTATACAGAAGTGATTAAAAATGCGGGAAAATAATTCTGATTTGTAATTTTACGCGACTCTTAACTTAATTTCAATTCAGGAACGGAACTTTTATCTAATCAATAATGAGGCAGATATGGACGTTTTTCTAATCTAAAAAGTGTTTAATTCTGGCAATTTTGCTCCATTTTTAAGCAGCAGAAATGCACAAGTCATTTTCACAGAGAAGCCATAATTTAAGAACATGAATGTCTTATTCATTCTGGATTAAACAAAGTTTGTATAGTTCGGTTATAAGTCGGACAAGGCAAATTTAGAAATATAGGAGCAATTCAAATTACGTCTACAGTCCCTTTAAACTTGAATAAAATACTAAATGTTTCCTTGGGTGCGCCATTTTTCCTCTGGGTGCTATTAATAAAACCCCTTTCCATTCCACGTTCAAAATTCCAGGTTCAGTCCTGTTCAGAAATATAATTTTAAATCGCAATTATAAAAAATCGTTTTTTTAATTTATAAAATTAATACAAGATCAAATTTTATTTAACTCAAATGAACTCTAACTAATTTTTTACCTAATTTTAAAGTTATACCTATAGATTGAAGGAGATAAAAATGATCAACAATTTTTTAAGTTTTGGTGGATTTCTGAAACTTGATTGGGTTTTTGTTTGGATTGGTTTGATTTGATGTGTTCACTTGATAGCTTTGATCCAGTAGCAAACAGTTCTGTTATCACTGACGTAGATATGGGTCAGAATAGAGATATCTCCTGGACGGTCAGCTACTTGCATAGTGTGAACCCAGTAGGTTGGAGATTAACAAGATGGTTGCAACATCTCAACCTGACACAAACAAACATATTAAAAAATATATTATTCTTATCTTTCTTAAGAGTTAAGTTAACATACAGATATTTATTTTCATTAAAAGCTCCCTAAGATAGTTTACAATACGTAATACGTATCTGTTATTTGATTTAAAGGACCAAGTCCGATTCACAACAACGGAATCCTTGAAAACTATTTTCTGATCAACCATTTAAAAAAAACACAGTGACAATTAATAACACATAACAAAGCAAAAAATGTCACGTTTCTATTTGCTTTTTAAACACCAAAACATCTTATTGATTAAATGCAAAAGCAGATGTCGTCTTTTAATGAAAAAGGAAAAGTAGTTGAACTAGGAACCAAAAGTAATACTACATCTTTCCATAGGGCCAAGAGTGCACTTGAGATGTAGTTCAACTCGTCATCCCTAGTTCAAATACCTTCATCAATATTCATTAAACCCGGCCTCTAATATCTCACTAAATAAATGCGCCAAATATATCTATTTGATTTTAATAAATTAAAAGTATACGATGAAAACCAAGCCAATGAATAAACAGATTCAAAAGTTTCAATATTGAAATGTGCAAGCTGGAATATATATTCAAGCTGACACTACACAATATAGAATAAAAAAACAATTTCAAATCGCTTTATAAAAAATTAAAATTTTAAAGTAATTATTACTTCAATCATGATACTAGTGAAAATAATGATAATAATAATTTAATGATAGTAATAATAATAATAATTAAATAATAACGAGTATGTTAACTATTTCTTAAATTCAGTCAGACAGAAATGACTGTCCACAAGAATGAAATAAAAAGCAAACAACTTTTTGAATAAGTTGCCTTTTTGAAATTATTTTTTTTTATTGCATATCTTTGGCTTATTTTTCAAATAATTGCCTTCTTGTACTTTCTTACATCTACTTTAGATTTTCCGCCCATATTTCATCAGAGGAGGATCACTGATCAGAGGTTATACATTAGTATAATGTAATATTAACTTATTATGTAGATAAAAAAATTTTTACCTGAAAATAAATCCTAATTTGATTGATTTGTACGTGAGCCGCTGCCGGTCAGTTTATAATAAATCCGCAAAGTACAAACAGCTGTACAACCGCTTTCAGTTCACCTGATTTTCTAGGACTGACTGAACTGAACTGACTGAATCGCTCCCGGCTCCGAGACTCGAGAGTCTTAGAGACATACACGGAGGAGAGGAAGAGAGGCCGGTCCGCCTTTCACCTAGAACCGTGTCGAGCCAACATAAAAGTTTAAGCCTCCGACCATGCAATGGTTGGCCCGGCCTGACTTTCAGCCTCGTTAGTCAAACGTGTCGGTACAAGGGCCAAACTGCCCAAATCACATGAATTTGTAGAAAGAGAAGGTTGAAACTCTTGAAAGTGGAGTTAGAAGGGAAGNTTTTAGGCCCAACAAATACTTCCCCGCATTCCAAAGCATGGCGCTTTATTGTAAAATACCTTCAAGATTTTTTTTATAATCATTTAAGAAGTTCTGACTCGTAATTTCGCAAAAATCTGAAATATCACGTAGCTTACACAAAAGTACATGCAGCTATACAGATATCTTTAATGACGAAAAATGATACGGAGTGTTTGAAAAAACTTTTTTCCTGCAGGTTGAACTATATAAATTTTACATTTTTACATTTCAGGGGACATTAGTCCAAAAAAGTGATCTGACCCATGTCTAACACTGATTGTTAGAATTTAACAGCCAATCTGCAAAATTAGCTCTCCAAGAGTACATTTTCTATTTAACAGGGTTACCCACAATGGATGATCAACTGTAAAGGCGACCAAAAAATATTGGTTAGGCTTGATTTTTTATGTTTTACAAGATGATTAAGAGAAATAATCCAATTTTGGCCTACAAAGAACCCAGAATGTAAATAAACAAATTCTGTACAGTAGTCTCTAAAGTCTCATTCTTTGTGGGTAACCCTGTATATAAAGTTGTAATCTCTGTCTGTCTGGGTGTTTGTTTGTTTGTTTGTTTTTCCAATCAAAACTGAACCTCTGGACCGATTTACCTCAAATTTTGATCGGGTAACTCGTGGTCATAGGGTTTTGTTAATCGTTTTTGAAAACAATCGTTAAACGATCGTTTTTTTTTCGTTTTCAAAAACGATCGTTTCGTTTTCGGAAAAAAACGATTGTTTTTAAAAATGACCCACTCGTTTTGAACTTTAAGAAAACGAATAGCGATCGTTTTTGAAACGATCGTTTTTATTAAAACGATTTGCGACCGTTTTTTATACGATTGTTTTTGAAAAAATTTTATTGACAATTATGTTAACGATCGTTAACGAAGGGTCGTCATTAACGATCGTTAACGAAGGGTCGTCGTTAACGATCGTTAACAAAAGGTCGTCGTTAACGATCGTTAACGAAGGGTTGTCGTTTACGATCGTTAACGAAACTACGAACTTTATCAAAACGGTCGTTTTTGGAAAAAAATACATGCAACTTTATTGAATGTCATCTTACATGAAGTTTAACAGTTGTGGGGGAGTTAAAACTCCTTGATATTTTCTTAAAAACTACTCAATGATAAGTACAGATGCCCTTCAGATCGGTTTCCTCTCTTCGTTAACGAAGGGTCGTTGTTAACGAAGGTCCGTCCTTAACGATCGTTAACGAAGGGTCGTCGTTAACGATCGTTAACGAAACGACGAATTTTATAAAAACTATCGTTTTTTAAAAACGACCATTTTTAAAAAACGAACTTTTTTAAAAAACGATCGTTTTTAAAAACGATCGTTTCGTTTTCAATTTTTCGTCGTCGTTTTAATAACGAAACGATCGTTTTTCTGAAAAATGAAAACGTTAACATACCTACTCGTGGAGACCCACGGGCATGTGCTTAGCTTTTTTTAGTTGACTGGGTCCATTTTTAACAGGAAAATTAGCTAAAATCGTAATTTACGACAATGGGCGGGTAAACGGGGAGCTAACTTTAGGGCAATTTGGGCAACGCTGGGTTCCCACTTATTAACATGCATTCATTAGAAATGGGAAGCGCTATATTTTGAACAAAAAAGCTGTCAAGTTTAACCGAATAATAAAGTGTAAGAATCAATTTTTGTTAATCCTTGATTTCATTTTCTAATATATCCCTATTTTGAAACAGTAACTGCATTTCTTCAGCTCATGTCGCAGTCTGAACCTTTCCTGTTTTGAGATATTTTATCAAGTTCAAATCAATGTCAATTTACAAGCATTTACACAATTACGTAACAAACCAAGAAAAGGTAAAAATGTTTGCTTTTTTGAATTAACAATATTGTAAGGTTTTAGGAAATTATATATAGTGAGAACCAGAACTCTGTGGACTAGAAAGACAATATTAAAAAGCAATAATTAAGTGTATGTTGATGTTGCTGTACAAAGCAAAAAGTTTATCTATTATAACTTGCTAATTACCTTATCACGTGAAAATGGTCTGTTTATACTGAACAATTGCTGTGTTCAGTCTAAAAGTCGTCTTCCTATTTCAGAGTTTTATGGTTATCACTGTTTTAATATCATATAGAATTTAGGTAAAATGCGAAAAATTGCAACTTTCAGTTTTAGAAATGGGCCTGGTTTGGGAATAATGTCCCCTGCATTTATCTGTCGTTTTGAAATGTCACGTACATTTTTAGACACCCTATATCATACAGTGATAACCAGAAAACTGTAGATTAGAAAGGAGACATTAAAGCGATTGTTACGCGAGCCATGCTGCGTGAAGAAAGTCTGGAAAGGGATTTGGTATTAGTAGGGGAACTAGGGAACCTTAAGGATAAACTGAATGGGATCAGGAAGAGAGCTCGACAACTAACCAGAGAGAGTGCAGGAGTACCTACTCAACAGGAAGAACATGCTCCAGTTCGAGAAGCAGAGTGTGATAGAGATCAAGGGCTGATGATGAGAAGTTGTGATCTGGATTATGTATTTCATGATGAGGATCCT